ACACACACACACACACACACACACACACACGCGCAGTGGTGTCGCTGGGGTGGGGCCATTAGCGACACTGTAAGGGTTTTGTGTGTTGCACCTGTGCTGCCCCCCTCACACACCCGAACACACACATACCTACACAGCTACTTTAGCATCTGAATGCAGATGACAGCGATAACATCTTGTCTTTTTTTAACTCTGTTGGTTTAACACTCTCTGCCACAACTTTGGCACACCTGTTTGTCAAATGATCAAGTGTTGGGATGTTGTTTGTAACACATCATTCATATTAGGTAGTGTGTAGATAAACTAAGGTGAATTTTTGTATTTTACATTAATGTTGATCAAGAGTGACTTGAGGGCAAATTTAGATAAAACCCAGAGAGAAGGATAACTTTTAAGATGATATTTTCGTGTTGATAAATTTTAACTTTTGAGCCTGGCTGTGTTTGTGTGGCTTGGATCATCGATCTGAAAAGTTGGTGGAATGAACACAAAAGGAGAGCTGCAATGGGCTGCAAGTGCTTTTACCATACTGTAGATATTCAGATTTTATGGCCACTTTTTCTGTTTTCTTGCATTTGAAAGTATTCTGCAACTCGTTTGCCAGTTTGTAGAGACTTGGAATGTGAAGATTTCCCACACAAAGATTGTGTTAATATATTAAAACGATTGTTAAAATGGTCTTTTTTCATTTGCCGTGGGTTGCTTTTCCTGGCAGTACATCACAGAACTGATCATCTGCCAATAAAAAAAGGATATGCTGTTTACTCCTAATTGTGCAATCGTCAACTTTATTTTTCCCACTTTATTGTTTCAGCTAAAATAAAATTTGACCCCATGGCTTCGGCTTTTAACCCTGCTTCTGATTGTAGTGTTGCTAGATTTGACAGAAGTGAGGGATCTCAATGCTTCTTCAGTCAGTGGAGGTCCTCAAACGTTTCTGAAAACTAAGGTGTAACATTCTGGAAATGAAGGGGAACAAAACAGACCAAGTAAAACATTTGTACTTTTAACCTTTATGTCATAAGTGCCATTGGAATGAAAAATAAGTTGAGATGAAAGAAAGTCAAAACTGAAATCGATTGTTGAGTCAGTTACTTTTAACATTTCAACGGTGTCCTCAGTTCCAGACTGATTTGTATTTAATTCTCATGGAGTATCAAAGGTGTCAGACACTATAAAGCACATTTTTTATGACGTGTTTCAAATAGTGAGGGGGTGAAGGATAACAAAAAAGCATGAGGAAAAAGTACCTTTAGACCTTAAGTCAAGGTAGGGGACAGTCCCCCCATTTAGTCTTTTTGCGCTCCCTCACTCACACTCACACACACACACACACGCACACACGCACACACCCGCTACCAAGGAAGCTGAGGCGGTGTCTGTCACTCAAAAGTCTGACTATGTTCACAGAAGCTGCAGTGAGCACCTGACGCTGCTCTCTGAAGGACGAGCAAAAAACAGAAGCAAGATTAAAGGATAGCCGGTGTTGAAAAAAAAGAGACAAAAAGATTGCTGTCAGACAGAGTGAGAGGAAAATAGAGTTTGTGAAAGTGGGACAAACGTCTGAGACAAGTGGAGGAGTGAGAATGATGCGAGGTAGGGATGAAGTTCTTTGGTTTGTTTGTGTGTGGGCAGTCAAGTAAAAGCATCTCTTATCAATTGTATCTATTACCGCCAACACATTTGATGGTATGTAATGACAGGCACTGAGAATGATTTGGTGGCAGTTAGCTGTCTTTTTCAGCAATTATGAGATCCCTGAAATAGCTTTTCTTTTAAACGCACTCCCACAGCTGCAGCTTCAAACACCTTGATCATTCGGGGAGATTAAGCTTTCGGTTAGCTCCCTTGAAATGCAGCATCAGGCTGAACAGCGAAACCTCAATGAAGTGTCTCCAGAGTTCACTGTTAATATTCCGCTTTTTGATTTTTATCATGTGAAAAGAAATACATTGAAACACACACGTTGCTGTTGCACAACTGTTAACCTGACTCAACACATACACACACACACACACACGTCTTCTTGCTGTTTTCTGTGGGCTGCTGTTCAGAAGTAGATGGTCTCATTTGTTTTGAAACCGGGCTGGGTCTCTCCAAAGGTCTGGATTGTCTCTCTACTGTCTGCGCTCAAACTGATTGATGTGTTTCAGTTTTATGGCTTGACATCATGACTAACGTTGAGCATCCTTTGATGGATTTAAGATTTGAATCATATCGTAGGTATTGCCACCCTGTGTGACTCCTACATGTACGCTACACCTCTGATAATAGTTTCTATGATTTCACAGTGAGAATGACTGGGAATCATTGTGAATGAGCTGTAGTTAGACGAAATTTCATTATTTTCTTCTCACTTGATATGTCTCCATAATGAAAAATGGCAATTGACAATTACAATCGAAGGCAATTTCAACGCCGAGGACTTGAGCAGATTTTGACATTTGACATGCTGCTAATCTTTTTTGCATACACTCCCACTGTGTTAACCGACAGAAAGCAGGATGCTGTACCACCGCAGTGCATCAGTTTGACTGGACTGACTCCATGCAGATACGATAAACAGGATGAAAAAAGAAGGAACTGATTAACGAAAGATTTTTAGAAAAATGTGATTCTCAATAGTAGAAATATGCTGGTGGGCTAGAAACAGAAAGGAGACGAGAGGAGTAATTTGCCTATGCCGACCAATCACTTGTTCTTGCAGTTGCAACAGGCAAACACACACACTCGCCCATCCCCGCAGCTGCTTTTTAGATGGTGCCGAGATATAGCTTATTTCTGCCGCGCAGCTGCACTGTGGGAGAAGGGAGCGGGCGCTAACAGATAAAGATGCTGCTTAGTGTCCCGGTGTCAGCTCCACAGCTGGAAAACCAGCCTGTTTCATTAGAAATAAAGCACACACACACATTTCAGATGGCTTTGTTGCCTGGCTCAGGGGAATCCTGTGTAGTTCTTCAACAGTCTCTTTATCAGAAAGGATTTCCTTGTTCCTCTGGGTGCAGAAACTTGCACTGCACTTCCAGAGCAGCAGAAGCGGCTGGCTTTAAGATCAAAGCGAACATCAAAATCGCAGGTGACACATTCCCCCCCAAAATATGGCAAATGAAATACAGCGGTTGAGCTGATTCATACCTTTTGCTCCTGTCAAAACATTACTTCTCTCAAACACTTTCAAACTCAGAAAGCACTTCAAAGTCGCACACGTATGGCAAATATAATACCTATTGTTCAGTGCAGCAGTGATAATTCCCCTTGTTATTTTTTCTCAAATGATGATTACCTTAACCGAAATAGTTCTCACATTTTTGTGAGAAAGCTTACAGTTGATATGAGGTACAAAGAGGCTTTGGCACTCAAACAAATTAAACCAGATGTGTGTTCAATAAGTTCAACACAAAAGTGTCATGGAGCTGCTTCTTCGCTCCCTTTCTATGTAGATCTACCGCTCTGGTAATCATGTTTATTTGACCTGGTGATGATTCAGTTTTTACCCTTTTTTCTCATCAAAATTTTTACATTTTAATCTCATAAAGGCCTGCAAGGCACATTTTTATTGAACCTTTTTTATTGTTGGAAAAATGTGTCGTAAATTTAAAATGGTGTAACGTTTGCTGAAAAATGTATTCTTACATTTTTCAAATGGGAATACAGATGATTTGTAATTACATTTTTATGCATGCTGCTGTTTTGGTTTAAAAAAATAAATTGCTTCTGTTTTTCCCCCCCGGAATTTTAGTTGATAGAACAGAAAATTTAGCAATGGTTGAAAAGAAACTTTTTCACTTGCTATTGCAATATCTTTGACAAAATGCAGATTACCTCATGAATATAGGGATATTTAAAAAATCTTAACTAGCTTTTTTGTTGTAAAAGAATAAGCGGTAAGAATACATAAACTTAATTATATGATTGTACTCTGGATAAAAATGTGTTGTTTATTACAGTATGTGTGTGTCTTTGAAGGAATCTGTATGTGTGTTGGAAAAGGTGTTGTGTGCGTGTATACAAACTTTGTTTGTTCTCTTGCTTGCGTATGTCGCAAAGGTGAGCTTCCGTCAGAGGAAAGTTGAGGTTTTTTGTCCGTTTACAGTGTGAAGAACAGACGGCTGACGAGGTGATTTTATAGACAGATTCAGCTCAGAGTGTTGATATCTATCTTTACTGTTGTCCTCCTTAACACAAAACACACAAACGCGTACGCACTTATTAACTTGCATGGAATTGTTCAGAGGACCGTTATCAACGTTCTCTTGGTTGTAAACTGCAATGTGTCGTCCTCCCACTTATTTTCCAGTTGTTCGGCTCTGATGTTTAAAATATTGAACATTTTTAGAACCATTTTATTTTTTACTTTTATGTTTTCGGTGACGCACACACGGTTCGCTCTTGATTAATGTTACGTGTACAAAATAACATAAGTGAAAGTTTTTTTTCGATAAGTGGGGACATGGTCAACAAATGCAGGACCTTTGAGATAAAATGAGAAAATGTGTTGAAAATGAAAGAAGAACCACCTTTGAACCAAATTCTCTATAGTCTGCGCCACCTGTCTCTAATGGCTCTTCAGGTTGAATATCTGCCAAATTTATCCAAATTATCCCCCTCATCAGCCTCAAACTGATTCTATACAATATTGTTGAGTGGAATACATATTATTTTGTATTATTAAGTACCAAGTAGTGTTATTATTGATGTTGCCTAATACCGATGCAAAGACTATCAGGCCTCCGCTGTATGGCTGCTTCTTGGTATTCTTTGCTCACGGAAGTGTGGGTGGTGCCACTGTTTTGTTTCACTGACAAATCAGAAAATTTCCATTACTGAATAGCTACTGTACTCAAACCTCATGTGCACTCTGTACATTTGGCCAATGAAGCGATTTTCTGATTTCTGATTAGCGTAGCACAAAGTGCACGCTTGTTCTCATAAATTCTTGATTTACCGCACTTCTTCTTGCTTGGATGATTGCATGCTTGTTTCTTATAGCAGCTCTCTGTACCGCATCTACAGAAAACCTGCAGATTTCAGCTGGAACACAACGGAAATATCAAATATTGTAAAGACCTGCAGCAAACAATGAATTTAACAGTGAAGAACATTTGAACTGCGTCGTGCTGAGGTGCACGAGGGTGTTCATGGCACTGGCCTTGTGTAAACCTTGAGATAGCACAGTTAATGCAAAAAGATGAGAGCATTCGATTTTGGAGCGACTTTTGCAGGGAAGAGTTTGTTCATTTAAGTAAAAGTGCAAACCAGTGTCATGACAAAGTGTAAAAAGTAACTGCACAGATTAACACAGTTTATTTATTTCTTGTTTAACTTTTTGCAGAATTGTTTGTATTTTAAAAGTCTAAATTGACTTAAGCCATAAGAGAGCTAGGATTGATCTTTATCGCGTTTGTGTTTCGCAGCAATTTTGTTTGTTTTTATTGTAAAACGGTTCTTCAGTCATTTTTCTTGGTCATTTCTTTTTTTATGGTTGTACTCACTGTGTTGTTGCATATTGTAAGCGAATATGGTTCAAGTGAAGTATCAAAATGTTACAGCATGGTTAAAGGTCAGATATTGAGAGGTAAAATTGTTTAGGTTAGAACAGCAGTATGGTTAGGATTTTTAAAAATCCTGCTTGTTGCCTAAACATGCAATGAGTTGTAAATGTGCCCTTTTAAAATCCTTTTAAAATACATTAAACAGCAAAAGTATGATATTAACCTAATTAAGACATTTGCATGTAAACAGCATTTTCAGATAAACTTATTTCAAAATACAGTGCAGCTTAATGCCCCATGTTTTAGGAATATGGATAGAATGAGGCTTGGGATGCACATCGACCTTACATTTGTACGGGGGAGATCATCAAAGTCATCAGTCAGACTTTGCGACATATTTTTTCAAGGCCTTTTTGACTCAAGTGTTTCCAAAAGTTTTCAAAGATCCTGTGAGAAAATGTTCTCATTATTAACATGCAATAGGCTGTTTTATCACTGAACTTTTTCAGAGGAATGTTAATATGAAGTGATGTCTACACTATTCCACTCATCTATTCATTTATCTTTTATCATGTTTTTTCATTGTAACTGTTCAAATAGAGAGGTATTTGTAAAATTATAGGTTTGTGCGCATAACGTGTACTGAGGCATTATCACCCATCGATGCCTACCGAAAAAGGCATAATGTAAGAGATAAAGGTGTTACAGTGTTTCTGAAAAACTCACTTGCACATATACCAGAAGATTCTGGGTTTGATTGGGTTTAGCCTGTGGCTGGAGATAACAAGTTGAAGCCAAATCACTCATATCTGCTCCATCCTTCCACTGATAAACCTTATACTTCCATACTTTATTCAGTCTTTGATTGTCTGGCTTGACTGTGTGTGTGTGTGTGTGTGTGTGTGTGTGTGTGTGTGTGTGGGGATGTGGGTGTGGGTGGGGTGGGGGGGGCATGATCCAGTGGGATCCTCTTTCACACAGTGCAGTGTGTTGAATTTGAGAGTTATCAGAGAGTGTGTTTGCACGGAAAGTTGGTGGAGGGAGCAGTCTATGTGATTACTGCTTTTTTCTGTGTGTCAGATTGCGTGTGTGAGCAGTGAAAGGTTGTGGGTCACGGTGGATTTCCTGTTGTTTGTGGTTGACAATCAGAACTGAAATAGCAAAAAAAGAGCAGAGACCACTGATGCTCTCCTACATATCCTGCACCATCAACAGAAACACAATTATATTCACAGCTCAGCCGCTTTATTTCACTCAGTAAGCAAAGTAGCTTTCTGATGCATATGTCCTAAAACGTTTGTTTAAAACACGTGTAGTTACAGGGTTGGTGAATTATTCCCCCTCTCATTAATATGAATATTGATGCTTATCAGTCGTCTTTATTAGTGTGATTCTTATCAGTTGTGTTTTAAGTGTTGGATCTTTGTCACACTTCACATACCTCTGCTTTGTGTTCATATTACATGTTCTTCAATCTCAGATTGGCTTCCCTCTGCAGAAGCCTTCACATGATCCAGACAGAAAAAGAGGGCACACACTGACACACTAACACACACTTACCAAGAAATCTGACACAGTTATGCACGGAAATGCAATTACTACTGTATAAAGACATCATCAGCACCCAAAAGCTTTTATAGCAGAGGCCAGTCACACCTCCAGGGCTGCTGTGGAAGGAAGATATGAGATGACACAAACAGATAAAAGATTATTATGCTGTTTCATAGTGCGGCATCCTTCCACATTGTGTGAGATAATCTGCAAAATGTGTTGATATATTGTTGTTAGAGCACACGAGATAACTGAATACCCACCAGCGAGATAGCCATCGAACCTGACTGTGAGAAAAATAGCCCCAAAGCCAAAGGCTGACAGGTGTGAGAGTCTACAGTGATCAGGGGCACAAGGGGGGGGGGGGGGGGGGTACCATTACTGGCAGTGATGAAGGAAAAGAGAATTACTGGCAGTTGTGTCCTTTATGAGCTAGACAGAGAAGAATCACAAAGAATAGAAATGACATAAAAGAGGGACACTCAGACTGAAAGAGAAGCCAGGCAACCACTTAAAAGGACTCTGAGGTTGACACCTTCATATTCTCCGGCAAAACTCCATTTGCAAATATTCCACGTCCTCAGACAGCTCTCCTTTTATTGCATTTGATGTTATTTTGCTTAGTATTATTTAAGCCAGAGGTGTTTAAGAGGAAAATACCTTTGGTTTATGATGGCCACATGATAAGTGATAGATGTTTGAGGGGAAGTACAGAAACTCACTGTGGGAATCACTTTGAAGCCAGGTGAAAATATGCAGTGTGTTGAGCTGTTATATAAGCATATTTTACACATACATGGTTGTATTAAAATAACTTTCTTAGATAGTAGTAGGCATTTCAGCCTTACATGGATTTCATCAATCAGCTTTGTAGGTTTTGTGTGGTGTATTTATCTGTTTACAGTAAATATCCGGTATCGTCTTCATTTGTGTGCCAAAGACAACATGTTCTCTATTTAAAAATCTTAACACAACTTTTCTTTCAATACTTTTGGGTCCTCTCAGCCCAGATTGAAGTTATTCCATGCAAGATTTGTGGTGATAAGTCTTCTGGAGTGCATTATGGAGTCATCACTTGTGAAGGCTGCAAGGTGAGTTTGTCCAGACAGGCACACACAGATAGCATCACCAGGCCGAGCTTCACCTCCTAAGTAAGACCACATACAGTTTGATGGGTCTTATTTGTGTACTTTCGCAGTTGCGCACAACTGTTGAGGATTTGAAATTACTCAATAGGGCTGTTACTGGAGTTGGATTTTCATTCTTAATTCGGTGCACATAGAGTTGCCTTCACATACCAACTTCCCACGATTGCCACTCCTTTTCCTCAGTTAGATGTAGAAACTATAAGCTGAAAAGTATCTGACTCCTTTGAACTTAAGAGAGAGAATTTCAGAAATTCGAGAAAATCAATGTAGCATTTTCCCTTTGGATCTTCGCGCCTTCCCGGTAGATGACAAGAGACATCAGCACATAAAATGTCAAACAGATGTTGAAAGTGCCTCTGTCAAATCACATGTTATCAATCAGCAGATCACCTTTAAACATCTTCCACACAAATTGAAAGAAAGTCCTGTGTTTAGCGAGGGAGTCCAGTTGAGTTGTCTCTTGCGCAAAAAGTCATGCCCGTGCTTTGCTCTGTTAATGCACCCCTCAGGGCTTTTTCCGGCGCAGCCAGCTGCCCACCGTCTCGTACTCCTGCTCCAGGCAGAGTAACTGTCAGATCGACCGGGCCAGCCGCAACCGCTGCCAGCACTGTCGCCTGCAGAAGTGTTTGGCTCAGGGCATGAGCAGAGATGGTGAGGCCGGACGGATCCTCGCCGTTCGTCCAATCCGCTCACTCCGCCGAGTGCTTTTATCCAACTTTTTCTTTTTTTTTTTTACTCCCCTCAGCAGTGAAATTTGGGCGGATGTCCAAGCGTCAGCGGGACTCCCTGATCGCGGAGGTGGAGAGGCACCGGCAGCAGCAGCAGCAGCACCAGCAGCAGCAGCAGCTGCAGGGGGACGCTCACGCCGCCCTGTCCTATCCCGCCAAGAACCGGCCGGAGCGCTCGCCCCAGCTCCTTCAGCCCATGGCCACTGCGTACTCCTACGCTGCAGACAGCGAGCTGCTGCCCTACGCTGCCGAAGTCCACCCTTACCTGGTGTGCTCCCCCAACGAGTCCCAGATGTCCGGAATGATCTACCGGGGCTCCGGCATCTCTCCCACATCAAGATCCCAAGGGAGGGGGGACAGCGGCGGACACCCCGATGAAAGAGGTGAGGCACCAAAGCGGTAACACGCCACAGTCTACTCAGGCTTTTCTTTTATCCTATTGCCCTGGTTTTTAACATTTCTCTCCTCTCTTTTCTGCCTCTCAGGATTTGACTCCAGGCAGCAATCACATGATCTGATGGCGATCCATCCCTACAACTCCCTGGAGGATCCTTACAGCCTTTATCCTCTTTCCTTGCGAAACATTGGTGAGCAGCCGGCCCGGTGGGACGACACGGGTGTTCAGTTGTGACTACAATACCCATGAGTGCCTTTGCTTTTTCTCAGAGGAGCTGTGTGCCAGCATTGTGCGCTCCCACAGAGAAACCAGCCAGTACCGACTGGAGGAGCTGCAAGCTCTCAGCTGGAAACAGTTCAACAGAGAAGAGATTCAAGCCTACCAGAGCAAGGTATTACCAGCCAGAAATCAGTTTCCTCCAACCGTTTTTTCCCACCTTTATTCTTCATGATTCAGACAGCCTCAAAACAAAATATGACAGTTCACATGGTTTGATGTTACTTTTGTTTGATGAATCAAACAGAAACGAGAGAAATTGTCTCTCATAATTTTCCCCCTCCTCCTCCTTCTTTGATCATCAGAGTAATCAAAAGGTGGAGGGGGAGTTGGTTAAAAAAGGTGATAACGTACACAGACTTGAGCGGTTGTTTGAATGGTTGGGACAGTGAGAATCAGTGTGTGAGGGTTGAATGAAATATTACAGAAATATTATTCTGATATGAATCGTTTTTTCTCCCTCTGTGTTTGCAGACAGTGGATGAGATGTGGCAGCACTGTGCCATCCGACTGACTGATGCTGTGCAGTATGTGGTGGAGTTTGCAAAACACATCCCTGGTTTTCGTGTGCTGAACCAGAATGACCAGATTGCCCTCTTGAAGGCCGGTGAGTTACCACTCACGTTTGAGATTAAGTTCAATCATAGTAGTGTTATTTTCTCCAACTCCCTTCCTTCTGTTTTCCTTCAGGCTCCATGGAGGTGGTTCTGGTCAGGATGAGTCGCTTCTTTAACACAGAGAATAACACTGTTTTCTTTGATGGGAAATTTGCTGGAACTGAGGTCTTCAAGTCTTTGGGTAATGGTTTCACCATTATATCGAAAAGCATTTGTGGAATGATCAGAGGTGACGTTTTCAGTGACTTACAGATGCTCTGATTTCTGTTTTATCCCAAGCATGTGGGGATTTAATTTCGGCAGTGTTCGACTTTGCTCATGGGATGTGTGCTCTGAAGCTCACTGAGCAGCAGATCGCTCTCTTCAGCGCTCTGGTGTTAATCAATGCAGGTAGGATGAACTCAGACTTCCTCCCACTCATGTCGCACTCTACTGTTCGTTTTTAGGCCAAAAGCAAAGTAGCATTTCTCACAGCTGCATTTAAGATAAGGGAAACATTTACCCTTGCACCGTCCTTCAGGTAACACCCTGTATAGAATGGGCTTACCATATTCTGTTAAATTTGTTTTATAGGAGTGATGATTGTATTGCTTTTTCTCTAAGATAATTATTTTTAGATATACATCTCAATTTACGGTGATTATCCTAAATGGCTTAATCTCCCTAATCACCCAGAAAAGCTTATTTTCACCCATACTAAAAATCGTATATCTTATATAGAGAGAGATCTAAATATTAAATTGAAATATATCCTTTATTGAATTTGGTCTGTGGTTTCATTATCCCAGCCTTTATTTGCTTGCCACCTACTGCATGTTAAGTGACATTACATAGACTGCATCATGTTAAGTTACAAGTTCATAATTCTACTTTCGATCAGAATACATTGGGGCGCTTTCATCCTCCTTTTTTGATATTATCATGCTTAACGTCTTTTTAAAGATCCTCTCATCTCTTTATGTTTGAGGTCAAATGTTTGTGGATCCTATCCCTGCAAAGCACCCATCTGAAAAAATAAACAAAAGATATGAGAAAACCTGCTCATATTTAACCGTGTAATCCTGTTAACTAGAATATTAAGAGTAAAATGAGTCTGGATTGCAAATCAGAAGTTTAGGAGCAGCTGTTTCTATTGGATTTAAGTAAGAACTTTGGGATTCATCACGCAAAGGAGATTCTGTGACACGCATTTGGGAAGAGACAACCTAAAAAGCATGATTAGACCACTTTAACGAGCAACTGAACAAGCACAGATTATTCACACTTGAGTGCTTGAATTTAAATGTCTGTTACAATTGCATCTAATTCATTAGATGGTCCTGCGTTTTTATAGAGGGTCTCATTGTGTTGAAATGGATTCCAGCTACTTTTTTGCAAGAGGCAAGACAAACCTGGTTGAGTCAAAGGTCAACACAAACTCACTCATTGAAACTCTTCACAGGAAGGCTCCACCTAGCAAGCCAATGCGGATTGTTTCTCTGTATGAGACAACAGGCCAAGTTCCAGATACCTCAAATGAAAATAAATCAGAATATTTACTTTCTAAAAAATATCTTTCTCCTCAGACCGTCCATGTCTGGAGGACAGAGGCAGAGTTCAGCGAGCACAAAGAAGCATTGAGCTAGGCCTAACACACATCTTACACCGAGACAACCAGGAAGGTCTGATCCATAAGGTACAGTTTCACCTGCTTGGAATACAGATGCATCTACACGCTGTCCTCACTCTACAAGAGGATATACCTTTTACGAGGCCTGCTCCATGTCTGTTTTCAGCTGTTCCAGCGGATGGCAGTGTTGCGTTCCCTGTGCAGTCTGCACATGGAGAAGCTGCGCTGGTTCAGTCAGAGATACCCGCTCACGGCTCACTCTCTGTTTCCCCCACTCTACAAGGAGCTGTTTGCTTCTGAGGCAGAGCTACTGCCGGGAACCACTCACTGACCATTCGTCCACAGACGCAATAACATGATACACAAGCACATTATTTTAAGTCTCGTCATCACAGAATCTATTTTTCTAATGAAATCCAATAAGAAAAGCACAGTAATCATAGTGCTTTGACTATTTTATAAGTCCCAACTTAGTGGATATTTTTGTAGACTATGTCAAACACCAATTCAAATGCTCTGATAGCTTCTAATTATTTCTGATTATTCCAAGGAAATATGCATATGAAATTATGTGAGTAAAGAATTCATGTTTTCTAAGGAGGATGTGCTGTTGTGATTCTGTCCTTTTGTAGCAACTGTATGTCACAGTGTGTTCACACATAGATTCAAAGAGGTGGGATGCTGGTCAATTTATGACAAAAGTGAGGGCTTTTCCTATATCTATCTCTTGAGCAGGTAAACGTCATTCAGAATGTTAAAATACTTTCTGTAATCACTCTATGTGGATGCCATCCTGGTTTCACAGTGACTGTGTCCTTGTAAAACTGAGTAAAAGACCAAAAAGTCATTTCTGTAGAGTTAAAACAAAGAAAATAGGAAAATCCGGGTGGAAAAGTAAGAGAAAACATTATACTTAGTTATATATATATAACTAGCAACATGCCATCAAAGATTAAAATAACTACCCATTTCTCAGCTGCGTCCTCATTTTAATTCAATTTTCAATTTTCATAGATGCTTCTGTATAATTGCACCTCGGCTGTTCTTTCCTTTAGAGACGGGCTGCGCTCTGGCCTCAGAAAGGTTCTCATGTACAACCAAACTGCCTCTTTGTATCTGTGTGTCACTAGAACAGTGTTTCTCCTCAGGCTGATGTAACATATTGACCATTAAATCAAGCTGGGATCAGTTCTGCTGAAATATGTCTCCTCTGTGTAGCTGAAGCCACATTTATGTCTTTTGAGCTTTGAGAGAATGTTGCATTACATGTAAAATTAGACAAAGCAGAAATCTCTTTTGTGTGCTAACCTTTCCCCTTTCCCTTCTGATGAACTATTTTATGTCTCCCCATTACATGTCATAATTGTATAAAGTTGATGAAAAAGTTTAATGGTTTTCAGCATTAAATACTTTTTGTCCAGATGTAGTCCGTGCTATGACTGGAACTGAGTTTTGAGTGACATCATTTCCATGTAAACCTTCTAATAAACTCCTGAGGCTGCAATGGATCTGAGTCATTGACTGTTTGCGGGAAATATAAATGAGAAATACAAACAATTTGACAAGATCGAGACAAACTAGAGGAATAATCCAGCTATGTTTCAATAAATGTTTGTTTACACAAATGAAATGGTTGCTCTGTTGCTTTGAATTATGGGTTTATCTCTTTTCCCTTCTCTGTAGAATACAAATGCTCAAGCAAAATGCAGCTGCAGCACTTTGACACAAAGGAACTGTTAGTCATTGTGGTTGAAAGTGTTGAAAGAGGGTGTCATAAACCAAAAGTGCTGCTAAGGAGGAAGTGAAATTAAGTGGCCGTAGCTCATTTGGGCACAGACAACATTTTCCTTCAAGGAGTGTGATGTTGAACCAAAACATGCGAAGCTGCAACAAAATGGGACCTACGGGGTGGTTTCTTTGAAAACAAAAAGGAACCTACATTTAAATCCTTTCAGTTTTTGTGGGGTTCATTTTTAACAAAGAAGAATCCTTTTTCTAACACTTTTCATGTGGCATGTTTTTTTTCTCAGTTTGTCACATGTAAACAATCCTTGGAACGATGGCTCCGGGGATTGTTTTCTTTGCTAAGCACCAGACAAAACATTCAAACTTCCTCTATTTTTCCACCAGAGCATGAGAGCGAGTACATCTCTGCCGTGCCAAAAACCATTTGCCTTTCTTTACTCCTAACTTTCGGTGGAATGTCAACAAATTTCCTGTGCACAGCTTTTGGACAGCTTCAATGTGTACAAACAAACCTGCAATGGCACAATGATTCAACCTCTCATTGAGCTTTATCTCACAGCTGAAAAAAGAGGATTTTGTGTTATCTGTTAAGGGTCACAATGACCCTGAAGTTACACTCAGTGTGTCAGAGAGTATGAGAGAAAATAACAGAAGACAAAACACAGTGGATGAACATTTTAGATGGTTCAATGGCACCCTGCCTCCCAAGACAGATTCCTTTAAATAAAAATTTGAATTGTTTTATGCTTAAAATTAATTGAGACAAAACAGACCTTTAAAGGCAAAATAACATATGTTTCAGAAGAAAGACTTCATATTTGGGAGGAGTAAACTTAGTTTACACTGCAAACCTTCTCTTAGTGATTAAGACCATATTAGAAGGTTATTCTATTCTAAAAATCAATAGAAAATAGAACTAAGCCTTTTTTTTTTTTACTTTGTGAAGTGTGACTCATTTCAGCCAGCAGGTGATTATGACCTGAGCCAACAGAGAACCCAAATTAGGGTTCACTTCAGGATCCATACCTGAAAGAGGCTCAGATATTACGGGCCCGAACAGAACTGGGATTTGAAGGGATCTGAGTCATGCTGAAAAAATTATTTCCCCTCCCTTTTCCTCACTGCTCCTCATCTCTCTCTCTCCCCCCCTTTCTCTCTCAGATCCCACTGCACCCATAAATAGCGCAGCCTCTGCAGCCGGACCAATAGCCAGAGCCGGTCTGTGAGCTGACTGAGCCTGCTTTTGGGCGGCACCTGAACTGTTCGGTGCGCACGGACGCTTTTTTACGCGCAGAGGAGATTCACAACAAGCACGCAGCAAGGGGCTGAAATGGCCTCGTCCTGGGTACTGCTCCTCACCACCGCCTCGGCGTTGGTTTTCCTGAGCCTTGCACACACAGGTCAGTACAGTTTTTTTTTCCGGTGCCAGACGCCAGAAATAGTTTGCGCTTCTTGTCTCGTGTTGGTTGGTCGCATGAGCTGGGAAGTTGGTTTTTGTTTTGACCCCGCTAAAAAGTCAACTTTTATGTTGCATGTTGAGATTTCCTGTTTTATCTTTACATGCGAAAACAAACGTGTTATTATTGGACTGGACCTCTCCTGGATCTGTCTAAAATCAGTGGCAGAACTGTTGTTGTTAAACCTGGAACCACAGTCGCTACGAAATACAGACGAAATAGAGGTCATAAACAGTCTGCTATTTGCAAACTGCATGTAGAAGTCTGATCTACAGAGGAGGGATGCAAGTTATAGAAACAATAAAACTGATCGAACCAACTGATTTCTGAATGATAATCTCACAGAGTCAAAAATCTGTTACAAATGTTACAGTGAAGTTACATAACTTGAATTTGTGTAAACAAACACTACAGGCAGGTAAAACAAAAATAAAGCTAGTGACAAAGAATAGAGTAAACAAAGTAGTAAAATGGCAATATCAAAAAACATAATAAGTTCAAACAAATACAGTGTTAGAACTATGTTATAGCTACAAAAGCAAAATAACAAGATTAAGGCTGTTTTTTTCTTCCATACAATTATTGATATGTTTGTGGAAGCTAAGAAAATATTCCATTATATGCTGGCAGCCTCTCTGTGTTATATTTTGGACAATCTGCAGGTGAGAATCGATTATTGACACACACGTTGGTCTGGGCATTCAGTGAAACGTGACCAGCATGATCCTCTCAGCTTATAACGTGGTGCTTGCCAACATGTAGTTTAGAACTGAAGAGGCCTTAGGAATGAGAAGTAAACGTCTTGCAGCCTCAAAAGTCCAGTTGCCTCTGCTCAAGTTCTGACCATTTGTATGAACCAGATGACTGAGTATCCAAACATTACCTATTCTACACATTAAAAGTCATCACAAGTTTTATACCTTTTTTTTCTCTCCTTTGCAGATGAACACATGTTAGAGCAACGTGAATACACTTTTGAAGGTATGTACGCATGCAAGTTCCACAGTTTGACCCTTTAAGTGGTATTCACTCAGCTCTCACTACTCAAAGAAGCTATTCAAATCTTCAGTTTAACAGACATTAACTTTGGTTGCACTAGCCAGGGGAGTACTATTTCACAACCTGATATATAAATGTAATGTATGAAAAATGTTTGTCAATGTGTGTAAATACATATAAACTATATGTACAAGGTGGACATTTTTCACTATTTTACCCTGTGAGAAGTTTTGAAAATGGTCAATTTTCTATTTCAGAGATACCAGATTCATTTCTGCTGCAGAAAGAGGTAGACCTGGCAGATCTCCTCGATCCAAAACGTACTGCTGATCTTTCTCCACTTTCTTATATCCTTTTCTTCATTTGAGGTTGTTATTAAAACATTTGTTTTTTTATGCTTCTTCTTTTCACAGAGTTCCCCGTGGAGCAAGTAATTGTGGAACCACCAAAATATGGATTTAGAGGTAATGCATCCATCCATGTATCCATGCATCTGTGCATGTCCAAAGGCAGTATTGACACAGGTACATTTTCATAACTATTTTGTTCCATCAGGGGAATCCTCGTCAGGAGGATTCTTGACACCAAGAGGAAGTATGTGTCTTTTTTTTTAACCGCTCCTCTTTTTTTATTTGGCATCTGCACCACCACCTACAACAAAAGTATCCGCTCACTGTCCGATTCCTGTTTTGTGTTTAAAGGGCGACCAAGTTTTGGGCCTCGTTCTTTAGGTGGACCGGCCATGTTGGACTATCCAGTTCAGTTTCCCCTTAGCCGACCGACATCAGACAATATCCAAGCCATCTGTCTCTATCGAGACCAGCGTCCCCGCTATCCACACTCTTACTTTCCGGCGTCTGGTTTTGGGCAGCAGAAGCGACAGGCTGAGGCCGTGAATAATGCAGAGGCCTGGTTTGACACGTGCTGCAAAGAGAACCAGACGTCGGAGAGAGACGTGACGCTGTGCTGCGCCACTCAGGCGGTAAGTGTGGCACAACAGCTCTTTCAGCCCTTTTCTTTTCCCCCTTGTAAATTTGTAAAACCACTAAAGCTATCCAGCCTGACGTTACCTTAATGATTCATTTCACAGTTTTTTTTTCCATTTTGATGCGGAAAATTTGTTTCTCAGAATCGCTCAGATAATTCCTGACGCACAACATCTAAAAAATATTGTGAAGTCTCAAATGCAGCTCCGTAACCGTTTCAGTTTGATTGTAGCTTTGTCTTCTGACTGCTCAGCTAAATGTGGTCTCTGTGCTTTGGCGTGCAGGCTCAGACATGCAGGCCTCATGCCAGAATTGAAGCGTTTGATTCGTTGCCCCTGACTGTGCCGCCGTATTTTCTTTTCTGTACCTGCTGCAGTGGGAGCTGTCTGTGAGCTTATTCTGTGAAAAGAGCTCGTCAGTGAAAGATCGGCTCTATCACTGCTGCAAACAGACCGGCAGTGACATACTGAACTGTTTCAACAACGACTCACCAAACCCAAGCTACGGGCCAACAGAGGAGCTCCCAGTGCTGGCGCTGCCCCCTGCTGCTGACTTCACCTTTGAGCCCAACGCCTGTGAGAGGTTTGTGGAACTGAGCAGAGGGTGGTGCTTCCCTCTCCCTCTTATTAGCACCATATCATTCACAAGTTTACAAAACAAAATATTTGTGGTGATGACCACGTGACGAGGCAAGTGGCGTGAATAAGATGTCTAGTAATATCATGTACTTCATTAACTGTGAATAACTAGATTTAGAGGACTAAGTGCTATATTAATAAATTGAACTTGACTACAGGTACCTTGTAAAGAAAAATGCAGTGTTAGCCATAGATTTTATTTTGATCTTTTTAAGTCAGCAGTTTATCTGCATCAGTGAATACAAAGAGACATTTACAGTGGCACATGTAGCTCATTTCACCAGACATCTCCTTAATGTGCACCACTAACAATTAAATTATATACAGATTCAAATGTGTGCAGTTAAAATGAGAGATCCAACAAAAGCTGCGTCATAAAAGCCAAAAAAATGAATTTCATGTTATAGCTTGTGTTCATTGTTAATTAGAGAATTATTATTTTCGCAGCAATTCAGGCGAAGCTAGTCTGTAACTGATTTTACAGACAAAATACAATATTTAGCCATTTGCTGAGAAGGACAAAATGTGACCCACAGAGAAATTAATCATGCGATGTCGGCTTAATGTTGCAAAATATACTTCCTTATTTCAGAATTAATTCTAGAACTGGAATTACATCATTTCTGCCCCTCACTTCATGCTTCATACTTTACAGAACACCATTGGGTCAATATGGTGCAGCAACTGGCAGAAGAGAGACTATGGGGAAACCTGACATCATGTTTCCTCTTGGACGACCCACTCCGGCTAACATTGGATCACTATGCAGCAACCAAAAGCTTCGGCCCCTGTATGATGCCAGCTGCCTTCAGCCCTTTCACCATCACCTGGCTCTTGAGGTCAAGGTCATCAATCGTTTAGAAAGGCAGTTCAAAAAGTGCTGCAAAAGGAAGCGAGGCGCGCTCAGCTGCGCTGACCAAAAGGTAAAACAGAACCAGACAAAACATTTTGCTCAGCTTAACTGAACCTTTTCTGAGGCTGTTCGTACTTTGTGTTAAAGTGGCGTCAGGAGATAAGCAAGTTCTGCGTGATCAGGAATGCGGAGAACCTGAAAATGGGTGACCACTGTTGCTATCCTACTGATGGTGATATACACGCCTGTTTCCAAAAAACATCTCCAGACCCACACTACAACATGACTGCTGCCCCCCAAGAGCTTCAACTTAGCAATGTATGCGACATTCACAGTATTATCACAGACAGGTAGGGAAGAGCTTATTCTCCTTCTTTATAGTTAAAAAAAGATCCTTGGTGTTATTTATGTTATGGACATTAAAGAACATAAAAGAAAATGTATAAACAATATAATGTTTGGTGCAGATTTCCTGTTGGGTTTCCTCTCAACACCTTTGTGAGCCAATGCTGCCCTCTGCCTGAACAAGAGAGGAACAGCTGTTCTGTGAGCAAGGTCAGTAAGAAATGGAAATGATTCAAAATAAAACGAACTGAAAAAAAGGGGCAATGATTAGAGTTAAAGAGCTTTTATCTTGGAATGTTGACTTAAAAGACTATTTCTAAGTGGGTTTGTTCTCTGAACTAATTCAGCTCAAGGAAATAACCCAGAACCTTTGCTCATCTGAGAAGACTTCCTCTGAAGTTGACCACCGCTGCTGCAAGAAGAAATCACCAGAAGAGATTTCACAGTGTGTCTCCAAAAGCGTCATGGATGCCGTCGCCAAAGCAACAAACATCAAGAACCAGAAGAAGAGGAAAAGGTGCCCCATTTCTTAAACCCTAACTGACACTGGGCTGTCACTGAAGATGGTGAGCCCAATGAAAAAGTGTCTTCCATAAATTAATTAATGGTAGGATGCACAAATCCAATTTAAAGGCCAGAATTATCTGTCATAGTGATGATGAATGTAATATTGTGTCTACTCTGTAAGTCGCTTTGGATGAAAGAGTCTGCCAAATGCATAAACATAAACATAAACATTATCAAGTACAATGTGGACCAAATTCCTCTTTCATACTCTGCCAGTGTTGATTACCTACAATCACCCAGATGTTTTATACTTTGATATATCTTTAAGAAAAAAACTGAATTGTGGAATGTATCACTATTTCTGTATTATTTCTGCTCTTGACATATTTGATTGTGAATGTTTATTGTTGAAACCATCTTCCTACAAGATCAATGATTAAATTCTCATGGTTCCAATCGCAAGATGATATCTGATTCAGTTTTAATAAAGAATTTCTAAATATTTCTTCTTTGTGTTTGTCTGGGTGACTATCAACATGCAAACTAATGTAAATGAAACAGTGGAAAATTCTGTTGTGGATTAACAACACCAAAATGCAAATGCTATGTAGAGTAATGGTTTTAGTAACGTTTTCAATTGAACTCTTTATCTGTACATCATGGCAATGTTTGCATCACATAAGTGGTGATTTCATCTGTCATTGCTGGAAGGATCAACAGGTTAAACAAACGACTAATTCTAATAGAAATAGATAGAGCTCATATTCTTTAAAGCCCTAACCTTGATCCAATTAAAATGTTGTGGAAGGACCTGAGGGGACGGTTGTGTGAGAAAGTTCAAAATGTATTGTTCCAGGGAATGCACAACATTTACACTAAACCGTTTAATAAAAACTGTTCTTAACCAACGAGGGAAACATTTAAAAATCACCTAAGTTACGAGAGTAATAACACTAAAATTATGCCTGTGCCTCGGTGTGGCTACAGGAAATTTGAAACAGAAACCTGTCTCCTTCCGTCCACTGGGGGGCGCTGCGGCGGCGCTGCGACACGGGCATCAGAATTCAACTGTCGGCGCTATCTGGGATGTGAACAGTGGAAACGTAATGGCGACTGCTGGAACAGCAGATTCGGGATCAACGGTCCCGACAGGTACCTTTTCTATTTGTCCTACCCTTGACTGTGCAGAGATTTGAAGCGTAAACAGCTCGTTGTAGTTTTTTTATAACGTAGCAAATAGTGTTTTGTGGTGGCTGTTGCTCTTCCATGCCCCAGTTAGCCAGTTAGCAGGTTAGCATCAAGCACTTCAGCCTAACAAATGAACCAAGTCATAGCTAGCTTGTTAAGCAGCCTAGTTAATAAACCGCAGCGGCCGGGTTATTGATGGTCATGCGGTCCAGACCACCTGTGTTTATATCAGGTCGCCTTTACGTTTTTGACACACGTTAAGAAAAAATCCAAGCGCCAAGACCACGTTTGACTAAAGTAGGCGATTGTTCGTTTCCAAGCCGGTTGTGCCGTTATGCTTGGGTGGTGTTTGTTCAGAAATGAAGCAGCTTCACGCTGATGGTTAAAAATGATCTGTTTTATAAATAGCAATTTTTAGTTTTGAAAGGTCAGTTCGACACGTCTACCCATAGGGAGTCAACCATAGCTTTTCTGTTACCCCCACTTTCCTATCTCTCCTATTACAGTCCTCCTCTTCCTCAGTCTGTTTCTGTCCACATTCATGATAAACAGAAAACACCCACTTTTCCGAAGTTTTCACAGGTGGTATTGTATTTGTCTGAAAGATTAATGGACTTTGCTTGTCATGCATATTGAGTTAATGAAATGTCTTTAATCTTTTCTCCTTTGACCATGTTCATCATATCAAAGCCTCATCAAGGAGGTGAACAAATTTCTGATGAATGCATTGTTGGTTGCTGATATCCTACTTACTTTCCATTGGCCACACAAACAAAGACTAATAGCTTGCGGGTCATGCGCTAACAGAGGTTTCTTATTTTCAGAGGATTAGACAGATGATGGGAACATGCATCCCACTAATCCATTTAGTTGTGCACATCTTATTACCTTCCCTGAGCAGAGCAGACAAGCTCTTGCCTCAGTAACCACCCAGTCTGAATTGTTGCATTAAAAATAGTGACTTTGAAACACTCCTGTGGCTCCAAAGTGGCTGAGATCCAGATATATTACAAGCACAAGAAATAGTATTCTGTCTGCGGCATGCCCTCAGATTCTTAAGTGACAGAAACTAAATGTAGCTTCTGTTACAGCCATTATTGCCCTTGTTTCCTATTTGGGCCAAGAAGCGGTATATTAACAGATTCGACTTGGCCTGAAAATCATCTTAAAGCGTGTGCATGTCCCATATTAATGCAATACTGCAGGGTTGTTTGGACCTATTTAGTATACAGAAAGAAACAGATGGTTTGCCTATTGTTGTAAGGCATGCCACTGAGGAGCTGAAGTCATTGTTAAGTAATCAGGTTACTTTAATTCCTGCAAATCTATGGCACAGTGTGTTAACAGGGTCCAAACCTTTGAGAAAATGAAACTAGCTCAAGCTAAGTATATTTTAATTATGGATTAGTCATACGGGTAAGTGATTGCCTACAAGAATCATCAGACTTTTTAAAGTGGAAAAGAAAAGGTTTTCTGATCTATTAGCTCGCATGTCTAATTGTTTCAGTGTTGGATAATCTGTCTGACAATCTAAATGTGTTCAGCACTGCTCACTTACTCGGTAGGATAAGCCAGTTAGGCTGACCATGTCCTGCTCCGCAGATATAAGGACTCAGTTCTGGAGGAGAGCATTGCAGCGAGGTACCCGCATGGGTGTGTGTGTGAGTGTTTCTGTGTGTGCAGAAACTGCATGAGAAGTGGTGAAATATAGTGTGTTTTACATGATGAGAGAGACTGTGGGTGGAGTAATGCCCATTGTTTCCCGATGGATCGCAGTGTGTCCCCGTTAACTGAGAAGAGGCGCATGAAATCCACTTTCTGCCATGTTGTTAACGCTTCCATGTTTTTCTTTTGTTGAAATTTGTTTTTGCTGTGCATCAGATGGGTTGCATTTTCTGGGCAGATTTTTCCCCCCACAGAGAATGGTTACTGCTGGCATATAGTACTTTGAGCCCTTAGTCTTTTTGTATATGTATTGACCACTGGTACTACAGTGTTGGAGTAGATGTTGCTATTGGTTACAGCTAAAGAGAATCACATAGTGGGCGAGATAGCAAGTTTATACAGCAAGTTTATGTAAGGACCCAGCTGTGTGCTTCACTCACAGAATGTCTCACACATCTATGACACCTGATTTTGGAATTAACGCAACATCCAGATTATTTATTGTTATTATTTATCACCTTGCTTAAATAATTAAGTTTTACATTTTTTTTTAATGTAAGCATAGTGGAGTCTATAGAAACTGTCAAAGCAAACTATTATGATGCAAAACCCTGGCTATTCGGAGGTGGGGGGGCTAAACCTGGAACTGAACCAATTTTTTCGAGGACATAGTGATGTTGATACTTCTTCAGGGAGCAGATGAATATGGAACAGCCAGCTCGGGGGAGAAGCAGGCAGCTCCAGCTCACCCAGAGCCGGTGTTCCGGGTGCCACAGGCAGCAACTGTGGACACATTTAGGCTTGGGCTCATCATCGGCCAGTGCTGGAAATAGACATGTTAATTAACCAACAGAGGAATTAGTAATCGGTCATAAACAAAGTGTTCCATGACAAAAGCTTCCACTTTATGCCCCTCATTATAATATATTCATATTTAGAGAGGTTTCATAAAGTTTAGCCGAAGAAAAAGATGTAGACATTCTGTGTTATTGTCTTGTTTTTTTGTATATTTTCTTGATGTGTCTACCTAGCATTCCAGTTCATAGATTATTTTTTCTGTCCTCAGGGACCAGCAGCATTCGAAAAATGGCCCCTGCAGAGGTAAGGATGTCAGGAAATACTTAAAAGAAACATTTAAATTAATTAATTAATGTAAAGGTTAAATTAGGGAAGGAGATCCAAATGAGAAGCAACACTTTTAAAAAAAAACAAAACTAAAACAGATTCAAAGGTATATAAATCATGTACGAAATTTCAATAAATACTTCAGATATGATGTATTTTAGTTTTACTATGGCTGGGGTTCCATGATAACTACAAAAGTAGTTATTAGCTGTAACCATGTGGCTCAAAACTAAAAAGATATACAGTAAGAAACAAGATGGTGAGAATCAGACAAATGTTTAGTTTCTTCTCTGATTTTGTTATGTTACTTACGTACTCACTAAAAGTCCATTATCTTGTCAAAGTGAGCTGAAGGTTCATACGGCTGTCATGTGAGCATGTTTTCGTGCATGATCTAAAGCCCAAACACTGTACAGATAGCTCTTTGTCTTTCCGGTTTACAAACACATGCACACACACCAGACCATGTCAAATACCATCTCAAATCCTCAGATGCCGGGCTCTTCAGGCACAACTCAGAGCATGAAGAAGACCATTGGACACCGGGGCGTTGAAACCACTACCGGGGAGACCACATACAAAAAGGTGAGGATGGTTTCTAACCACTTGTTTGTTTACACCCACGGCACTGAGCAACAGCACTACAAGTAGGGAAAAACACTGTGTGCAGGCCCACATGTTTGGTGTTTTTGGTCTATAATTAGCTGCATTAACTCAAAGCCCCAGAATAGCAAGTGAAACAAACAAGTCATAAGGGCAAAATAATGTTTGTTACAGTTGTCACTCTGTTTCCCTCTCTGACCTTTTTAGACCACATCGTCTGCCTTAAAAGGTGCAATCCAATTGGGCATTGCTCACACAGTTGGCAGCTTAAGCCAAAAGGCAGAACGGGATGTTTTGATGCAGGATTTTGTGGTGGTCGAAAGCATCTTCTTCCCTGGGTTTGTAAAATAACTTATAACAAGCAAAAAACAAAGCGTATGTATTTATTTGGTATTCAGTTCACGTAACTTGAAATAACTTTCTTACTGTTTTGCACGTGTCTCTAGTGAAGGAAGCAACCTGACCCCTGCTCATCACTACAGTGACTTTCGCTTTAAGACCTACGCTCCTATCGCCTTCCGTTACTTCAGAGAACTTTTCGGCATCCGGCCAGATGACTACCTGGTTTGTACCTGTGGTTTGTGCATATGTAGACACTTACTGTGATGTAAACCTTTTTTTCTTTTTTGTTTTCTTCTTTGCACGTGTTGTCATGTTTGGGGATCAAACATAAAAACAACGGCCGAGTCCTTACTCGTTCATTCTTGAAACTTTCTCACGAGATCTATGTAATATTATAACTTCTTTCTTTTTTTATATATCAAAATCAGAAAAGCTTCCATCAATTTATGAAACTTAAACATAAAGTACCATAATTTAATTGACCTGATGTAGACTGGAGTGTGCTGTTTGAATTCTAATAGCTTCTCTCTCTGATGCAGTATTCTTTGTGTAATGAGCCACTGATTGAGCTTTCCAACCCCGGAGCCAGCGGATCCCTCTTTTATGTTTCTAGTGATGATGAGTTCATCATCAAGACTGTTCAACACAAAGAGGCAGAATTCCTCCAGAAACTCTTACCTGGTTACTTCATGGTGAGTCTGTCATTTTTAGTCCCATTTTTTATCCCAGTTTGAAGAGACACAATTTTAATGTTTTGCACTGACCACATTAGATGTGGAACATTTGAACTCTTTTAAAAAAAATCAATAAAAAGGATTTGTAGGAAATCCTTCAGTCAACATATAAACTGATGACTGGCGAGGGTGTCAGGATTAGGTATTAAAGGAACATACAACAGTCTTTCACACAAGAAAGGGTCATGGCTAGGCAAATCTAATGAGAGCATTATGAGGAAGTTCAATAGAATATTTCTCAATGCAAAATTGCAGAAAAGTTTTCATGTAGAAGTGTAGAACATTATGAAAATATTCAGAGAGCCAGCAGAAATCTCAGCCACTGGAGACTAAAGATAGAAGCCGCTGCTGGATGTGTGTGACCTTTCAACCTCTCAATATTTTCAAAATGCACAGTTGGTCAGTGAAATATTAAAAACATTTTGGGAGCTGAACTAACAAAGTAACCAATTTGTTCTCATGAGTGTTCATTAAAGGTTTAAATACATTTATAATTCACGGCAGTTTAAAATGTTGCATCATAGAAAGCAATACATTCATTTCTTAAAGTAAGGGTTCATATAATTGGAATAAGATTATAAAATGTAACTGAGAAGGACCTTTGAAATATTTCTCACATCTAAGACATTCTATATTTTTTTGTCTTTCATGTTCCCTTTCGCCTCCAGAACATAAACCAAAACAAGCGCACCCTGCTACCTAAATTCTATGGACTGTACTGCGTTCAGGCCGGAGGCAAGAATATACGTATTGTAGTGATGAACAATCTTCTGCCTCGAATAATCCCTATGCACCTCAAATACGACATGAAAGGCTCCACCTATAAGAGAAGAGCTTCTCCTAAGGAAAGAGAAAAGGCCGTCCCAATCTACAAAGACTTGGATTTCATCCAGGACATGCCTGATGGCCTTCTGCTGGAGGCAGACAACTACAATGCCTTGTGCAAGACAATCCAGAGGGACTGCTTGGTAAGTCACAGAGACTTCTTTTGTTTTGCACATAACACATGAGCAATATCAGGATACAAAAAAATTCTTCAACACGGTCCAACGCTAAGGTATGTCCTGATCTTGTTGGCAGGATTCCCACCCTGTGATCAGTGTGCTAGCTGTCCTTCTAAAATGAATTTAGTCTTTTAACTCGTCCCTCTCAGTTTAAATAAAGTTGCGTTTTTAGTTTTGCATGTGGCCTCTGTATGTGTAATATGTACATATTTCCAAATTTCAAGTCTGCCAGTGTCCTACCAGACAAAAACACTTGGTTAGAAAACAGTGTGAGTGGACATGGACACCTGAGAGATTCCCCCTATTCCTACTCGGTGTTCAATTTATTGTGTCAATATGTTTTTTTCAGCTCTTGCAGAGTTTCAAGATCATGGATTACAGCCTGTTGATGGGCATCCACAACATGGACCAGGCCAGTCGAGAGCGGGAGCGCAGCGGGGGCCATTCGGGGGATGGTGTAGTGTCAGAGGGCGCGGTGACTCCAGATCAGCGCCGGCCGCAAGCCCAGAAAAGTTTGTACTGCACAGCCATGGAGTCCATCCAGGGGGAGGCGCGGGGAAAGGGAGCTCTGGACTCAGAGGACCAGTGAGTGTTGCCACCAGCAGCCAAGTTTGAGCTGCTCTCCGTAATGCAGTGAGTGGCTGTCACATGAGGGTCCGGTGACGCAGCATGTTGTTTGTCTTTTCTCAGCATGGGAGGAATTCCTGCCCGCAATTCAAAAGGAGAGAGGTTGCTCATTTACATTGGCATCATCGACATTCTCCAGTCCTACAGGTCAGGCGTCTGAGGGCTAATTGATAAGATTTCTTTAGCATACTTCTTGTATTGTTTCATCCAAAAGTGCAGGAAGCCTTTAAATTTTAGTGTTTTGTCATGTTATCCAGGTTTATTAAGAAGTTGGAGCACTCCTGGAAAGCTTTAGTCCATGATGGGGTAAGAGCGTTGAGTTTTTTTTACACTGTTAATTTACATGTGGATGAATAATTTAGTATTTTCTGTCCAACTGGAATGATTCCTTAAGTCGCTAAAAATGACTGAATGCACAACCCAACACATACAAACAAAAAGGATCTGCTGAGAGTCATAGCTCTCATGTTGTAATGTTTCTTTGCCTCTTTAGGACACTGTTTCAGTTCACAGACCAGGCTTCTATGCTGACCGTTTTCAACAATTCATGTGCAACACGGTGTTCAAGAAGATTCCACGTAAGTGCTCGCATCTGTTTTTAATGTGCTGAGGTTGTGTGTGACAGGTTCTGCTCTCTGCGGATCATTAATTTAATGTGGAAACCCCTTTTCAGTGAAACCGTCACCATCTAAGAAGAGCCGTGGTGGAGGCCAGGGAGGACTTAGGAGGGCCCCTACTCTGGGGGCTCCCACCCCACTGTCCCACACTACTGGACAGTCGTCGGTGGACTCCAGACTAGTCTATCACAGCCATTTTAAAAGCACAGAGTCGGAGCCTGAGACAGGTAGGATTCCAAATAATCTGATCACATTTTTAAATCTGTTGCTGTAAATGTCTGTCAGACTGGGAGCTGAGGGAGTCGGTCCCCTTCTTTTTACTAACTGTTCTCAGGCATGCAGCCAGGCAGACCTGACCTGGTACCGAGGACGCCGCCGCTGATGAACCCCACTGACTGCGAGGCCAACCTCTCCACCTCCTCACTGGGCAGCACAGGAATTGCCTCCACCTCTCCTCCCCTACGGTGCAACCTTTAGTTTTTCATTTTGTTGTGGAAGTATCATTTTTATACACTGACATTTTGATCAAAATATGATGGAAATATTCATTTGATTACATTTAAACCTGAGTCGAGAGCTGGAGAACTCTTGAAGTACATTATCATTTTTAAAAAAGCATTTAGTGGCCTCCCTGAGGGCTACCTAAGCTCATACTTCAACTCCCCACAATTTCACTGGTAGTTTTATTCAACTTTTCACTGAAAAGAGGCTGGATAAAAGGCCTGTTGAAAAACATATTTTCAGGCCAAAGAGAATGGTTCTTCTTATTTAGTGACTTCAGATCTACAAATGTTTGCTCTAAAGCACAGATAAAAAAAAGTTTTATTTTAAACTTTACTCTGACTTTCTTTTGCAGATCTGTTGGCGTTGAAGTTCACAAATCAGAAAATACTGACTGTGACCAAGAAGCTGCCCATGGGTAAATAGGAGATGCTATTACAAATATCCCAATACATGAAGCCTTATTAACTTTTATGCCTTTTTAATTTGTATTTGTTGATGTTAGTAACATAGCTCATTTACTGACATGTCTCTATTCCAGTTTGGGGGCCGAAGAAGCTGCTGATAATTCAGGAAACTTGTCTGTAAACGAGGATGTTGTTTCTCTCTCTGACATCATCCCAGAAACCAACATCTGTTTTGTAAGTCGGATCCATTACCTCTATTTTTCTCAATTAATTGACCATTTTTAGCTCACAAGCTTTGTACTAAAAGAAGTGTCTATTTCACAGTAAAAAAAAAAAAGAAAAGATGAAGAGATGAAGAAAAAGCAAACTTGGTGCCATCTGAGAAGATAATGTTTGAATGTGGTTCAGTGGGCGGAAGTAAGGACAAGGTACATGAGAGAGGCCCATCCACCACAGACCCTGCTTTGCACCCGACTTCTGTCGTTTCTAAAAGAGCTGCTGGGGAAAAGGTGCAGATGGCAGGAAAGAGACGAAGAGGTGCGACAGGCCTCAGGCTTTCAAAGCAGTCATATGTCACCATGCGCCCATTTTTGTCCACCACTGCCACAGAGTGGCAGCTCCACACTGACTCAACACACATTTCCTTTCATGTGTGTCTGCTGTGATGACATACTAAACAAAATATTGAGCTGAATATTGTAAAAAGAAAAAAAGATGGCAAAGAGCAAGACTTCTTGGCCACTTTTTCAACACATGAAGAAAAATGAGTGGGCGGACTTCAGCAGGAACCCCCTACTTCAGAGCACATGATGGGTAGAACCTGCATGGGACGAGTCATTATTGTGTCCACACACAGTCCAGGTGGGTTCACATTTCCGTGACTGGCACTCTGGTCGTATGTTTTTGCTCGTACATCTCCCTCCTGCTGTCTTCATCAGCAGGGGGAGCTGAACTAACAAAGTAACCAATAGAAACCATTCAATCAACACTCGCTGCTGTTGACTCAAAGCGTTTCTGTTTGCTGATGGGGGGGCGTACAGGATTTGCTGAAGTCAAGTTTTAGAAGGACATAGAAGTGGGTTGAATTAAACCTATGAGTTTGATAGTTTCATGTTTTAAGTTTTAAATTATTATTCTTCAGGAGGCTACCGTGGCACCCCAGGATTTAGTCACTGCTTGAATGTATGTTAAGTTTTGCTTGCATAACTGTGTCTTATTAAAACTACACATCACATTTATACAACCCTTAATCTCCCCCTCTGATGTGGCCATATGTGCTGGACAAGCAAAGAGCAGAACACGAGACGCTGTTTAAGTTCTGCTGTAAGTTTAATAGCGTAGTAATAACTTGAAAGGAATGTTGTGTCTCTTTCCTGTGCCTTTTTTTTTCTCACGCGTTTGTCCCCCCTTTAACATGTATAGCTGACATTTCTTTAGGCGAGCGCTCTGCTGGCACATGGAGGCCAGCCTTATCACTACAGCCGATGTCTGTGAACTGCCATTTTTACATCTCAACCAGCCAGTCGGTCATCAGGATCTAAGAGTTTCAGATTTTAATGTAAACACTATCAGCAATTTCCACTTTTTCGGTGTCCACGTGTTCAGACAGGACTGTACCTCATCCACTCAACTACTTTTTTGTATTCCTCTAACATTAGACAGAAAGGATGTCTGTCCTTTTTTCTACATTTCTGCTGGTTACAGAAATGACCCCTGCCCACATCCAGACATGGACCAACATCGCTGCCCACTCAGGGGAATGTTTGCATCCCTCTGCTTTCATGTGGCGGTTTATGAAATTGTACTGTGCTTCTCATTATGGCACAAAACAAGCAGCGGGAGGAAGCTGTTACCCCCTGAAAGATTTCTATTCCAGAAATTTGAATCACTACCAGGTAGCAGATGTCCACATTTGAGTGATTATTGTTACAGTGTTCGATGAGCATATGTGGTCTATGCAGCACAGAGGGGGAAACGAATGTTTTCAATAGAAAAATAAGGAAAAAATAGGTCCATAAAATGCACAGAGTTGAGAATTTAGGACTTTTGTATTGTAAAGGTGTTATAGCACTAAAGAGACTGGGGTCTGTCTTGGTTAACATGGAGGGTCTGGGACACTCCTGTGTGGACTGGCTCGTTTAAAATGGTAATAACACTGGGCTGACCTATGTTTTTAATAATATGTATTTAAACTGGATGTTCTTTTTTTTTTATTTGTTTCAGGTCTGATAGGCTGTGTCTGTTTAAAAAAAGAAAGAAAGCAGTCCATGATTTTTTCATTTTATCTTTCTTTTCCTGTTTTTATTATCAATTGGTTTACATCAAAGTCGAAGACATTTCAGGATTTACCTCCACATTCCCGTTAAACTTCTTTATGCTGAAGAAGTGGTAGTGCTTAGACCTCCCTTTTGACCACCTTTGTGTTGTAGCGTTGCTATACTGTGTTTCTGTTAATGTGCTTAAATGTTACACAACGATCATTTTGAACACATCTCAGTGGGCTGAGAATCAAACAGCCACCAAAGAATACACTCCAAGAAACTTGTTTAGAAGGAAAATGAAGAAAAAAACAGATTCTATTTTATGATGCTTGGATTTTCATACTTTATTCAGTAACTTCTTTGGATGGATTGTATTGGTTGGATGCTGGATCCAGACCAGGGCTGTCTTTGCTTTGTACCTTTGTATCACAGCACAAGAAAATCCTCCGTTGGTGCATAAAGGTTCAGTGCAGACAGTGGTAGACACTACAGGGGGTTGAAGTAATGCAAATGAACCACAATCTGCCATTGTCAGAGGTGTATTTATTAATGACTGAATGCTGTTGGTTAGGGTCATAAAACATGTATTATGTACTTTAGATGATTGTACGTGAGCTGTATTCTGACAGAAGGATGTCTGAAACTTTATAGCTTATATTGCCTATAAAGGGAGACAATTTCACCTTTTATATTTCATGTTTAGGTTGTGATATGATATATTCTCTTCATACTGGTTCTGGGTTGTTAATCTCCCATTCTTTTCTACATGAATGTTTCACATGGCTTATTAAGCCAACATCGCTGGTTGTCCAATATGCTTCAATGACTATATTTTTACTGTGTATAAACTGTTTATATGTACATATGAGTCACGGAAATGCCTTTTCATGCAACATGTGCTGCCTGTTCCTCCTGCCATGTTTCAGTTATGTGGTGGTGATGTTTTCATGCCTGACTTTAAAGAAATAAACATATTTTCTAAATCATTGTTTGTTCTGATTACACGTCACTGGGCTCTATCAGTAGTTTTTAAGCTTTGGAAGGTAAGAATTTTAAGAATTTCCTGTTTGGTTTTATGCGTGAATGAATTAGACAAACAGTGAAAAATCTGCAGTTTCTCACTCAGACTCTGCCTCTGTCACCATGCCCTTTAGGCTTGTATACATTTTTATATTATTCCAGTACACTGCAAGGGGTGATGTTTTCGTTCTATACACATCATGTCAGGGAGCCACATGTGGAGTTGAGAAGTCCAACTGTTCAAACCTTTGCCATATGCATTCAGCTTGTGGCCCAGAATGGTGCTCTCTTGTCGACGTACAGCTGAGCTAACTTTATTTCAGAACTCGATCTGACACAGGAAAAAGAGTGCTAGATGTTGAAGGATCAAGTGGTTATCACTCATGCATTCTGAAGATTTCCATACAGAGCACAAAGTCACTGGTGTAAGTTGACAGAGGAAAAGTTTTCAAGTGAATGTCAGGGGCAGAGGCACAGTTAGTAAATAAACAAGCAGGACCAATACCAAATTGCTTTATTTACAATAAAGGAAGAGAATCATTTTATAATAACTGATTGCAAATTACCTCAGTCTAAACAGTCTCTACTTCTTGCATTAAAAAGACTGCTCTCCAGTAATGATTAAGTTAAATCTTACCTGTATTACAGATCTAATATACAGTAAATGTTTTTTGAGTATGTGTCAAATTTAAAGCCTTGTTTCTATATATTTTATAAGCTATTTCTAGTATTTGCAAAATGATATTTTATAGTCTTGTTATTCTGTAAGATCAGGAAAAAATAAGGTACATCTGTCTTACTATTTTATTTTTTTTGTGGAAAATATGACAAAAGAAATGTAAAAGCAGTCTCTTGAAAGGGATAAATAAACCTTCATTACCCAAAAACCTTTGCGCATACGTAGACGACGTGCATCAAGATGGGGCTTGAAAGTACTATGGTCTGGTAAGGATTTTAAAATGTGTCTGAAATCAAGACTTTTACCACTAAGATTGTATCGATGAAGCTGTAATGTGAACGAAGACAATTCTTTGTTGTTCTCTGTCGTTTGTGTGACATAGCGGGACGTTTTTTATACGTTTGTTTTGGTTTTCTTATGGCCGAACTATTCCCTGAGTCACTGTACAGCGCAGCGTTAGCTACAAGCCAACAACAATAATTAGCTTACAGATTTAACTCAAGACCAGAGTTGTTCTTGGCAAATACTTTATATGCCAGTGATTATTTATGTTGTAGCTTTTTAAAATAAGCTTTTTTAGCCCAACTGGTGCGTTTAGACCTTGTCATTGGTTGCATGAAAACAACTGTCTTTACAGCGTTAGCATTAGCTTGCTAACAAAACCAAAAGCTGCTGTCATTGTCAAATCAAGCGATTGTTCTTTAAAGAAGGATTTAGGTGTTTTACTTGGCCAACTAAGCTACGTTTACATTGTTTGTCATAACAGCAATAAACTAAATACCCTGACCCACAAATGTCGACTTTTCGTCAATACACAAGTATAAATTTAAATGTCTTGTGGATATTTCTAAACTGTTTTGGCCATTGATTATCTCTGAATGGGTTGAATAAAATGATCTTTTTAAAGCATTTTTTAGTTGAAGTTCCACATACACAGTGATGAATTGCTTTTATACCGAGTGCTCTTCTTTCATTTATGTGAAGGAGCACATAAAGAACATGTTTTCGGGAGCTCCATGAGCCCATAGTGACCAATATTTGTCAAGTCTGTGTAAATTTAGAATGTTTTTCCATTTTTCTTAGTGTGGACAACAGTGAATACATGCGAAATGGAGACTTCCTTCCCACCAGGCTGCAGGCTCAGCAGGATGCAGTTAATATTGTTTGTCACTCCAAGACTCGCAGCAATCCTGAAAACAACGTGGGGCTCATCACTATGGCAAAGTAAGAAGATTAGTGCCTTACTGAGTATGCTGACGTTCGACTGAACACTATATCATAGTGCTGCTGTGTTTTACGTCTCTGTTCAGCAACTGTGAGGTGCTGACCACACTGACACCAGATACAGGGAGGATACTGTCCAAGCTGCATGCTGTGCAGCCCAGAGGAAACATCAGTTTCTGCACCGGCATCAGGGTGGCACATGTGAGTCCGTCATTTCTGTAATATGGTGTGCTGTCCTGTTGGACAACGATAAAGGAGTTGCATAATTGATAGCTGATGAAGTAGTGAGAAGTTAAAAATCAGACTTGGTTTTACCACTAGCTCAGAACCTTTTAACTCCAGTGACGCGGTTTGAACACAGGGCAAGTGGTTTGGGATTCACTAGGATGTGAATGTCAAAAGGAGCACATCAGATGTTTCGGTCTCTTGTTGAAAAAGCATGCAGCTCCTCATGTCACTAAAGAGCCAAGCCTACACTATGATGTCATATTTAATGATATTTGTGCTTTTCTAGTTTGAAGGACTGTTAACATAGAATAGTCTAGCTGTTCTGTAAAATAAGATAAAAAGCACTAATTATATCAGATAATTTATGCTTTTGTAGTTTTGTTTTTACTTGATCTTTAAAAATCAAATATCCATGTCATCTTTCTGTATTTTCTGTCTGCAGTTGGCGCTGAAGCACAGGCAGGGCAAAAACCACAAGGTGCGCATCATTGCATTTGTTGGCAGTCCAGTAGAGGACAACGAAAAGGAAGTGAGTGAATGGTTATGTTTTTAGTGGCATGTCTATTGACCAACAGTGGATTTTATTTTTTATTTTTTTGGTGACTACTTCTTGTTCTTCTAGTTGGTCAAAATGGCAAAGCGTCTCAAGAAAGAAAAGGTCAATGTGGATGTTATTAACTTTGGAGAAGAGGTATTTTTCCATCAATGCTGTACAGATGCTCAACATCTGGAATATCTTCATTGTTGTGTGGACTACATCCTTAGCCTGTTTCTTTGTTTGACCTTCAGAAAATGAACACAGAGAAGCTGACAGCCTTCATCAACACACTAAACGGCAAAGAAGGAGCAGGCTCCCACCTGGTTACAGTATCTCCAGGGCCCAGCCTGGCCGACGCTCTGCTGTCCTCACCCATCCTGGCAGGAGAAGGTGGCGCTGTGTTGGGCCTGGGCGCCAGCGACTTTGAGTTCGGAGTTGATCCAAGTGCGGATCCTGAGCTGGCCCTGGTAAGAAAATACACGTGATTACATGGTTCAAATAATGTTGCAAATTCACATTTGTGAGTTGTTGATGGGAATCCATGTTCCGGGGGCCTGTTTGATTTTGAATGGTCATCATTCATTCGTTTGTAGGCTCTGCGTGTGTCCATGGAGGAGCAGAGACAGCGGCAGGAGGACGAGGCTCGCAGAGCCGCCGTCGCCTCGGCCGCTGACGTCAGCATCTCCTCCCCAGCAGCAGATGGTGAGAAAAAAAACTCCTGTTTATGCAGGTATTAAGCAGAACTGAGGTTTTAAATTGCGAATATTGTCCTTTCTTCCTCAGAGTCAGAAGATGCCCTTTTGAAGATGTCTGTCCCACAGACAGACTCAGCCACCCCTGCTCTGCCAGACTTTAGCCGCATGACGGAGGATGAACAGATCGCCTATGCCCTGCAGATGTCCATGCAGGGAGCAGGAGCAGGTTAGACTTAAAAGTTAAACAAATAGCTTAGAAATAGTTTCTGTTCCTTGTGATGAAAGGTCCATGATGACCACGGGGGGCTCTAACTGTTTGCTTTTCTATTTTCTACATATGAAAATATCCAAAATATCTTTCAGAGTTTGGTGCTGAGGACATGGACACGGGTGCAGACATGGATTCCAGTGAAGCTAAGGTTAAAAACAAGCTCTTTCACGCTTTGAAATCAATTCCCCCTCTCAGAAATACTAACATCCATGTCATCTGTGTCTAGGATGAAGAAGATTATGACGTAATGCAGGATCCAGAGTTTCTTCAGAGCGTTTTAGAAAACCTCCCTGGAGTTGACCCCAACAATGAGGCCATCCGTAATGCCATGGGCTCTCTGGCTTCACAAACGGGCTCTAAACCCGATTCCAAGAAGGACGAGGAGAAAAAGAAATGAGAGAAAAAGCTTGACACACAGTATGATGAAATAAAGAGACCTAAGAATTTCACTGCATGTGTTATTCACAGTAATGATACAATTCTCCACATTACAAAACATGTTTTGTCTATTTTTTTGTGTAGACTACAAACAACTTTTTCTTTTTCTTGTTCATTGTTCTGCTGTGTTAATCTGCCTAATTTTGAATCTTTTGTAAAATAACTACTCAGTAACCCAGAGAGGTTTCTTCAATAAATTTACTGAATTAAAAAGTACACACCTGATTGGCTGCTTGATTATAGTTGTGTCGACTGGAACAGTTTTCATTAGTAGTACAATATTCATTATCAGATATAAAATGTTTTATCTTTTCAGTGCAACATTTATATAAAAGTAAAACAAACTGGGGTGTAGTTTCCCCTCAAGTGTTAATCATTTAACCTATAACCACTTATATTTCGAAATAACAACAGTTTTTACATGTACAACATTCATCTGTCATTCATCAAGTGGAGAAACTACAAGATGTTGAGACAAAATGCAAACTCTGGAAATAGTGCTTAATTTGATTTTTTCCAGTGAGAGTGATAACAGAACATAGCAGATTCGTGGTTAAAATGACTATTTTAGACCCGATTAATAATAGTTTGTCTATTATAGTGCAATCATACGGAGCCCCTGAGAATGCCAACTCATTGCGTGGGAGTGCATAACCTTTTGCAGGGTAGACCTGACGACTTTTTTCCTGAGAATTGAGGATGTCGTAAAATGTATACTGTACATTTATGTAATCCATACAAATATAAATAGATCAATAAGTGTTCTGAAATGTCCACTACCCGTTCACAGCTCAGCTCAACAGTGCACTCTTTCTGGAAGCCAGCGTCGCACAAGTTGATGACGGAAAACTTACGCGACTCAGAGGAAGTCAGGAACTAACTTCGCCAACTTGCAGGTAACAGCTACTGGTTGAGAAAATTCAACTCACATTAAACTTCAGGATAATATAATAACTTTATTAGTTGAGAGTATTATAGATCAAATGACAAGTTTAGACTACTTTAGTTGTGCTGGTAAACCTTAGCAAGGCCAACTAGCAGTTAAGTGCTAACGCTGCTAGCTTTTAGCAAAAGCAACCACTTGTTGCCTGACAATTAAGTTTAATTTGTCATACTTTCACATATTTTCCAAGACCCTCTTTCAGTACGGTTAGGTTAACATTATCGAAGTCTCTTCAAGTAACGCGTAGACAGCCTGAATAGCATTAAAGTGTGAGCATCATGTTATGCCAGCTGTTCGGTTTCACTTATAGGCAAACGTATAACTCTGGTAGTTCAGCTGTCAGCCTGAGTGTTTGCATGCTGTAGCAGTAATTCTGACTCATCTGTTGCCTCTGTAGGCTTCTAGGTTAGCGCTGGCAATGGGGGACATGAAGACCCCAGATTTTGATGATTTGCTGGCGGCTTTTGACATTCCTGACATTGATGCAAAAGATGCCATTCAGTCTGATCCGGAAGAGCAACGGGATGAGGTGGGAACTAACAAAAATGGGACTCCGTGCTTTCCTGGCTCGACAGCCCCTCAGACTGAGCTCCCTGTGGTTAGCGTCATTGTGAAAAACAAGGTGCGGCCAGAATCTTTTGAGGAGGAGGAGAAGTCTGTCAGGAATGCGACAGACAATCCTTTAAGCAGCGACTTGGTTTCTAAAGTTCCTTTAAAGTTGGATCACGCTACAACTCAGCTTGGTCACCAAATGACTGCCAATGCCACCATGGAACAAGAGGGCGCTAATGGGTTGGTAAAGGCTGTCCCCAGCAATCAGGAGCAGCCTTGCACAGACTCATGGCCCCATCCCTCACCTTTCAGATCCACACTGATTGATAATGAGGGTCATAAAGAAGCCACGTCTGGATCTATTCAGCATAATCCTGATGTCATCAACAGTTTACGGCCCCTCCTCTATCCACAGTCTTCGACTGCCACCGGTTCCACCTCATCATCACCTCCCTCTCCACCCTCAATTAGCCCTCACATTTCACCTCACTCCCCACAAAGCGATAAAGCCAATCCATCATCGCCCCCTTCAACACAAAATGGGAGTGTTAAAAACAACATCAAGCATGTTTTAGATACAGATGATGATTCTGAGCCAGACTTCGGAAGTCCACTGGTGATCCAGGAGAGTCCTGAATCTCCGACTTCCCCCCATCCCAAATTAATAAAAAGAGCAAAATTGCATTCTGACCTTAACAGGTCGTCTGAAGACACTTCCAGTTTTGATCCTTGCAATCTCTCGTTTACGTCGGCCCCAGCACAGCGTGAACCTCAACGTGAGGAGGATAGGCAACCCACTGCTCCCAGCCTGCCCATCTCAGCGCCACGGCTCCACAGCCCCTCTGCCGACACGAGCTCTGCAAGTGTTCAAGAGGAGAAATATCCAGAGCATGTGGATAATGAGCCCAGTCCGACAGGTCCTGTGTTCAACAACAGAAACAGCAGCTCAGATTTCACCTCAGCTCCAGCTTCAGATCCCAAGGAGTTCCATCACCAAAAGGAGCTCATGGAAGTCGAGCGCAGTCACAAGGACCAGCCGGGGGACTCTGAAGAACTGGGTGAGAAGGCAGATGGTGACGGGGACAAGTCAAATGAGGAGAACTGCGATGACACCAGGTCAGCCAGCGCTGCCGGGGCGATCTCATCTCCTATCCGACCGCTCAAAGTGAAAATCAAAATGCCAACTGGCAGCATCACAAGGACTGTGACCGGTGGGACATATAAAAGAGTGGGAAAAGCAAAGGATGGGGATAGCTCAAAACCCTCACCAGAGCTTCTTGACACGAGGCCCAAAAGGGAATCGCAGCAATCTGGGCTGCCTACGGGTGCCAGGACGGCCAAAGAGAAAACTTCTGCCGAGGCCAAGCCCAAAGTTTCTCCCACTGCAGTGAGCATCACAAAAAGCGCAGCACTCCCTTCAGTTTCCTCCCCCAAGGGCGGCCCGGGCGCAGTCAACCTCCGCAGCCTGGGTCAAAAAACCCTCCACAGTGGCATGAGCCTGCCAACACCTCTCCCCTTTTTCCCCCCTCAAACCAGCAGCAGGCCTGCTTCCATAGTCAACAGCACCGGGGCGATCATTTCAAAGAGTCAGACCAACCTGGTAGAAACCTTCAACAAGATCCTCAACAACAAGAACCTGCTGCCCAGTTACAAACCCGACCTGAGCTCCCCTCTTCCTGCTGAATGGGGCATTTCTCTCCCCTCACAGGTGGGTTGACATCATGTAATATCAATGACACAACTGACTAGTTGATGAGCAACAAACTGATATGAATGTGAATGATTTCCAGATTAACTTATCAAACAAAACTGCTTATTAGTAACAATTCCAGCTGATATATAGACCAGTGGTAATCGTACACCGTGACATTGCTGAGACAACAGCAGACCAGCTTATGGACTGGGACACACAGAACTGAAAATGGAGATAACAGTTTCAGCTCAGAGCAGGGACGTCTGACAGCTGCCTGTCTGCCTGATGTTCTGCAGGGTTACCGCTGCCTGGAGTGTGGCGATGCTTTTGCCCTGGAGCAGAGTTTGGCGCAGCACTACGACCGGCGCTCTCTGAGGATCGAGGTGACCTGTAACCACTGTGCGAAGCGGCTGGCCTTCTTCAACAAGTGCAGCCTGCTCCTGCACGCCCGAGAGCACAAGGAGAAAGGCCTGATCATGCAGTGCTCACACCTGGTGATGAAACCTGTCCCGGTGGAGCTGATGATCAGCCAGCAAGAGCCAGCAGCGGCAGGTCAGGGAACCCATGTTGCACCAGTTTTCTCTGGTCCGCTTCCTCCATGTTTATTTTGTCCCGCTGCGTCTTCAACATCGTTATGGTTGGTTTTAGGCCACAGCACTCAAAAGTCGGCATCCCAGGCTCATCCCACAGGAGCCGTGAAGAAAGAGGCAGAGGCAGTGCAGCACACGAGTACCAAATGTCCCGAGTGTCAGGCCCAGTTCTGCAGCAAGGAGGAAGTGTCTGACCATTTCCAGGAAACCAGCCCTGCTCACAGCACCGTAAGTCAAGCTTATGAGGTGAAAAACAAAAAAGAGAATGCAAAATTTCAAGAGCTGACCTGAATGCTTGAAGCTTTACGAAATTTTACCCACCATGCTAAAGATGAGACGTGGCCTTTAGCATAATTTATTATGCTAGAAAAGGAATTGTTGGCTATTTTCAAACAGTGGCATCTAAGGTAGAAAGATGCTGAAAAGGTCAGTTTTCTGGAAACAGTTTGTGGTGTGGGGAAACACCCAAATTTGCATAGATGAAAGCCAGATGAGGCAAAGCTGCACAGAGTTCAGCTTCTAGTCCAAGGACAGCCGGAACCTGCTTGTCAATACACCGAAAACGGTGTACGGTTTCATCAAATCTCCATCTCCGTTTGTATTCTCTTTATCCGCTTAATGGGCTCAGGCTTAATGTGTTCCTTTTTTCTTCCTCTGTGGTGCAGTCGTGTACGGAGTGCTCTCCTCCCATGCTCCTCCCCAACGGCTGCAGTGCGGCGGCGCATCAGCGCCTCCACCAGGGCTGCCCCCCCCACGTGTGCCCGGAGTGCGGAGGCACGGCCAAACAGCCGCAGCTGGACAAACACATGCGGAAGGCCTGCCTGCACTTTTCCCGCCGCATCGGTTACAGGTGCGTTGGCTCGGCGTGCCGCTGCTGCGCCCGGCAGAGATCGCCGCGTCACCGCCCCCCCCCCCCCCTTCCCCCCCCCCCCCTCTGCCTCCCCACAGATGCTCCAGTTGCCTGGTGGTGTTCGGGGGCCTGAACTCCGTCAAGTCTCACATCCAGCAGGCCCACTGCGACATGTTCCACAAGTGCCCCAGCTGCCCCATGGCCTTCAAATCGGCCCCCAGCATCCAGAGCCACATCTCAGCTCAGCACCCGGCGCTCACCGATGCACAGACCATGTAGGCACAGCGCGCCCGCCCACAGCCATTGCTTTGCTTTCGAAATGAGCTGACCGAGCTTTTGTTCCTTTGCAGGCTGATTTATAAATGTGTCATGTGTGACACGGTTTTTACCCACAAGCCCCTGCTCTACGCGCACTTTGACACTCATCTAATCAATCAGAAGGTGCATGTGTTTAAATGCCCCGAATGCACCAAGCTCTTCTCTCAGAGGACTTCCCTGCTGGACCATTTCAAGGTATGTCGTGTTAAGAAAAAGCCAAAGGCACACTGTCCTATGCCTTCGTCTTGATCTATGTCTGTTTTCTTTGCTACTCAGACCCACAAAACCAGCACATCAAAGGAAGATCTGCTTTCCCCCCCTGTGGCCACCAAGCGTTTACCTGTAAAGTTTGACAGCTCAGAAGGAGAAGAGCTGCTGGATAAAACTAAAGAAGAGAAAGTAAAGGCCGAGAGGATGAAGACCCCATCCAAGTGGAAGTGTCTATCATGCAACACACAATATACAGAACGGGAGGACTACATTGCTCATATGAGCCAGCAGCACAGCAAGGTCCAGCCTCCTACAGTCACAGAAGCCCCACATCCAAACACACTCTGCTGCCAACGAAAAGCTGTAACCACGTGCCTGTTTTGTTACGTTGTGCAGATTCTGAAGAAGTTTCCGTGCAACAAATGTGAGAGTTCCTTCACCACCACCTCCAGTCTGAGGCGTCACATCAGAGACAAGCACAAAGCCATGAACCGAGGCTTCCGCTGCCAGTGAGTACCATCTGTGGACAGAAGGACGTATAAAGGAGCCGCTTTTGAAGCAACCCCAAACAGCTTTGATCTTACTGATTATTAAAATATTTTCTGTTGTAATTTTGATTGAATTAATCATAAATAGCTCCACCATAGTGTGAGCTCAGTAATGTAATAGAATACCCCCTTTCTGAACCCTGCTTTCACACAAACACCAGAGGCCTGAAATGCTGGAAGAGATGGCGGAGTGATGGTACGTGCGAGCTCAGCATGGAATCGTAAGAGGTTTTCACGTTTGTGTGCGCAGGTTTTGTTCAGAGAGCAAGAAAACGTTCAGCAGCAGATCCATGTTGGAGAGACACATCCAGCTGCGGCACAGCCGGGGCAGCACCGGCCGGGACGCCCTGAGGGTGAGCGCCTCCCCGGGCCTTCAGTCTGACCGCCGGGCGTCCCTCCAGAGTGCCGTTAACCGTGGTTCTCTCTCCCTGTGGGCGCAGAGGGGGGAGGAGGCGGACAGCTCGTCGGAGCAGGACAGCAGCAGTCTGGGCGGGCGGCGCAGGCGGCGGGCGGCTGTGAAGGTGGAGCAGGAGGTGGAGCCCGTAGACGGAACGAGTCCGGCGAAGAGGCCCCGCCCCTCCTCATCCTCGGCCGGCGCCCCGTGCCCTCTGCCGGAGGCCGGCTTCGTCTGCGCCCCCTGCGGCTTCACCACCGAGGACAAGCCCACCTTCCTGGAGCACATCGGCCAGCACCGGCGGGGGGGCGCAGACGCCGGCGGCCCGCAGTGTCACCAGTGCGGCGCCTGCTTCGCTTCCGCCTCCTCCCTGTCCCGCCACCGCTTCATCGCCCACAAGGTGAGAGACAGCTTCAGCAACAGCCCGCAGGCCCTCAGCGCGCACGCAGCGCCCTCCCCGGGGAACACCAAGAGCCTTGAGAAGAGGAGCTCTCTGAACGGCTCTGCACCGGCCTCACCCACCGGTCAGCCCTGCACAGGCCAGGGGAAAGAGGAGGAGGGGGCCCTGGCCTGTAAGGTGTGTGGCAAACACTTTGAAAGGGCATCAGATCTGAACACACACTTCAGAACTCACGGCATGGCTTTCATCATCGCAAGGAACGCAGGAAAAAACGCTTAAGGCGGTAAAAACACAGAAAAGCGTCATCAGTCGGCAAGAAAATATCTGAAAGTGCCTTTTTCGTTGTTGGAATTCCTTCATTCATGAGTTGTGCACAGACTTTACCAAAGACTACCACAGCAATCTAAAGACGGATGCTAAGAAAAACCCAGTGATTCTCCCGCCAGCATCACTGCTCGTTCAGTCATCGGCTCAGAGGATGCTCAGAGGATGCTCAGTTTGACTGACGTTATGATGTGGCTGTAGAGGAGCCTGTTTTGGTCGCGATTGTTTGGCAACGGCGATGAGGTCCATTTCTTTTCATTTCTGTACTTTCGTGCTACTGAGAAGGTTTTCGTTCCTGTGTGTGTGTGTGTGTCCGGAGTCACTGAGATGTAGTTTTGAAGTGGTTTAAGATATATTATGAGTGTGCATTTGTTTTAATTTATTGAGAACCATTTTCCAAAGCCTGATGTTATCCATTGGTTTGATAACTTCCCTTTCTGCCCTTAATAGATGTTTAAGGTCTGTGCCCACTTCTATCTCTTAAGAACTAAGCATGGACGTGGAACCTTCTGGAAACATGGATTCAGGGTAGAAATTTCAGGCTTTGGAAAATGAAAAGGCATGTGGTATCACTGCATTTATTTTGGATTAACCTTTCACAATCAATGAAAAAAGAAAACAATGATGATAACATGCAACTATTTTTAAATGGAGCGTGCTGCATTTGCATCAGGTTAGCTGACCTATTCCCTCTCATGAAACAAGAGATGGAAGTAAAACATTTTTATTCTATTTTTACGTAGGAAAATATTCCTCTGAATCTCTCTGTGAACAGACAGTGGATATCTTATTTTCACTTTGCATTTCTTCAGTCTCTGACACTATGAAACATTTAAATAATGCTATGTGACTAAAAAGGGGCTGCCACAGGCTGCTGTGGCTGTCAGCACAGATCAGTTTGTGACATGGATGCACAGAAAAACCTCCAGATCAGGGGCAACTTTAAAAAAAAAAAAAAAAACTGTTTTGTGAAGGTGCCTTCATGCATTTTGGCCTTTTTCAAAAATGCGATTTTTTTTTTCAGCTTTTGTTTTATGCCGACAGTTCTCAGGAATTTCTCCAACCATCATTAGCCAACATTACTGTTTCTGTAGATGAACCTCATTTCATTTTCATTTTCATTTTCACCTCATTTTCTGTTAATTTCTACTTACACTCTTTATGTGATAAAGTAATCACTAATGAGCAAAAATAAGAACTGTCTAAGTCATGTCTTCGTCTATAAATATATTTTAAAAAATGATAAATTCAGGTTTCTAATCTTTTAATCAGCCTTTGAAATGAAAGTACAAACTGTATAGCTTCACAGGACATTAAAGAATCTAACATTAAAAGTTTCCTTTTATTATTTTAAAATATACTTTTTTCAAATATATAGAATGGATAGAATATGTAGGAGACCAGGGAACCCTTACATGTCACTTTGTATTTAAGTCACACTGGTTTAATCTAGACAAGGAATCCTAGCTGAATCTTTACCTTAAAAGGGGACAAGTGTGGAAGGATTACATGCTTTTAAAGTGCTCTATGAGGATTATATCTCAGCAGCTGAGGCTCTGTGTGCTTGGTTAGCCGAGGCTGTGTCTAGTTTAGCTGCTGGACGGGACGCCTCTGATCACAGCAGCAGCAGACCAAGGAGGAGAAACAGAAGCGGCTTCATGAAGGCACAGATCCCCTCCACGCTCAGCACAGGAGCCCCTGGAAATGAGAGGGACACACACACCGATTTAACGCATTAAACGTGATAAATACTCAACACTGTTCTCTTTTTAAATTGATTCCTGTTCAGATATGTGAGACATCTCTGTATATCTGGTGTTAGGACAGACTTGAACGTAAAGATGCAGTCATATGTGGGAACTTAGGGGGAACAGATTTTTTCTGGCTCCAATGATTCTCTACCAAACGTAAACTTTATTAAGAGTTCAGATTCAGAAACGCAGTGTAGGTGCCTCTGTAATATAAATGATCCCCTTGTAATGTAAATATTGGCTACAATTTGTCGTAAATTGAGCCATTTTTATTGGATATTAGATCATAGCAGACTGTGAGTCTGAACCAAAGATCTTCTTCACCTTGACAACACCAGCCTACTTGACAACATGCTTTTTCTTCATCTTAAAAAGTTCAGTGCAGATTAAACAAAACCTGATGTGGAAAACACCATTAAACCAACTTACCATCAGACTTTAGGGGCAGGACGACAAACTGATCATCAGTGTGTGGAAAAGTATTTAATCTGCCAATGTGTGTCTTTTACCTGACTCTGTGCTTTGTGTTGGGGAAGGAGGATCTGTTGAAGCCTTTTCCAGGGCGGCCAGTTGATCATCACTCATCACAGCTTTCTGATCACTGGTTACCATGGCGGCATTGTCGGGCCCCAGAGCCTCCAACTGAGCCGGGGAGAGTGCCTGGTGGAAGATGTCAAGTCAAGTGATTAGAGAGCCATTGGAAAGTGGAAATAATTCTCATTATTATCTCAACATGTTGTACAATAGCCTCTTAAAGTCAGTAACATTGATTTTGTGGCTCTCTCTCCCAGCTGGTGGTGGAAGATGGAGGGAAAGAGAAGACGCTGGACAAAACTACTCACAGCAAAGTTGTCGGAAGGAATGTATGGGATGCAACCTCTGCTAAAAAAAGAGAAGGTAGACGGGTCCAGGGAGGCCATGTCAGTTGCATTTAAGGCCGCTGAGGAAGAAACACATAAAACAACTACTGAATCAGTAGCGGGCAAATAAACCGCTCCTTCCATGCCGGCAAACTGTTTTCTTTTTTTGGGTGCTGCTGCTACGGAGTTAACTCACCGATGATGCGTCCCAGGTCAGACACCCGCGCTTCGCTCCAGGAGCTGGGCTTTCCAAACGCAGCCACAGCGAGATTCCTGAGCTCCCGCTCAACCGCGAGGGAGCACTGAACTCCATCCATGGACCCCACAGCCTCCCTGTGACAGAGAGAAGTGCTCATCTAGATCTGCTGCTGAATTATTCAGGGATCCCTTTTTATTTATTAGCTTTGTAAATTGAGCCCAGAGACTTAAAGAAGGGGAAAAGAGCAATAAGTCACCGGACGGCTGAGAATAAGTGGCGAGTTTTAGCTGAAAGAGACAAAAACGGGGGTGCAGCTTTTTTTTAATGACGGAAACAGAACTGGGATTGTGTTTTTCCTTTTCCATAATAAAAAAAAAAGGCATTAAGATTGGAGACAGACGGAAATGACAGCAGAGTGGTTTGAGTGTGCACAAACCTGAAGGCGTCCATGTTAAGCTTCCTGATCTCGTCGGGCTTCAGACCACAGATGAAACGGTTCAGCGTTACCATCTCTGCCGCCCCCAGCTGCTCAGCCGTCAGGTTGTTATATTTAGCAACAGCCTTCCACATCGGCTCCATCTGTCCGGACACAGGTGGACTATGAGTGGAACCGGTGTCTCGGTCACAGGTAGGTGAGGCTGCTTCTACGACTCACCTGAGAATCTCTCCAGCCGCATTGGGCAATGTCCTCCGCGTTGTCCAGAGGTATGGGGAGCTTCTCCAGGTCGGAGTTGTTGAAACCCTGAGTTATGCATGCCAGCTGCAAGACCACGTCCTCAGTCATCTGTGACACGGGGCCGAAGGCCTACAGACACACAGAGAGAGGCTCGCTCAGAGTCACAAAGAGCCCGAAGGTTTTACATTTCCACAAGCATTTGCATCTTTGGAAATATAGAAAGAATTTTGAGTCATTTTAGGAAGGTTGTGGATTATGTTATGGCTCTGTATGTAATTAAAAGCTGTGGGATCAAAAATACACTCAGCGGAAAGTTTTTAAACACGTCAAGTTCACTGGTTGAAGACTTTCACTTGCGCAGAAAATCTTAAGACATCTAAAGAGACCAGACAACAGTAAACAACTTTCTCCCCCTCTCTATAAGCGAACAGGTCCAATCCTCCGTTGTACCTGAACTGCTTTTTTACTCAGGACATCCAGCTGTTCTGCACTGTAGCCAGAAATCGTTCCAAGAATTTCCACAGTAGCCAGGAAAGTGCTGTTTGACATCATGTCCAGCTCTGAGGGTGTCCAGTAGACGTTGTTCATTCCCAGCTCCTCAATCAATGACTCGGTGGGTCCTTTGATGTCACTGGGGGCTGAAAATGGCAGATGGAAAGCTGCATTACAGCATGACAAGATACTCAATCAAATCAGAAATGATTTCTGTGGCAGAGGCTCCAGCCGAGGAGCTAAAGGGTCTCTGTGTCCCACCTGCTCTCTTTTTGCGCGCTGCGTTCGATGCTGCGCTGGTGGTGAGGGAAAAGATTTTCCTTTTCAGAGCGTCTGAGGTTTTGTTCAGCTGGGACTTCATGAAAACAAGAGCATCCTTCATCCAAGGCTGATAGAGACATGCAGAGGTACAAAGAACAAAAACATGGAATCAAGGAAGATTCCAGGACCAGGACGATCACAGGAAGCTGGATTCCTTCTCAGTGTTGAGGGGGGATACAGAAGGCAAAGGAAAATGAGCTCATGAAATACACACTTTATTGGGTAGGTCAGATATGGTCCTCTCGTCCAACAGAAGGAGGGGACCCAGTGATTCCATAGTTTCAGGTGACCAATCAGAAGGACTCCTGCAGAGAATGAATAATAATGCATCAGCCTCATCCTATAACAGTAAGCCCTGCATCCATGGGGAGTGTGTCCTACCCAAATGTGCTGTTGACCAGCTGCATCAGGTCCATCCTGTGGCGCTGGGGAATGTGCTGGCAGGAAACCATGGCCTTAACACTGACCCTCATTACATCAGGGGCCATGAGGCGCAGTTTGGAGGGCGCCATCTCGCACAAGAGCGGTCCAAGCCTCAACACGTCAGCAGCAGTCAGCTCTGATAAATCCTTCCCCTGCCAGTACAAGCAAAACGCCTCCGTTTTACACAGGGTTTAGTAACAGGAAGCCACCTAGACTGTGTAACACATGGAGAAACTCTTCAGTGAACCCAGTGGGGATGTGTGTGTGGGGACCTTTGCAAGGCAAAGCAGGGCTCTCTGGGCGAGTGCAGGGCGGGACGGGGAACGAGGAGGCAACACGCTCAGGTTGGCTGTTTCCATTTTGTAAATGAAGGCCGGACACACGGAGTCAGGCAAATCCCTCACCTTCAAGGGCCTGGGACAGATTTGATTAGGAAAAAAAGACACCGGTTCATGTAGCACAAGCGACGATTAGGTGACCAAAAGAATTGAGTGTTTGCTTACGGGAGGTGAAGTAGTAACAGAGTGGGAATCATATCCAGTTCTTGCTCAGTGATGTTTTGGAAGAAGTCACTTCGCTCTTTCTCCAAAGTCATAAAGAGCTTTTTGGCAGCACACATAGCCTAAAAAACACACACTATGTATTAGTTATCATACTTTGAGGTATTGAAGTTTTTTTTTAATATTAATAGAAGGTGTAGACTTATTGTCAAACTAAGCACAAACCTGGACTTTTGAGAGCCACTGTGGAGTCTGTGCTATGGCCTGAGCCATGTCCAGTGTGCTGCGGTCAGCAACTCCATCAATCATCTTACACGTTATCCCCTGAAGGACCGAGTGCAGCCTCCTGTCTCAGAAAGTTGTGTTTAGGAGTGTAAGCAGATTGTGCAAATAACAGAAATGTACATGCAGTAAATTAAAAACATGTACAGAACAACAGACAACAATTTGCAGGAATTAGTCCTGTTTAAAAAATCTGTCGTGGTGCCTCCACGGTGCCTCCCTTACAAAGTCTAATACTGAGCCCAAAGCGGTTTATCTCACCTGAACTGAAGCTGCTTCAGGTCCTGCATCTTCTTCGCCAGGTAAGCTGCCTGAATGGAAAGAACATTTGAAACATCTAAATATTTCAGTGTTTAACAATTATTAAAACAAGTGTCCACTGTGGACAGAGACAGTGGATGTTACCTGAGAAAGTCTCCAGGTTTTATTCTCCACCTTCTCCAAAGAGGTGATGTTTGCTTTGTCTAAACTGTTGAGAGAAACTTTGCGAAGCAAAGGGCCGGGCAACTTCTGCACCAGCTCCGAGGGAGACAGCTTCCTGAGCAGCTACAGGGAAAACAGGGGGAGTGTGCATCATATTTATAGTATACACTGATAATAAGATTGTCTTCCATCTCAAATTTCATCTAGTTTTTTACTCACCCCCTGCAGCATGGTCTTCAATTGGCCCTTCCTCATCTCCTTGGAGACGCTCCTCAAGGCTTCTGTGTCATTCAGGATTTCCTGGGCTTTAACGTTCTTGAGCACACAGCTCGGCAAACCTGCTGCAAGCGACTGGAGCGCCATCAGCTCACCGCCTGACACCTCGGCGCACTGAAGGAAAGAGAGAGCGAGGAGTGAGACGAGCATCAGGAGAGGGGAAGCAGCCATCATAGAGGCTCACCTTCTTATCGCCCAGCTGTTTCCGGACTAGAGTGCGGAGCTGGCTCCGCGTCCATTTGATGTTGGGGCCAAGACTTTTGAGAGCATCTTTCAGATTTTTTGCCGGGATTTCCCACAGTTGTTTGGGAGAGAGCAAATTAACGCTGCGGCCCAGGTCGCGCAGAGCTCCGGTGTTGTTGGGGTTTGACATCACGCTGTTGACCAGACGCTTCTTCAGCTTTGGCCAGGGGACACAAAGACACAGCCATGATTCCCATTTCTCACTTCCTCTAGAGGTCACAAAGGCAAATGTTGTGAGAAGCTATTTTATGTAAGAGTAATAGGGACGAGACAGACCTTTGACATCATGGGGTTGTCACAGTCTTTGAGCTGAGAGAGGAGATTCTTGCTGAGGTCAGGAGTCAAGTCTGGAGCATCGTAATAACATGCCAGTGGGCCCAGTCTGCGGAGGGGCAAAGGCAACAATTCTAACAACAGTGATAAGTCAAACTAATATATTTATATATCAAAGTACTGTGAGATTTAGGAGAATCTTACAACAGTGTGTTCTTCCACTTATGATGTGGAAGTAAATCAAATCTAAATCTACTGTAAATATCAGTTTTAGTGTAAAGAAACATGAGTACACACTTATCCACATGCTGCTGGAACTCATTTTCTGGAAGGCACTGCTGGATTCTTTGCAGAAACTTCTTGCCAAGGCTGGGCTTCATCCTGGTCGCCCTGGTCATGCTGCTGCTGAACTGAGCTGAGCTGAAGAAGTCGCACAGCTGGAATAAAATGTGAAAGAACCCGGCAGGGCCGACCATTTAGAGCCATGCTTCTGGTTTTCCATGATCAAATCTGAATTTTATCCTTCTAAGATGCCTTTTTACATTTTCTTTGGGAGAAGAATCAACATCAGCTGGGGATAAAAGGGTGAGATACGGGCCCATCATGCTGAGTGCGTCCATATCCAGCCATTTCAGGGAGGGCTTGCAGCTGTCCTTCAGGGCTGGGCAATAAAGAATGATGTCATTATACATATTCAGACTTAACAGACTCATTCAGATTTAATGCATATAGTTTTGTTGTGCTCGTTCTCAACAAGTGCTGTTAATTTTTAGTTTAACAGTCTATAGCTTATTATAGTAAACAATGGGATTTCACGGCACACTTAGTAATGGAGACTACGCCATTAAACATGTGGTTTGAGTGGCTTCTTTGATTTGACTGAAGTCACCTCTCATGAAAAAACACATTTACAAACAAACAAATACACATGCAAATGCTGTGTTTTTGTCTTTGTCCATATGTGACATACACAAACTATCCGTAGTAGTATAATAAAATAAATCTAGTAAGTTGTCTACCCATCCATTATCGTTACCGCTTATTCCCTAATAGGGTCACAGGGAGAGCTGGAGCCTATCCCAGTGGTCAATAGGCAAGAGGTGGGGTACACCCTGGACAGTCCGCCAGTCCATCGCAGGGCCACACACAAGACATACCAGGACAAAAAAACACGCACACTCACTCCTAAGGGCAATTTGGAATGTCCAATCAACCTAACATGCAGGTTTTTGGACTGTGGGAAGAAGCCGGAGAACCCGGAGAGAACTCTAGTAAGTTGTAAATAAGTATAAATTCCGAAGTAAAAGGTAAGATAAGTTTAAAGTTTCAGGGTTAAGATCAGGGTATTAACACTAAGTTTGACTTACCTGATTTTGCCCCATTTGGAGGCATCATGGTGCAGTTGAAGTGGTTTTGGGTGATCCACTCTTTTGCCCAGTTTAGCACCCGAGACCTTTGATCATCAGTCATGGGCTCATATACATCCCCAAGCATGTTCATCCTGGAGCAAATAGGAGTGGTACAGCTAAAAGTGCGGAGAGCTGGTGGACAAAGGTGGATTCCATTATAGCTTACTCACATCTTTTTCATGTTTTTGGCCCCTACTTTTGGGGGGAGCTCCATTCTTGCGTGGGGTATATCTTGCAGCACAGGTTTGGCAGCCGACAGCAGTGTGTCGTAGTCGTTGGAGTCAATGTCCGAGTCCTCACTCCGTGTGGTCAGTGCCGACCAGGACAGAGGAGCCACTAGGGCCTTCATGTAACATGCAGATGGATCCTGGAGGAACAGCAAGGTTGATTAAACTGCCCCCAAACCAGCACTCATTCACAACAGCTCTTTTCCTCCGGTGTACTGACAGAGGAGTTGCTCATCATCTTGATCATGGCTGGGAGAGTGCTGCAGTTCCACATCTTATTCATGTAAAAAAAGGGGGGGAGAAGTCATGAAATGTTCCTTTTTTTTGGTCTTATGTGGCATGAATATTGATTTATGTATTAAGACCATTTTTTCTGGGACATCCATGGCCTGTTGAATAACCAAGTCTCTGCCTGATTCAGCGGTGACTTCGTCCAGGACTCGAAGAAACGTCGACAGCACAGGGTTGTACTGGTCGGCACTTCTGTCTCCTGCAGGCAGGTCACTAAGAAGAGAGGTGAGAGTGGAAATAAAAGCTGGACCCTCAAGATTCCTCAGATCAAACATGTATGGACAAGACTTTAGCTTAATCTATAAAGAAGGAGGTAGCCATATTCTGCTGCTAGAGTTGAATGAATGTGTCGGTACAAAAATAGTGGACCACATTGACATTTTGATAAATAAAGTACATTAATCGAGGTTAAAAAAATTTTGAGACTCATGCAGAATCCTTCTACATTTATTACGGAATTATTAAGGTTTCCATTCAAGCAGGTTATTAAGGCCCCCTTAGTTACAAACATTTAAATGAAGTGTAGACAGTGAGAAACTTCATGTTTTGTCTCGTCACCTTACTTCTCTTTGGCAGGGAACAAATTTCAGGTGGTAATGAGGTAAAAACAGAAATGATTTTAAATGGAATAAGTCAGCAGGTGGCTGCAAGCATGAGTGTGCACAACAGCAACATCTATGAAAAGTCTTTAAGCAGAGAAAAATGTGACAATAACCTCCTTATTCAGCTGCGCAGTAACCTGAAGCACAAAAAGAATGAAAATGGTGCTATCTCTGTGATCCCAGCCTTTTCTGGTTTAGGGTTTTAAATAGGTGGTCTGAAGAGGACATCTGATGGATTTCAGGTTCATCTTTACACCCAAACTGCAGCTACAGTGAGACACAGCAACTCAAAACTTCTAAAGAAAAAGCAAACACTCGCACATAGAATTACCTGCTATTGAAGATAGCTTTCAGCAGCGTCATCTTGGACACCGGGTATCCTGTGACAGAAAGCCCGCCAGATGCATATGTTACACAATGAAAAATCAACATGTTGGTCTGTTTGCTGAGCATTTGTTGTGACTCATACCACAAAAGCCATTCAGAGCATACCCATCATGTAGGTTTGTACAGCTCGTGCATTCAGTGTTCAATGAATTGAGTTTTCTATTTGAGCTCAAAAGACATGCACATATTGCTTTTATTGAAAAGTAAAGAAAAGGAAATAGTGTTTTCTCACCCTGATTGTGGCATTTTTTCATCTGATTAAGAAAAAAAAAGAAGTCATCGGATATACAAAAGACATAATTCACTGATTTCTAAGGTTAAAATATGGTTATTTTTGGAAGCTCTAAACTGGTCAATGTGGTTTATCAGATTAAATAGATGGTGTAAAGCATGGAGCTGAGCAGACACTAAACACAAATAAATACGGTACTTTTTATCAATTCGTAGCCTTTCGGCAAACTAGCAGTGAAAAAATATTTAATGAATTACCCTCTCTGTGCTTCGTGGTTTCAACCCCTGCTGTGATCAGGTCAAACTTTAAACTATTAAAGTCGTTAAAACTCATTTCTTACCAGCTGTTTGGTGATGTCCTTGAATGTGGCTTTATCCACAGGCATCACATCTGGAGGCTTAGCTGGACACACAGAGCAGAGCTGAGTGATCATCCATTGGCTTGTATATGCTGTACTTCACACTTATTGTACAGTGTAGCTTATGCGATGGTTTCTTTACTTACCAAAGGCTACGCCAGCCATTATGAGAATAACGAAAAACGTTCCTCCGTTTGGAGCCATGAAGGAAAGTCTGCCTATACATGTCAAAGGTTTTATCATTAAGCTTCAGAAGGGGTATTATTTTACCAACATTAATGTTCAAGTTAAAGATTGTTGGGATTTTGTTACAGGGCTGCAGTTGTCATAGCTCCTGTCTCCATGTGAGGCCCCTCCAGCCTACTGATAAACTTCCTCCTCTGAGATTTTTTAATCACACATCCCTGGCAACCCTTTATGTTGCTCATCCTGTGGGATACTTTTGAGGCTTTTGAGGATAGCCTGTGCTGAAAAACAGGCTTAGTCATGTCCAACAACACTCTGTTTGCTTACGTCTTAGATCTTTACAATGACTATGACATGTTGGAGTTTTCTCTCTAGGAACTGTGCATGTTGGTATTTTTCTTTTCATCTACTTGGTTTTCTCTCCTGTCATTTGACTTCTCGTTTGATTATGTCAATTCCTCGTTGGAAAGAGAATAAAAACATATTGAAAACAATGATTGCCTGATTCATGCAGCATAATTAACATGACATCCAATCTCTCCTAACAGTAACTCTCAATGTGCTTTATATTTTCACAGGTTTCAATACAACATACATAAACATACTACATTACACATTTAACAAAAGCTTGAAAAGACTCATTTATGTTCAAACAAGTTGTTACTTACAGATTCTGTGGCTTCTTCCTGAGGAATTTAAAGTGTTCTAGAAGAAATACAAGGTGCAGACAGAGCTAAACTGTGCAGCTCTTTTCTACCTAAATATCTTGTCTGATGTGCGAAGATGAGTGGTGGCCTATCCCTAATTTAGTCTAAGCAGACGCAAATGAGTTGCGTTTTGGGTGTGTCAGAGAGCGACAGAGAAAGAGAGAGAGAGAGAGAGAGTGAGAGAAGATCAGGTATTTTGACCATTTCTATGGATGACTTCTTGCGGAAACGTGGAGATAATCCTTTTGGCCTTATTTGCCAGCCAACCTATAGCTCTTCTTCTAATCACAACGATAAAAGATTAACTTATTGTAAATCACTGAAGGATCGTTGTTCTTATCAATAGCAAATAGAGAACCTTGTAGAATCCACAGTTACATGACAAACACAAAGGAACACGATCAGCAACTAAAAGCTCCATTCACATTCTCCATGGAAAAAAAGAGGACTCTCTGGTGTGAGTGACTTTCTCCAAACAGAAATTTGTCAATTTTCCATGCATTAAATTATCTGTGCAGTCATTTAGAGAAAAGAGTCTCAGACATATGTTGAAAGAAAAGGCCTCCATGGCCCGGTCACATGAATAAGTGAAGTCAGAGTTATATCTGAAGCAGAGGCTGGCCATAGGTCTCCTGGGACACAATCAAGCATTTAATCTTCCCATTAAAATCTAATGGGGTATGTGACAAACAGCTCGGTGTAAAAGCAGCTGGACACACTCTTCTCTTTACACTGAAACAGATTTATTTGGCAGAGAGTTTGTCAGTCTGAATGTGTGAAAAACAAACACACTGAAGTGTCTTCTTGGTCATCACGGAGCCTCCGTAAAATGAGCCCATCTGAACAATGACGGACATGAAGGAGGAGTTGTAGGTTGTTTCACTCCATGTCACTCTTTCCTTCCAATGTAGGTACAGTGGGAATGTTAAGGTTTGTGAAGTGATCTGAAAAGAATTGTTGACACTAGTTAACAGGCGAGGTTTATGCGCATGTGTTTCTTTGAATTACTCCCTCATAGCATCTCCATTGGTTACCATCTTGTCACCTAATTTGTCCACAATGACAGGCCAAAGAAACTCTACTTTGTTGTTTACCTGTAGACTAGTTTTAAGATTGGCAGAGATGAATACATACGTGTAACATTCTGCATGTGTTTGTTTTTCAGTTAGGGTTGAAATCATGTTCAGGCCAGGGTGACAGTTGGGGTTAGGAATGCACTGTGATGGGGAAGATCAGGGCAATGGAGTAGAGAGCAAGTTGAAGTCAAATTGAAACCAAGTGATGTTCTTGTGTGTCTGTATCTGTCTTTAAACATCTCACCTGCGGCAAACTCTCGAATGTCAGTCGGCCTTTTAAGAAGCACATCTCTGTCAGAAAAGAGGTAATAGAGGTAATACAAGAGCAACTATACAAGTGCGGCTTGGTGGTAACATCACTTCTGTAATATTTTTCAATATTTTCCCAGTAAAATGTAATAAACTGTGCGCAACATTGTGAGGCTGATGGTATGAATACAGAGGCACGGGTTGCATGAGAGATGAAAAATAATTCAAATTAAGTCAATAGAATTTCCTCCCCGATATAGATGGAGAAACTGACAACATCTTCGAGAAAAACATTACCTCAAGTTATTTACCATATCAGGGATGTTAATAACCACAAAATCTTTCTATCATTTTCTATAATTAAAATTCAGAAGTCTGATTACTCCTCTTAAACAGTCTGGTTTGCCTAACAATCATGGGGAGATATTAAGTTGTTTCTGAGAAACAAAAGAAGACATTTACATCCAAAGCATAAGCACCCACATTTTTATAAAGCTGTCCAAGCTTTAATTCTTACACTTAAAACAGTGTTTTCTATATTAGTTTTAGTTTTTAGTTTTTTATGCATGGCTCTCACAAAACGTGGACCAACAGGGCAGCTGGGTGACACTTACCTTAAAAAATCGCTAACCAGTACCTCTACTTCTGGATGGGATCTCAGATACTTCTCGTTGTCGATTCTGGTCTTGATCTGAGAGTAAAAAATTCGTCTTTTACAGCTTTCTATTCAAGGTACAGTTTTTAACAAGCTAACAGCTAGCTTTTTTTCTTTAGCATTGTGGGGAAATTGACATTGTTACCTTAAACTGTCGTAGCCTCTCTTGCTGCTCAGCACTTAGTACGCTGGCATCTGGTTCCGTCAGGCTGTGTTTTCCAGCCATTACTTAGTCGAAAGTGTCTCTGTGAGTGGTACCCACTCAGCAGAGTTACTTTAAACTGAAGCTGGGCCAAACGTAGGGTCACCTGTCGTGGACGCCACCGTGTGGAAAAGCTGTTGCTATGGGAACGACTGACTTTAACAACTCTGACCGCGAGGTGGCAGCACAGGGCGGAAAAGGAATGAACCACTTTCTTCTTTTTTATTTTTGGAGCAGCTCAAATAATACAAATTAATTAAAACCCAAAATGTGTCCTACGTTCTACGACACGTGTCATACCCTATTCTTAATCCTATACAATTCTATAATTTTCCTGTATTATAATTTTATTATTTTCTTCGTTTATCTCATCTCCTCACGTCGTCTCATATACGTTCACAAATGTTTGATTGATTGATTGATTGATTGACAATTTTAGGAAGTCCTACGCCTGAACACGAAATGCATATTTTATTATAATAAATTATTTTCGCACAGTTTAAGGCACAGAAATAGGATTTTCCTCCCCACATGAAACATTTAGAAGTCCAGAGTCAAAAGACTCACAATGCTTTGCTTTGATCATGAATAACACATACAAACCAGTCTCAAAATAAAGACATTTTTCACAAACATTTGTAAAAAAGAAAATGGACAACATTTTTTGTTTAGTTTGTACTTTACAAATCTAATTTGTATATTGACATACTGTACACAAATTTTCACACTTTCCTTTATGGCTCCTAACGAAAGAACATTTTCTATCCTCATCTCAGCCTTTGGAGAACAAATATGAACATTTCCCAAGCCTTGTGTTCACCTGTAGTCCCCAGTAGATGACAAATTAGTTGAACACAGCAGATTGACAGAAATGTTACTCTTGAAGCCCTCCAATCCCTACTAAATGCACATTTCATAGTAATAAAAAGCCATGAGAGCTAACAGAGGCGTTACAGAGTTTCAGGAATGAATATACATAATATACACTTTGCTTCTGGGTGTGCTTCCTGCTCACTCGAAGACTCTTTTCTTGTAATCTGTTATACAAGGTTCCCTACAACACAGTCAATTTTCCTGCCTTTCTGGACATTCAAAACTCCCCTGCAGGAAGAAATAACTTGTGTTGTCGAGGTGTATAGCCTCTCTCATGTCCATTGCAAGTTGTCCTTCCTCATTTTCTTCCACCTCGTGAGTGTCACTTGGAAGACTATCTCTGCACGGCTGTGGGACAAAAGCCACCAGGGCCTCCCCTTCAGGGGCTGATGGAGGAGAAGGCAGAGTTGGAGACACGTCACCACAATGGGTGATGACATTAAGATTGTGGAGTTTTGACAGTATTCTATCCCTGTGCCTGAAAAAGCAAAAAAAAAAAAAAACTGTTTACTGAAATGATTGGTGTGGCATTGAAAATTTCGGATGGAAGTATTTTGACTGACGATTTTCATTCATAACTTACAGAACATGTTCTTTAAGCATAAGAATCAAAACCACAAGAGTACCACACTACCTGAAGAGGTAGACGGCCAAAATGAGTGACAGGAAGGCAAAAACAACAGGAATCCATAGAACATGCTTAAATGAACTGTCTGAGGAGTATGGTTGATCTGTAGGACCTGGAGCAAAAAGAGAAATACAGATAAATAGTTATGGTAAGTAAACATTTGAATGTAGCTGAACACATGCATGTGTAAGAGTCTGTGTGCGGAACCATGTCTCCAGTGTTTTGAGCCTTACTTTTGAATTGTAACATTGTTTTTAACACCAACAAAGCTGAAACCCTCTCCCTCTTTGTTTTGCTTCTTTATCACACGTATACACAGTACAATCTAACCATAAGACTAACCATCGGGGTAGATATCTGCAAAGCCAGAGCCCATTTCATCCTGGTGGCAGAAAATGGCATAAACGACAGCGTGAGTCACTGCAGGACAGTTGTGTATCAGTAAAAGCATGAATAATGACGGGCTGACACATGAAAGTCCTACCTCTGGTGTCACAGAACCATGAGTCTCTGGAGCTTAAAAAAGAGACAGGAGGAAAATACAGCATTTAAATGTTAAAAGTCAAAAGGTTTATTGGATAAATGAAAAGGTTAGCATATAAAGTTTATCTGGCAAAAATTACTTTCTGTGGTCTTCTTAAAACTAAACAGAAAAAACAAACAAAACTCTGCCTTTTCAAACCTTTGACTTCAACAATGACGGAAAAGGGGGATTTTTCTTTTAAAGGAGAGACTATGAATCAGTTTTTGGTATGAATGTTTTGGACACGAGGAGGAACATGTGTCCAGAATACTAACACAATGTGTGAGACAAACAGTAAGTACATTAATTCAAAGAGGAAGAGAAACAGGAAGAGGTAAGAGTGAGCGGGTATTTATGGGCTCAGCTTCTTGGGAACATCCAGTCAAGAAAGAAAGGGAAAGAAACAGGAGCAGTGTGTGCTTGGGCCATGATAATTACTCTTATCTGCATCCAATGTGGACCTTAATAAAATTAGGGTCACTTTATTACCAACATAACCATGACTGAGTGTGGCCATTTAGGATGAAATATTTACTAAAATTTTCTGGCACACGTCTACATGTGAATTTACCGGTCCAAGTCCTGGCATGGACAGGAGAACTCCATTCGCTCCACTGGCCATCATATTCCTCTTTGGTCCTGAGCTGAATCAGGTAGTCGATGCCAGGCATTGCATCAGTTATGGTGTATGAGCGCCTGTGTTGAATTTCACATATCTATATGGACAAAACCAATGGTTTAGTGAAAACAGCATATTGCGTTTCTGGCCAAATTCAACAATGGTCGCTTTTCTAATCGTCACCTGCTCTTCTGAGGAGCCTAAAGGTCTGTATTTTAGCTCATAGACAATGTCATAGAAGTTGTCTCGCTCCTTCCAGGAAGCCGGTAAGTTCCAAGTGATCCTCATTCTCCTCTCATGTCCCTCCTTCTGGTGAACTGACACGCTTGACGGGGGGTCAGGCTTTACTGAAAGAGCACAGGGACACAATGAGCGCTGCTTCTGGACATGCTCCGGCAAAACTCACTTTGATCTGGACAGAGGTGCATGGACATATTCACTTACAGAGGTCCAGCGGTGTAAAATACTCCAGGGAGCTGGTGGCATTGCCAAGGATGCTTGTAACGCACAGGAAGACCATATGCAATACTCTGAGCTCATCCTCATTGTGGTCCAGAGCACACCAACAGCGGGAGTGCTGAGTTGAGTATGAGCATGGAATTTGCTGGAAGTGACTTGTGTGGCTGGGACTTGAGAGACAAAAATATACAAAAAAAAACCCACTACAAATATAGACCACAAAGACATTGAGAAATCACAATGTTATGTTATGACATCAAGCGCTTGATGTCATAACATAAAGGTTCCCATTTTGGTTTTTGATACTTTTTTATTATTCTAGCGCAGTTCCAAAACATGATGTTTAACTAAAACAACCTTTAGGATTAAACAGACCTAAACATCTTTTATTCAACCTCTTTTTCAAATACCAAAGTATATTTTAAATTTCATTTGGCCAAATTCTTGCTGCAACTTTTCATTTAGAACATTTTGATCATCAATAAATAGCTGAAAATTAATTCTTCTTCTTATTAATATTATTATTATTATTATCATTATTATTATTAAGTATTGCTTATCACATATTCTATCAGCAAGACTTTAAACAACTTAAGATACAGTAAAAATGTTCAAAGTGGAGTTTAGCAACTGTTTTCTAAAATGAGCAACATGTCTGCTCAAAAGTTACTTCTTTCTTTTCTAAATCATTTAGCTCTACTAGCCCGGTCTTAGGTTTGGTTAGCCACGTTATCTAGACTAATCCTCCATACCGTGACAAATGCATAACAGGCCAGACACTTTCAGCCTGATGGATACAGCATTCCTGTCAAGTGTTTCTCAGCTTGACAAGAAAATAAATTAAACAGTAGTAAAACACTTTTTTTTGGTCACAATGAAATGTTACGTATGATGAAATGGGCAAATTATTATCAAGTTTACTTTGTGATAAGCAACATGACAGTTTGCAGCATATAGTCCACCAATAAAAACAAAGGTTCTCAAATAACAGTTGTTGAGTTACAAGGTTTCCGTCTAAAAATGTCAAAGTTTCATCCATTTTTTTTCTCTAGTTAAAGCCTGTAATATTTTCTAATGAATTTACATAAAGTCTGTAAACATTTGCAGATGACTCCATTCCATCTGGCCTAATTCATGATGCTCAGCCAATGATGCACTTATTGGACAAAATAACAACAAATCATCTCATTACCACGGTGATGTGTACACTTTGCATGCATCCTTACCCTTTACTGAGTAGGAGGTAACAGTTAGGATGCTTGATGATGGGTTTTTCGGGGTGCCATTCACAGCGAATTTTACTGCTTGGTGACCTTTTGTAGCAGGTAATACTGGGACTCTCAGGAGGATCTATTAGACAAAAGTCGTGCAGAAGTACATATCATCCATTGCTTACTCAAATACTCTTTAGTTTTATGTGTAGTTTTAGCCTTTAATCACATGATCACATGTGCTCCCTTCTAAAGTGACATCAAGTGCCTGTTGTAGAAATTGCCTTCGGATGAACTCAATCATGTGGGCCTCATTTTGGTAGAGGTTGCAGCAAGTTTAAAAGTCCTGTCCTTCCCCTTTAGATGTTTTCAGTGATTGGTTTGTGTGGGTGAGCAAAGGCTGTGACTTGCTTACATCCTGTGTTACAACTTTGATTTTGTGTTTTGCAAGATAGCTGATTTGTGTTTTCCAAATGAAACCAAGTGTAAGCTCAGGGCCAGTGTAGCAGTAACTTACCTGCAACGATGACTTTTACAGCAAATATCTCTCTGTCTCCATAATGGCATGTGTATTTCCCAGAATCCACCAGTCTCACTGAGGCCAGGGACAGGACAGCACCGTCCTTAGAAAGTTTGATATTTCCCCAGTCCCTGCGTCCCTTCCCCACAGGCTGCTTGTTCCACTTCCACTGAGGCCTAAATTGAATGCCTCTGGTCACCCTGTTGTGTTCCTCCCCTTTATTGTCTTCATCCTCGGTGTCCATCTCTTCATCCACCCAGGCTGAATCATCCTCTAACTCTCTGCTTGTGATGGTTGGCTGGACTGTAAGTGAAGCTGTGTATCCCGTGCCTGTGTATCTGGGTTTTATAGTCTCACCTGGCGAAGCACTAACTCCCACCTCAGCAGGAGGAGAGCCGTGCTCTTCACTTTGTGTGTTCTGAATGGTGGTTTTATTACTTTTACTTGAGTCTTCATTGGGAGTTGTAACTTTGTGAGTGGCTGAAGTTACAGCAACAGAACTTATTTTTTTATTTATGTTTGCGCCGTTGACCTCTACATGGCCGTTGCAGGTTAGGACCACCCTGTTTCCCGGAGATAAAACCAGGACACCAGGAGGAGGGTCTGCACAGAAAAACAAACAAACATTTGTACGGCTTTCGCTGTCTCTGTCCGGGTAAGCTTAAATTCACAGAAGTAGATGGTTATATTTCTGTTCTTTCGGCTTCGGTCACACTCGAGCGGACCCAGCTCAGATAGGATGCAACGTTGCATAACCAAAATTACCAACTCCTCTCAAACTTCCTCTTTTGATAGTTCTCTCGCCCTCACAGTTTCTGTTCATTCCTAAATTATACCATGTATGTACCATGTCTCACTCATTTAAATTTCTCACAGGCTCCCAAACTTTTTGCATTTTTTGAGTTGATCAACTATTGATTTGAATTTAACAACTAAGATTTTCCCCACAAACAAAATCTGTATAATTTAGGCCCCTGATTTTATTTTTACATTCAAATAGATTCTGCATCTAAAAGAGGGAACATGGACCACATTAAACTAATATTGAAATCATAGCGACAACAACAAAAAACATAATAGTTATAATAAAAATGACGGTAGTATAATAATATTAATAATAACAAAGAACAAACAAATAGAAAATGAAAATGAAGATAATGAGAATTAGACAAAAAAGGAATAATAATGCTAAATTAACCTGTGTCTAATCACCCCCAAAAAGTGAAAATAAACAGAACAGACAGAACATTATTTAAACTAATCCAAAATACAAAGAAAATGAAAGCAGAAATAATTCTGGTAATGAATCAAGATGAAGCAGATTTTGTAGTTAAGTTTGGCAACAGAAAATGTTAATGCATAATAATGAGAAAATAGAACTTTGTAACAAACATATGGCACCATAACAGTTAATTATATACTGTAAAAACTGTTTCAGGGGTGCTCTGCACATAAAGGTCAAATAGGCAAACTAGACTTCAGTCGTAAACACCTTAACTTATCAACAAAACCTTTTTTTCTTTTGTTAAACTAAACTGCGGAGCACTTTTAACGCAAATCTGTTACCATTTAGACGTGACACTGAAAGCTCACCTTTTCTGGGACAGGTTCCGTCCCAAATACTGCGAACCGACGGGAGACTCAAAACACAGAGCAAGAAGAGAAAAAGACTCATTTCTGCCAGGCGACCCCTCCGTGTCTGCAAACTACCGTCAAGAAAACAGCCACAGCTGCACTGGTGTCTCCCATCGGGCTTTTCCACTTCGAGAGGAGGCCAAGCAACTGATCGTTTTCCACACCAGACCGGACAGTTAGAGCGGAGTTCCTGCAGTTGCGGCAGCGTGCTGTCCGTAAGGCCCGTTATTGTGAAATCCCACTGCTCTTCCCCCTGCCGCTAAACAGAGGAAATCCTCCTCAGCATCAAAATAAAACCTCTGTGCGCGCTGCACGAGCCATCACATATCTGGCACTACACACACGACCCGCGTGCGTGTGTCTATGTGTGGCTTTTAGCTTTGTGAACTTTCAGAGAACATAGGTCATCACAGTTTGGACAAGTGTTGGAGAAAAATGTGCATGCTTCAAGATGTCTGGTCATTAATGTCTGGCCATACTAGTTTCTGCCTGCCTGTGATGCATCAGGTACCACTGATTTGTTTGTGTGTATAAGTTTCAAACATTAAAGCCTTCAGTTGTGAGTTTTGTCTCATTCTCCCATCTCAGTTCAGCGTCACTCCTTAAGATTAGCTCGCAACATGAAATTGGACCTGCATACACATTGAGTTTAGCTTTCATGATTTTTTTTAAAAATTCATATCTGTTTAACAGCCTCACTAAGAGCCCAGCTGTGTACAAAGAGAAGGTGGTGTCCCAAACTGTGCCGATTAATTTCAATTCAGTATTTCATATTAAATATTTGAGGGCATGTTCATACAAGCTCCTGACTCCCATTATCCTTGTGGGGTTATCAAACCTGAAATGGGTGTATGTTTGAGGAGAACATTTACATGAAAGATGCGTCGTAATTAATGAGGATTTATTCAGAATCCTGAGCCAGGAATCAAAGATGGGACATTTCATTTTCAAGGAATCGTTATCCCAAAACATCCACCCTTCTTCATGGAAAAACAAAACCCCAAAGCACTTCACGTGTGCGTGTTTACAGAAAGAATCAGGACCACTGTTTACGAAATGTAGACGTTTATGGTTCAGAATTTGACAAACCACCTTTACATGCTCATTTGCTTCTGGGTGGATTCTCTTAGAACTTCTTTACACACTGAGGTGGCAGTTTTTCTATTTATTCTGTTCCATTACATCAAAGGTAATTAAAACGGAGCCTTAAAATAAAAGAGTGCTTTTGTCAGTTATTCAAAAAAGGCCTAACTTCCAAACCAAAGCACTAAAAGCCTGATTGAATGTGCAACATAACCAGGCCATTATCAACACATCAATATGATGCAAAAAAAAGGGTCGAGTGTGGTTAGATAGCAGATCAGTGAGAAAACAGGGGCACAAATCTCGCAACAGTCTGTAACAGTTGTATAAATTAAAATAGCGTTCTCACTGAGAACTATAATGAAAACAGAGATCTTCTCAACAGACAAAACCTTTACAAATACAGTAATAATGCCTGAACCACATGAGTTGAAAATCTTTTTTTGTCTCAATTGTCCATTTTGTTGTTGGGTTCAAGAGAAGCTGTGACCTCTGGTTTAAAGGCTTGTGAAATTTCAAGCTGAAGCAATCCTTTTACTTATAATTAGTTGTCCTTCCATCTGTTTCTGTTCCTCCTGCTCATCTTGGTTTGAATTAATTAAAGCCAATCAGATACATTCAGAAACAGCTGAAAATAAAATCCTTATTTACAGATGAGAAAGTCCACTTCATTAAAATGTCCCGCTTCCTCTTGTGATTCTGATGAAATCTATTTATTTTGAGACAAGAGCACTGCGTGGCTAATATTTTTGGTACGGCCTACGTGTTTGCTCCAGAGAAGCACACATGCATTTTGAATGTGTGTGCAAACATCTGGTAGACAGTAGAAAAAATGGGTTTCTTTAATCCTTTGCATACATTTTATTTCATCTGGATGGTTTCCTTGGCAACAGAAGGTGGGCCTGGGCTGTTGGATGCGCTGGTACGTTGTGAGATGCCCTTCCACCCAAACAGAGCTTCCTGTTGGACCAAAAGAGATACTTTTGAGTTATGCACATTTGTGACAATGAACAAAAAGCATCAAATTGTCTGTTCTTCTTTTCTGATATGTAAGTCTGTGAAATAGTAGCCGACCTGTACAGTCCCCAGAGAGAGCGTCCATCCTCCAGGTGAGTCGGTCCCGTGGTGCCGGACTGGGGCAGCTGTTGAGGCCTGAGCTGAGGCCTGGGGAGCAGCTGCTTCTGGAGCTGTTGTTAAAGCTGATGTCTGAGCTGCTGCTGTGACTGTTTCCTCCTCAATGGGCGTGTCTTGTGAGCCACCCAGAAGAGAAGAAGAGTTCGAGAGTGGCGGAACCGACCCAGAAATGATACTTGGTGCAGGGCTGCACTCCCCTGAGGTGCAAGGGGGTGTGTGAGTGTTTTTCTTCCTGCGAAGCGTGTCGATCCAGCCGGAGCTGTGCCTGGAGGCAAAGTTGGCCAGGGCCAGAGAGGAGAGCCTCATGTTTTTCCCTGAAGTGATCAGCTCTCCAAAGCCTTCCTGGTGGGCGAAGGCATAGCCCGACCTCCTGGAGCCACCACGGGCACCAAGACGGCCCTCCGACACGCTGCCCACTCCCCGCCAGGCGCCTCCGGCACTGCGGCCTGCCAGCTTCCGTCTCTTCTGTCGCACCAACTGAGTGTAGCGCACCTGAAGACAGAATCAGAGGCACGCAAAGCAGACGTGTTTGTCATTTAATGATCAAACAGACAATCTTTAACTTTCATTTTTCTAAACTCATATTTTCTTGTGCCTGTGTCAGCTTTTTTTTGCTTTCAGTGGTACTTTTTAGTGATCGTTGCCATGACACGCGCATAGCTGTGCACCCCAAAAGCTGTCTGTCAATATCTGACCCTCCATCTCATCAAAACCTTTTCACACGTAACAGAAACTACATGCAAATTAGAAGAGGGACTTCCTCCTACCATGCTGACAGAAGTTTCGGCTAACTGACAGAGAGTCATCTTCAATTTCGGATGGCAGCTTGGGTCATTAGGGTTCATTGACTAGGTCAATGTTTGCTGGGTAGTCAGAGTACACAATGCCGTGGTGGTGAGCATGTACCAAAAGACACCCACACCGTGATACTTGTACTGTTAATCATTGACTGCCGCCTGTTTCAAACTTACATACACTTAAATACTCTCCTGCATGTTGCGAGGATGGCCACAGACACAGAAGCATAACAAGCTGTGCTTTCTCACCGTGTCTGAGAGCTGAGGCTTGAGGTCCAGCTTCAGGAAGCGGAATGCCAAAACTGGAACTATACAAATTGCTGTTGCCAGCGCAATAGTCAACCACACGACTGGCTGCAATAATGTGTTCTGGGCACTACCTACACAGACACAGACAAAAGAACATGTTTATGAAATGTGTAGCGTCTTTCAAAATGTCAGCGGTGGAGTGAAATCATTTCAAACCACAGTCAACAGCGATTCCTGAAATCAGTGACTACACAAGATTTACCGTTAAAAAATACATTTACACAAGTTGGATTATACTGATTTTTTTAGACAAATGTAATTTTCAGATCATTTTAACACCTGCAGTGGACATACATGTCATACCACAAACAAAAACGAAGCACATTTGCGTGATAATAAAAAACACGGGACCAACCTACAAAGTGGAACTGATTGGGAAAGATTCTGAAAAGGCTCTGGCTGTGAAGAGCTAGCATGATGGTGAAATAGGAACCCAGGGAGCCCCACACAAACACGTGGTTGATAACTGTCCAAAAGCCAGTGTCAAGGCCTATCTGCAAGAGAAAACAGACATGTAAAAAGATAGTAGATATACATGCTTAATATAAAAAAGGGAAGCAAAGAGCTGTCAAAACCAGCAGATGCTGGCTCTGAAGAAAGCTAACACCCTGCTGGATAGTCTCACCTGCACACTGACCACTATAACCAGGGCTGTTGCTGTGGTCACTGCAAAGGATTGGTAGTCGGCGAGTGGCACTCCATTGCTCTGAGTGGCATCAGACAGCATGGCGTAGGGCACAAAGAAAAGCACCACCGATGTGTAGATGCCTTGAGCGATGCAGATGAAGAACTCTCGCTTATTGAAGAGGAGGTTAAGCTGCCCGGGCTCATACAGCTTCGGATACTCCAGGTTTCTCTGATCTGGAACATCCTACAATTAGAGAGAAAGTTAGACACCCAGTTTGCTAAAATAGGATTATAGACTGCAAGACATCAAAGCTAATGGCAGGGTGGTTTGAAAAAATGCACACATAAGCATAAAGATGGAAGCCTTTTAGACACAGATGTACTATTGAACCAGTGAACATGAACGGTAAAAAATTAAATAAAGAACACACAAAAACACACACACACACGCAGACACACACACACAGACACACACACACACACACACACACACACATATATATATATATATATATGGTGACAGAAACTTTTCATATTACAAATAACATGTTTATACAAGAGCCTTTCTGGTCTTTGAAAATGTTGACAAAAGAATACATCTTGTTCAGTTCATATTCAGCAAAAGAAATTGAAAAGACCTGGTCAAATATCCCCATGGCCAGCACAGGGAGGGAGGTATACACAATGTTGTAGAGTGTGATGAAGTACTGATCGTACACCGTCTACGATGAAAAGACAACAGACAAAAACACTCACGCACAACATCGATCAAATCCAAATCATGATCCTCTACTTCCAGTTTAGATGTTTCCCACTGACCTGTGCAGAGAAGCCGCAGAAGAAGCCAAACCAGAAGTGCACCATGGTGAAGGCAAAGTTCTTGTAGAAGAAGTAGCAGAGGAACCGGCACATGCGAAGGTAGGACCAGCGGCCGTGGACCAGCAGGAGACGCTGGAGGAAACGGAACTGTGCGAAAGAGTAGTCGCTGGCCAGCACAGCCTGGATCCCCTCCTGCCCAGAGATACCGACTCCGATATGAGCACCTGTAGGAGGAGAGAAGAGAACATGTCAAACGAATACAGCGGTCAAAACTGTTATTGTATTCTTTTTATTATCTATTGATGAAAAGGAAGCCGCTGTCTATACCAGCTTACTCCTAGCAAGGTCAGGGAGGGTAAATTAATTCAAATACTAGTTTCAAATAAGTTTCCAGCTGTCTAATTATTAGCCCAAAAGCTGTTTGGCAACATAAATCACAGGATGTGAACCAGCTCCACCCATCACTACTGCACTGATTGCATTGCTCTTGGTAGTTGCTTAAGTTTATTTCAAGAAACATGCAGGTAAACATGTTTACACAAAAACCCAAAAGGCGATGCAACGTTTACGAAACACAGGATTATATCGGAAAATGTAACCCCTTAATAACCTATCTAATCCACATTATGTTGAGGCCGTCTTATCAAACTGAGACTATAATCCATCACCTTTCAATGTCATCATATATACAGAATGGCAGCAAGTCTCCAAAAAGTCCAACAATTCTTATGCATCGTGTTTTGGAAATGTAATATAGTCGAAGTTGTTAGGACTCGTCATTGTTATCTAAAATCAAATGAGTGCGTGATAAGAGCGAGGACAATGAGGACATCATAAAGAAGTTCTTAAACTCATGAGAACACTGTTTCCAGTGCAACACTTGTTTCCACACAGCCTCTATCAAAACTTGTAACATGCTGGAAAATTGTTTGTTCAACCACCACTTCTGCAGAGTTTCTATTGCTTAAAGGTAGACATGACACCCACATGACAGAGGCTGACTTCTCTCTTTCCTTTTCGCTCAAACGGCTTCTACCTCCAGCGCAACTCACTTTTGATCATGCTGACGTCGTTGGCGCCGTCTCCTATGGCCAGCGTCACAGCCTTCTTGTGTTTCTTGATGAGCTCCACCACCTGAGCCTTTTGCAGTGGGGTGACTCTGCAGCAGATCACTGCTTTGCACGCACATGCTGTCGAGACAAATTCCCCCTCCATGTCTGCTTCCAGCGCATGGGCCTAGCAGAGGACAGGGAGGAAAGATGAGAAGGTCACAGCAAAAAGATAAAAAAGCTATATCTGCAGCTTTGAGGGAAAAGCGGTGGACGGGGGAGAGGTCGCTTCGTTTCTCTCGATGCCCGTGTGCACTTGTGTGTAAGATGTGAGTTTCAGGCCACGCGGTTCATACCAAGCTGTGACCGCTGATGACGAGGCCAAACTCTCCAGAAATGTTGTCCATCAAATTAGCGTGCGGCGGCGGAAAAGGGGAGCCCTGCAGCTGCTTCCCTCCTCCTGCTGCTACTGCGGTGCCATCTCCTACTCCAACCCATGCCTCCGTCCCGTCCTCCTTTCCTCCATCTCTGGCACGGGACAGTTCAACCATCCTCTCCCTCGCTTTCCTTAAAAGGGTGACACACTGCACATCAGCCCGGACGGTCTGCACCACAAATGCAAGCTCAAAAAACGTCAACAAAACTCAGTTTTACTGCAGTTTTCCACCTGTTTTAAGAAATGAAACATATGCACGAGTGTGATGTAACAGCATCTTTCTGAAATAGAAAGGCCAGGGATACAGTCTAATGTATCGCTGGCCCTCCTCCAGTTTTTGTAAAATGGCTCAATGGCATCAAATATTAAACAAAAACCCTTCCAGATGTTTTAAAGGCTTTTCACATTCATCTTATTTAGTCTCAGACTAGACAGCGTGGCTAGACTAAGTTCTGCTTTTTTTCTTTTCAGTCTAGACTAAGATTCACAATAGGCAAAAATCATTTTCTTTGAGATGATAACTCAAGCTTTGCATATTACTTCTTAAGGCATTCAAAGCACAGCCATGCTCAGATCTCTTACAGGTGTAGGTGCATTCTCTGTTTGGAGCTGAAAAAAGCTGAAAAATTAACCTAATGTTCTAGGTTTCACTGAAGATTGCTGTATTTTTACATTTTTTTGCATTGGAACTTCTTCTATCCTGACTAGTCGGCAGCCTGCGTCTAACCACGAAACGACCACAGACTGAATGCCCAAACAATGCCCTTTATCCCCAATTACTCATGTCCTGGAGCCATGTCCTGGAAATCTGTTGACTGTGTTCCAATTATGTATAATGGAACAAGTAGTGTTTCACTCCTCCCCCAAATCTATTCCATCACACAAAAGTCTGTATAGTCTGTTGACAATTCTATTGACCTCTACTGTGAAACCTTTTCAGGTTTTGGACGCATGTCAAGAACCACAGTCAGAAAAAAAACACATAAGATAAAGTTTTTCAACCTTTTAGATAATCATTGAAACTTCAGCATTGAGATTACCTCACAAAGAAAAACTTGGACATAGCTTTGTGATTTACAAGCCCTGAGATTATACCCTGAATTGTATGCATGGAGCCTGGTAGGACCAGCCAAACAAAGACACGGACCTGAGTTCTTGTCGTACACTCTGGACCGTGTGCCCACTGATGATGAACACCTCTGCCGTGTCATCTGTCAGCATCTTACACGAGTACCCGATGTTGACAGCGGTCTCTGCGAAAGAAAGATAGGGAATGAGCAAATACTGGACATATTTTGATTGATGTTAGTTAGGAGCGCTCAGCTTATGGGTGACAGTAGTGCTCTATGTCTTTAATGTGGGATCAATATACTGGCAACTACTGTAAATGTATTTGCATCTCACCCTGCTTGTCTCCAGTAAGGACCCAGATCTTAATGTTGGCTAGAGAGAGAACTGCGATGGTCTCTGGGACTCCTTCCTGCAGCTTGTCTTCTATAGCGGTGGCACCTAAAAGCTAACACACAAGCAAGAACATTCATCCTGACAAGAATTTTAAGGAGCCTGTCGAAAAAAACAAAACAGAAAGCAAATCTCTGACAAAATGCTCGTGTCTCAAAGGACATGGCCCTGGACAAGCAGGTTTATGTGAGACAGAAACTAGTCAAAAGGAGAAAATGTCAGAATAAATGACTCACCATCATATCTTGCTCTATCTCGTCATAAGCTGCTGCCAGCCTGTCCTCCCTGTAGTTAGTGGCCTTGTCAGCAAAGCGGTGGCTCTCAGACCAGGCCTCCCATTCATCCCCAGTAAGGTCCCTGTAAGCCAGGGCCAGCGTCCGCAAACCATCGGCTCCATACTCCTACAATTGAAAAATGTTTTACAATGCTGCACAAAATCAAAGTTACCCGTTGCCTGCAGCCTGAAATGAAAACACACAAGATCAATGTTGAACCAGACCTAAACACTGATAATTAACACTAATGCTATTTTTTTTTTGTGTCCTTACATTTGGACAGTTACTATCTGATGTTAGTAAAAGTCAAAGTCTAAGGTCCTCTATGGTGAGGAGACACTAGGTGTCAGTGGTGCTCTATCCAAAGGTTTGTTTACTTACATTAAGGTGGTCTGAGGTGATGCTCATCAGTTCGTGGTTACAGGGGTGGAGTCTCTCCAGCAGCACAGTGTCGGCTCCTTTACAGTAAAGACGAATTCTGCCCTCTGGGTTTCGTACTGAGGGGAAAGGGAAATATGATAAAAATAGTTAAAAGGGGTCAACACAACTCTTTCTTTGCCTTTAAACACTCAGTCGTCTTTATTAGCCGGCTCATCAAATGCCATTCCATTATGCAGACCGCCTGACGCTGATGTGCATGTAGAGCCTGCAGCCGCGCTACAGATGGCGCTCAAATTTCTTATGTAATTGAGCATGCCATTTATCAAACTCTTCCTGTAAGAGGAGGCAAATTGACATTAAACAGTTTCTATAAAATATAGAAGTCAGAGAAAGCTATAAACAAACTGTCGTCTGTAAATTACCCTCTAGGAAAAAGGAACTTTCACTATTTATGATGTAGTGCCAGTTCCTTGAAATGAATCGCTTCATCTTGGATTAATCTTCTACTGTTATGAATAAACATGCACAGAGGAGGTGTATTCAGCTCTTTTTAAGTACAAAAAGTGGATATTTCACAGTTTTATGTCCCACTTGGAATTTCCCCCCACAGTACACATATCTTAAATGCACATCAGCAAACTAGAAGCAGAAAAAGATGTCGCCTTACCTATGACGGACATCCTCTTGCGTATGTTGTTGAAGTCCAATATAGCGAGCAATGAGTAGGTGACAGTTCGGCCCATCTCTGTGGTGGTGATGGTCCCTGGTGTTCGGGAGCGAAACACAAAGCCAAAATTTCGAGCTGCTGTCACAAGCGCACCCTCATCTGGAGACTGGGCCTTATAAACCAGCTCTCCTGTGCAGACAGATAGAACAACAACAGAATGGTAAAAAATGGATTGCAACTCCATTACTGTTATTGTTTGCCGGATGACTCCCCCGGGCGCCCTCACCTTCACTCTTCTCCTCACTCATAACAGTGTGACAGAGGGAGAGCAGGCGGAAAAACTCCTGGGTGTGGGAGTCCCCGACTTTCACCGATTCCAGCAGCTTGTCGTCATAGAAACAGAAGTCAGGGTCTGCCAAAGGGTTGAGGCCAGTGAAGTCCAACTTCTGAGGATAAACAGGAGAGGATGGGACCATTATGACATTGATAGAATTACACTGTAAACTAGAAATGTGTAGGAAGAAAAAAGAAAAGGTCCCTGCCTTTCGCTGTGTAGCAAGCGGCTCTGTAACTTCACCTGCCAGTAACACAAAAGTCAGACATGAAATACTTGATATCACTTAGTGTAAACACGGTCGAACATTAGCTGGTATTTTTCCACGGACCGTAAGTTTGCCCATTGATGGAGCACTTGTTGAAGGTCATGATGTTCTGGGTTAGCGTTCCAGTCTTGTCACTGAAGATGTATTCAACCTTAACACAAAGTAAAAGGTTACACACACACATTTTACAACACTCAACTGTAAAACGCTACCAATCTGAAAAACCAAATTCGTTATCAAGAGTCTTTTCATCTGACAGCTGATTTACATGGGCAGTAAGAAACAAGGGGCCGTCCCACCTGGCCCAGTTCCTCGTTCAGAGTGGTCGTCCTGGCCTCAGCTGCCGTGTTGCACTGTGAGCAGAACATCTGTTGGTCCCAGTTAATGAAGTAGCTGTGACCCAACCTGATGACCTCCACGCTGATTAACACACAGAGAGCAGAGCACTTAAAGTGATGCAAGTCTGAAAGTTACCTGTAAAGTGGCACAGCTGTGAAACCCCAGCACAAACACAACATGTTCAGTTCACACTTTTCTAAGTCTATGTTACACCCACACACTTGTCAAACGCCTGTTAAATGGAAAACTATAGACCAGTAGAGTTGGGTTACAAACACAAAGCAGTTTTAAGGGACTCGATTTTCAGCTCTTCACCATGCAAGTGTGGATAAGTGAAAAAAACAACAACATATCTTCTGGCATATCTTCAGCATTTCTTTGTTTCATACCCACACATTTGAAATTGTAATGAAATGCAGTTCCTCTTACCTCACATAAAGAGATATTGGCACCACCGTGTTGAGAATGATGACATAAGACCAGAATGAGAGGAAGGCTGAGAACATAAAGTTGTCCACAGGGGGGTCCCAGGGCAAGTAGCTCTGAAACAAAGACCCGACTTCTCTCTCCCAAATCGCATTGCCCACAGCCAGGATCACACCCATACAAACCAGGAAGCCAAAGATCTGACAGAGATGCCCAGACAGAAGTAAGTCAAGTTAGGTCGGGATAGGGAAGGTAAATATTTAAACAGAAATCTCTAAGTTGAATCTGTGTTCTTTAGCCCAGATCAGAATAAAGTGCATTTCTAGAGCAGATATATGAAACTGTATTCATGCCACTGAGATAATGTCCTAAAATAGTTCTGAGCCATGAAAGTGAGAGGTTTGAGGTGTCCTACCCAGAGGACCAGAGTGTTCATCAGTCGATCGATGCTTGTACGCTTAAACTTTGTGCAACCACTGTTCTGCATCAGTTTGGTATCTGGGCCTGGAGCAGAAAGAGAATAATGCTGATTTGTTACACGCCTTACATATGATGTTTCACATGCAAATACACACACACTCACCTGCAAAGATGACCAGGCCGTAGCAGGCCTCAGTGTTGCGCAGGACACATCCCCGGAGTAGCATGTTCTGGTTGGTCAGGGTGTATTTCTTGTCTCTCCAGTATAGAGTCCCACAAAAACGATCCAGCTTGTTGTTGGGGGGCTCACACACCACCTCACCTTCACATAAACAAGAGAGGGATCCAAAAGATAAGATTGTTCACACAAAAACAAAAAGGGGGCTGTCTTTAGATAGCCAAATGCAATAAGGGTGATGCATTTATTTCTCTGGTCGAAAGATCTAGAGTTTAGATAAAACAAACACTGCAGGGGAAGACAGACACACCTTTTGTAACACAATATGAGGCAAAGTGTGACCCGATGTGCTACAGTAATGCATTTTTCTGAGCAGGTGAGCATTGAGTAGGAGTGTTTGGCTGACTCAGAGCTCTTTCGCTGGTGGGCGGGTGACAATCGGCTGCCATTCAGCGGTGAAAGAACTGTGCTGAAAGTGTGTGCGAAAGTTTTGCATGTAGCTTCCATTATTCATGAGCAGTCGTGTGTGGGAAGAAAACATCTACATCACGAACAGAAAAGCATTCAAAGACAGAGAGTTTGTCTAACCGTTGAATGAAGCCAGGTTGTTTGGGTCCCCGAGCTCGGCTGTCACTGAGACAGACTGACGCACCTTCATATTGGTCTCCCTGCAAGAGAGCACAACATGTACGTCAGCCGTGGTGCAGCGTACTGGGGAGCTGGGAGCCGTAGCTGGGGGGGGGGGGGTAGAGTGTTTTCTGACCCGTCGAGCTCGGCCGTCTCAATGTAACACAGCCCGTGAGGTTCACTGCTCGACAACAGGAGCAGGTCAGCCTGAAAACAGATAGCTGAGGTTAGCATCGGCCGCCTGGCGCACACAGCACAGCAGCAGAACGATCAAAGCAGTCATGGCACAGAAAGGATAGCTTGCATCTTTTGCTGCTGTGAAATAAAAGACAAACTAATCACATCTGGAGGCAAGTTAATGAATAGTTTTTCAGCATCCTCCAGCAAAGCAGATGTTGCAGTGAAACCCATTTAGCGATAAAGCTCTTAGCACTCTATTAAGTATTAAACGCTTCCATGATAAAAAAAAGAAATCTGGGCCCAGCCAGACTAATGGCCACTTGGCGTGTTTGAGTAGGTGATGCACTGTGGTTGATTTGTTAATGCAAATTGGGCACTTACTGCCACAAACTGGTTGTTTTCCAGTTTGATGATGTCACCCACTCGAACGTGCATCCACTTTTCATTCTGCAGCCTGGAAGAGCAATCGCAAATAACAATAACAACAATTAAACTCAGGCTCAATAAGCTTTGCAAACGTCAAATTTGGACCATAGATTCGAGAAAGAGCAACACAAGTAGGTTTACACTCGAAATGACTCACGAGCCTCGGATGAGGACCTGAGACTGACGGTTGTTTACTTGGTTGTCGCTCTTGTGGCGAAACTGTGGTAGACAAAGATAAGATATACTGTAAAAAATCCTGTGATGGAAATGTTGTGTGGGCTGTAGTTTACTGGGGCAACACGCAGAACTAGGGTCCTACAGATATAATGAGGAGTGAAATATAAAATGATTGCTCACGTAGTCATCGGTGGCATCCTTTACTGCGGTGATGCTCAGCACCAGAGCCAAAGGCACGATGGTAGTGAACCAGGAGAGGGAAGAGATCTGAGGTATCAGCTGAAAGCCAGGCAGACAAGATGTTAATTAGCAGATTACTCTGAATGAGGAGACAAAGGGTGCTCTGTTGGTTTATAAAGAATCTGCTCTGCTTGCACTTGGAATCAGAGAGATGCTGAACCCTATAACATCGGACGTGAATCGATTCCTGCCTGGTAAAGACAATTGGCATGATGTTTGAATCAAACAAGAGACTGTCATGTAGTTCCAACATTTGCTCAATGTCTACCATGTACAAAAGTAGCACACAAAGCATCCTGTGTTATAAATTCAGCCTGTGTGAGTGCCCTGAATGTGCACTTTATAAGTTACTAGCCAAATTAAGACAATTCATGTGGTTGAAAAACCTGTGAGGACAAATAATCCTTTGCCTGAGGTTTAAAACTCCTGCAAGTGATTTTGTCTGGCTTTACTTACTTGCGAAAAGCATAAGCAGTAGTATGCTTATGAGATGTAGTAATTACTATTTTCAACACGTCAACCATTTATTCTCCAATATTTTCATAGTATTAAATATACATGCAACTGAGTTTAGGAGTTTTGATTTTTTTTTCTTAGCAAATTAAATCACTATATACATTTAAATTCTGGTGCCTCGAAAGAGGAATTGAGAGGATCAGAAAAGCTGAGAGGATTTATGCTCTGAGAGACCAAGGTGTGAATAACCAGCTTTCACGACTGACTTGTGAAAGCTGTTTATTTGAAATGATTAGACTACAAAAACACATCTAAACACTGATGGTGCTATCTATATCTAAAGCTGTAATGAAACACTCATTAATCATTCCACGATTCCTCTTAAAACTGATAACTCAAAGAGTGTACTTCAACTTGCCTTTTGCTTTTTTAGACAAATATAATAATTTGCTCAATCACTGTAACATTTCCAATCTGTAAGCAATACAAAAGTTCAGATCCGCATCCTTTAGTGTATTTCAAATGAATATACATAAAAATAAATAGCTATATACTTCCTGATTCCACCTGCTCTACGCGGTTGGACATTATTATAGATGCTTGAACAAAAAATGAGGAAAGCTACCTCACCTAATTAGCAAACTCAATAGATGATATACTGAGTAGTTTGGCATAATAAGCCTTCTGGTATTTTACGCTGAAACAAAGATATCGTTGCAGTTTTCACAGACCCACCTGCAGTATGAGCAAGAAAAGAAAGTAGGTATTGGCTACTTCCTGGAACTGCTCAAACAGGTTTACAGGCAGAAAGGTGATGATGTTGTATTTTGATGTCATGATGCAGTTACTCTGGAGAAAGAGAAAAAAACAGAACTAAGAAGCTGATCGAAATTTTACTCTCCCTATTTTTAAATACATACAGGCCAAAAATGTTGAAACTCTTACCGCATACTGAAACTTTTCATTGTATTCTCTGTCATTGGCTCTGACCTTTCTCTCCTCCTCTGCAGAAACACAAGGGGCAAGGTGGGTCAGTCCAGATGATCTGGCTTTAAAACAATCAACCTGCTGTATTCATGTCATATACAGTATGTTTGAGCGTGTCTCTGCAGGCTGTCTCCAGACATACACGCAGGAACAAACATGCAACATGCAATCAAAGACCTGTATGGGTTCATCAGATACCTAAGAGAGGCAGTGTTCAAAACAAATTAGATAATAATTTAGTTTTAAATTGAATGACATAAAAACTTCAAGTCAGATTTCTCCGCCATGCACTATTCCTCTAGCCCCCTGACCCCACGCTTTGTCTGTTGCAGTTTTTTAGCTTTGCTCTCATGCAGATGCACACATGGTTTGGAGTTCTGCTTTACTCTGAAAATCAGACTGGCATCTTCTGACAGAGGTGACTACTCTGTACATGAAATTGCTGGTATGTTTTGGGCTGTAGACAGTCTAAACCCATGCACAGAAACAGGAAATATCAGACACGGTCCCTGTGAAACAACCAAATCCTGAGCAGGCTTCTGAGTGAAAAGTGAGAGACGACAAGGTGAAACAGGAAGGGACATCGCACAGCAGAAGCCATTACCCCCACAGTCAGATGTTAACTCATAAACAAAGACACTACACTGTGGTTTCCTGTGTTTCTGCAGCACTGTGAAGCCCTCTCACCATAACCTAAATCTTCGTCCCTTCTGCGCTCGGCTTCACCAAACAAACTCAGGCCATTTTAAAGAGATCCTGTTCGAGTTCTGCTTTGTTCATTGGGGTGGGAACCTATCCCAGCTGACTGTTTTTGGGCCACAACACAAATTTGACATGGGGGTTGAGACCTGAAGACCAATTTTACTGTTGTAACAGAGTATTTGATCTATTTGGAAATACATTCCCACCCTCCACCTTGAATTTAGTATTATAGCCAGAATGTGTAGCATAATGTCAAAAGGTTGCATTTCTCAATGTCGAATCATACAAATACCAACAACAGACTGAATGGTTTCTGAAAGAAGTAAAAATGCTCTAGCTTTAAATATTCTGCCTCTTGAATATAACTGTCACAGCTGGGCAGGATGTGGCTTAGTAGGACGATTCAATATGAGAAATAACAGTAAGTCCATTCTTTAAAGGGTCAACGGGCCTATTGTTAGATCTGCTGCACACCAATAATTGATTTTCACAGATCAGATGTTAATACATTTAACGAATTAGATCAAGTCTGAGTTGATTCTTTTTGTCTAAAACCCTGACCAATGCAGAATATTGAACTGTTTGCTACTGAACAGGTGTTTGTGTTTGAAAGTCTTCTCATCTAGAAAATCCTCCCTTGCTTGTGTTTCTTTAATAAAAAGGTCATCCTGTTGAGAGATCTGTCTGATGTGCTGAGTTTAGGCTGTGAAGAGATGGCATGATGTCTGAGCCAGGTAAGCACTAAGGCTTCCAAGGGTCTGACGTCAGGACGGGGGCCCTGTCTGTCCAAGCCGCTGACCAACTCTTTAGCAAACTGCTCAGTAAGTGTTCACATCTCTGATAACTTCAAGGGCATCAGAAGCCCTGACGCAGGCTTCATGCTACACAGCAACTCTGAGTAAATCTATGAGGCTCCATCACTCCAAAACTTTCAGTCGCACGCCTCCATAAAAACAAGACAGAAAGATGTCATCAAATATCTTTTTTTACTAACATAATAATGAAGCATAACTGCGTTTAATCTGATCTGAGAGGACGCATTCTGTTATTCTCTCTCTCTCCTGTCTCTTTAACGCTCTTCCCCTCATGGCTGGACATGTGAGTGAATAAGCCACTGCTCCAAACTGCTTTGCGGCTCCTTAAGCAACACACAGCCTCGCAACAGAGACTAATACAGGGGAAAATGTCATAATGGCAATGATCACAGCTCAGTCTGAGTCTGAGTTATGGGAAACATCAGTGTCATTGCCATGGCTGGACCGAAGTCAGAATCACATCAGCCTCTGCGGAGAAGTGATCGTTGCTCACTGTGGCTGATCTAATTTGAAGAACAGAATCGTCTGCGGCTGTGCACGTGCACGCTCCAAAGTGTGCGCTCTCATACGGTGATCTAATTTTTCGGAAAACAATGCCAGCGACACAGTGGCGGACTAATGGCACGGAGGTCAAATGAAGGTGCACATCCAGCCTGAGTTGTGATAGCTAGGTTAAGGAATAAGGATCCAGACAAAGTGGAGGTTGGCGCCTGGAGGATTGATCAGTGTCTCAGCAACAGAGACAAGGAGGTCAACCGCTGATTTACACAAAATTCTGTTTTAGAGCCAACTTGTGTTTGCCTACAGATGTGCGCATTCACCTCAAGTATACACAGGCAGTCATTCACATGCAAATATCCACATTTGGGCAATTCCTTGGAGCCAGGCTTGACAGAATAACTCCTTTTATGGGGGCATTAAACACGACATCAAAATGCTGCTTGGAGGCATGAGGCTCAGATTTTACAGTAAAAGTAAAGCATGATGAGGAATGGCTGTTTATATGTCACTAACACTAAATCTTGACCAGTGATAAGGTTTGACACGGTGAATTTGAGGACTAGTTGTTGACAGAACTAGTTGAAACACAATAACCTGTTCTGCAGACGTGAGATGGTATGATATGCAGTGCAGACACACAAAAAATGCACAATATGGGGCGACTGACATGAAGAAAATGGAATGAAACTTGGACTCAGTTGGGATGGAGAACAAAGATCATGTTTATTTGACTATGACGATAAAAACCTTTCTGTGAATGGTGAAAGTAGCTCCAGGCGATCACACGAAGTCATACCTGTCCGTGCCTTTTTCGACTTTCCATCTAATCCTTTCTTTTTCTTTCTGTGCAAGGGAAGGACGATTGGAAACCATTTGTCCGGGATTTCATTCAGCACTGTCATGGTAAATCGTTGGATGAGCGCTGTTTCAGAGACGCGATCGGCCCATCTCGCGACCACCTCTCTGCAGAGACGCGACAGAAGCTTCCTTCCGTCCCAAGTTACTTCAGTTAACTTGGATTAATAAGACCATCCCATCCTGCCCCTCTGCTGCCTCCCCTGCATGCACGTGCACGCTTGCTGCGTGACTTGCTCCGGTATCTCCCCTTCCGTCTGCAGGACTGCTGAGGTCACTTTGCCGTTATAAAAATATCATTGAGCAATTTAGCGGCAAATCTTTCGACAGTCCTAGACTGAGACTGCCCCAGATTAGCTTTAATGTTGGCTGATTCATAATTCCTCTTCTGCTAAAATTGTTGCAAACGCAGTGATTGATTCGATTATGCAAATCAGCGCAGTGTCACAAAATATGCAGCCTCAAAAACAAAAAAATCAATTGAGGCTGTCTCATCCACAACATAAACACTATCCAATGTGGGCATTACGTAACCACATCGGCCACGTTGGCGTTACTATGGACACCACATCTGCAGGGACTCCGTATCAGAATAAGGAAACTGAGCGCCATTTTGGGTCTTACGCCATGGAAAGGAATACGGACAAACTCTGAGGTTCTGAGCCGAAATGTCCTGTGCAGTGGCTCAGTTTCCAGCGTGTTTAATGGAAGAAAGTGCACCGCAGTGGGAGGGGCAAGACAAGACAGGCTCCTAAGCACGTGCTGAGATCCAAGCCTCGTGCCACACACGCATCTCTTTGGCACTCTGTAGAGCTGACAGGCTCAATACTCACAAAATACTAAATAAAAGCTAACTCAAGGTTCCTCTGGGGGGGAATCTATGAAACCCACCACCCTAAGCTGTTTCTTCTTCAGAATGTCACAAAGAGATTACATATTTACGTAAACACAATTGTGTCAAATACTAATAACTGGCAAATCTATTTTTAAGATTCAAGCAAACTGTGGTATAAGGATGCTTTATTGCCTTACACCATTGCAAGTGATTTCTGAGACATTCTACCTTGACTTTTATAAAATTACTACCAATGGCCCGATTTTTGTTCTATCCTGATCCATGTCCTGACTGAGATCTTTTTCACGTGAACTTTACACCTGATTAAGATTAGACTACCTTGCTTTTACACTGTGAACATCCAAAGAAATGTAAGACACTTGGACTTTTTTCTTCTTCTTCTAAGCGGTTATTATATTATGGATTCAAACATTTGGGAACCATGAGGAATTGTCAGATAAAGCAGCTTTATAAGATCTGAGAGTATTTAAACATTGTTCCAACAGCGTTTAGTTGACTGAGGCCGAGGAGCCTCTGGGGGAACCAAACAAGCTGCACGCTTCCGTTGTGCAGTGTCACAGGTGCAGGCACGATTGTCTTTCAGCGCTGACATTTCTTTCGATTCGATTTGTGATTTTACCTGTTGAATTTTTTCTATCTTCTGGTGTTCACATTCTTCAGAGATTCATGATATAACATTTTTGAACAGTCCCATAAAAGCCCCCCATTCAAGCAAACATTTTTTGTAGAGGGCTTCCTGTATTTCGTTTTTATAAGTGAACACCACACACAGTTGTACTTTGGGTTCTGAATAGGTTTTGATACATGACTATATGTAAACTTTTGGTTTGGCATGCTGCTAATACACACTTAGAAAATCTGTATTATTTCCAAATCTATTCAACGTGCTTGTATTTTTACTCATACTCGTGCTTATGTGGCTGCTATCTGCACCATAATATTTAACAAATGATTAAAGGTGATGATCTGAAGGACCTTATGAGCCTTATCTTCCAGAAGCCTTATCTTCCACCATCATAAAGCTGCCTGGAGTTTAAATGCACAGATAGTAAATGTTTTCAAAAGGCTGACCTGGAGGAGGTCTCTTTCTGAACATCTCCACTCTGCAGGTGTCCTTCTGCGATGGCCCATGAGACTGTCTGCTGGGGGATAGAGGAAGAGGAAAAGGAGACATAACCTACATTGTCTTATAGAACAACTTTGTGGAGAAAACAGCAGAAAGCAAACGGTCTAATCCACCCAGAAGACGAAGAGGCTGGAGATAGAATCAGAAAAGACTGCTTTTTTGGGGGGGTTGTAAAGTAAAACTCAGATAGGTTTGAAACGCTGTGCAACAACATAAAAAAGAGCAGTTATGGTCTGTTAGAGCCATAATGAGGAAATGACATTCAGCAGAGCTCTGTGTCTGTGGTACAATGTGTCTGGGGACTAAAGGCTTTTGCCAGATCCACTGTCAGTCTCCTCCAACAGTGGATGAGAGAGAGAGTAATGGAGCAGCTGCACAGCACAGCAAAACATCTACTCTCCTATCCTCTTCTCTTCCACATTTATGCTGACCTGCTATAATTATAAACTTGACTGCTGTTATTCGCTGTGTTCTCTCTCAGCTAAATACAAAAGCTGAGAGGCAGAGGATGATCTCTGGGCTTTAGGAGTGCATACTACCAGACGCACACAATGTGGCAGACAGGAGCTGAAGGCAGCCAGCATTCGATCAATACTCTTGAAAAAGAGAGGCTCTGCCTTTCTCCATGTGAGTTGGACCGATCGGCTTTCAGCTACTGTTTCCAGCATCATCTTTTACCCTGTCACAGACCCCTTTGTATTTGCACATCTTCAGCTTACCTAACAGACTATACCGCTGACAGCAGAATGCAAAGGTTTGAGTTAGAATCTCTGCAAACGTGAAAAGTTAATCGAAATTGAACCAATCGACAGTATGAATAATACTGATGTTTTCTTTTACACACTTCAAGCAGAAAAAAGAGCACCTTCAAAACACACTTAGTCAAACTCGCCTAGTGCATAAAAAAAGCTAATGAAGAGTTTCAGGATGAAAAAGTAGAAGTAAAATAATTAATGATGAAATATGGGGCCCTTTTTGGAATTAAGAAGTTTAGGAAATTCCTTGAGAACAAATGTTTCTAAAAAGCTGAGGAGTGAAAAGCTGATGGCTTCTACCCTCCACAACCTGTTAGCTAAAGGGGAAAAGAGCTAGAGACCTGTGATGATTTCAGCATCTATTACTCTCTTAGGTTTGCATGGTACTTTGGACCAGGATGCCCATCATTCAACATGCCACTGCAATTGATCTCGTAATAGATATTGGACATTGACAATGAGCGCCGTTTTCCATGTTCTCTCACCTCTTCCCTCTCTCTAGGTCTCCATCTGGTGCTGGAATCTTCTACAAACACACAGTCCCACAGCATCCTGATCTAAAGATGGCAGTCCAGCAGCGACCAGAGGATTAACGCTGCACATGTCATGGCTTTTGGGCAGAATTCCTTTCATCTATTTTTGAGGGTTTAGAGTGGCAGAAACCTTGGATGAAATGTGTGACACCACCATCTCAAACATCACTATGACGTCCACTGAGCTGAACTTAAAACTCATCTTGAGAAAATTTCTGGTTGGTGACCCGTTTTAGAATATTACTAGTTTCTTTCAAAACCAAATGCTTTAAAGATAAGACATTCCTTTTTTGGTCCCACAAGCAGAAATGTATGCAAGATGAAATCGTAGAATTTCCTGCCCCAAATTAAGTTCTCACCATAAAAAATATTTAATATATAATTTTTAGGTATAGTCTTTGTCTTTGTGATGTAAACATTTCATAAATGTGTTAATCACTCTTTAATATATGTATTTTCTTGAATATATATATATCTGCCATATGTCTTTAATACATTTTTACATCTACGTGTCACCCTTTTCGAGTAATAAAAACGACACTAAACCTATTTTCACAGAGAGGCAAAGAAAACCAAAATAAAACATTAGGATGTTAGAAACTAAAAAAGAAAACTGTAGATGTCGAGTGACAGACCTGCAGTGAGAGAGGACACATATGTCTTCAGCAGAAATGAAACGGTCGTCCTTCCTGTGCCTGGCAGGGCATGTACTGTGTTAGAGTAGTATGTCATGGTCCCCTCTAAACATTTACCATTCCTTCTGACATTTTTCTACTGATAAGGGGAAAAAAACATCCCACTGGGGATCTTTTTGCTAGGAGCTACAAATTCAGCACTTTCATTGGGATTTAAAGAATTACCCTGACAAGTGGAAAGATGTGTGTTTTTGTGCTATGGTTTTATTTAAGTTTCTAACCTTTTATACAGTATCCTATGACTATACTGGTAATATCAGCAAAGAATAGCAAAGTGATAACAGTGCTGTGGGTCACTTGTAACATTCGTAAAGAAGCACAGGACAACATCTGTATCCCCAACAAAAACAGATGCAGTGCTGTGTGATCCTATAACAGCAAACAGGGAGCCTTTGGTTTTGTTTTATTGATATTAATAACTTCCTGTGTCTAGTGAATTGGATGGAGTGTGTTGTGGAATATCAATAAAGTGTAATGTAGTTTGGTCCATATCTGCATGATAGGAAGGTCTCTTGGCTATTAAAACAAAAACAAAAACAAACAAACCAAAAAACGACACGGATCTTCTGAAGCAGCAGCAGACTAATTCAAACTAAATTAGAACATTACTGGACCCGCTCTGAAGCCAGCCTGTTTTTCTAAAGTAAGAATTGAATTACACGCCACAAAGAGCCTGGCTCTGCGTAAACACCCAGACGAATAGATGGCTCTGCTCTCTAACGGGACAAACTTTCACTTTGATTTCAGGAAATATTTGGATTCACATAAAGACCCACAGTGCCTTTCTACATAGAAATCCCCTGAAATCAACCATTTTCCTCCTCAGGTTAAGGTCCACTGGCACTGGTGCAGTAACCAAATGTTTGCGCTTTACGCAGGAATCCGGCACAGGTCGGGATTTCCAGCTGATGAACAACAAACTCGACAATCCACATAAACTCAGAAGCAAAGCATCGACAACAATGTCTCACAGAGTGCATCCTACCTTTTGAATTTGGAGTTAGAAATGTGTTTGTGGAGGGACCGCTGCTGAGGCGGAGGTCATGGTGAGGAGCAGGCTTCAGCCGAAGATGACGCGATGATAAAAGGCCACTGAGGTGTGAGGGGGAATCTAACACCGGGGATGCTCTACAAGCATGCCGCGCGCCGATGTGAGGGAGGGTTTGGCTTCGATCGGGGAGGGGGGGGAGAAGGAAAAGGAGGGTTGCACCCATTTCACCTTCTCTACCTCCATCTGAACTTCCTGCTCCCAGGACGCACGTTTGCTGTGGATGTGACACGTTCCCACAGCTCAGAGTTGTGTAGTTGTGTTCTTATATATCAGGTGTGCAACTTTCTATTGTATGTTATTAATTATATTGCAATGAATGTAATGTAAATGTATGAACAGTTGAATAAGTATTTCTTTATTTGATGTATCCTTTCTGTAAATGTGTGAAACACATCACGCTGTTCGTCCCACCTTGGCTTCTTTCATACTGCCCCCTGTTGTCGACTGTATCTCCTGTGACATCACCCCCCAATATCTCACTCATCCCCTGGCTGGATGCAATATGTTAAAAACATAATTGAATCCACGACAAAATGTAACATAAACGTTTGCACAATTGTAACCAGTGTACATGTCTGTATATGGAATGGACATTTGGATGTAAACAGTAGGTTTTAGCTGAGTTCATGTGTTTAATTAATATCTATGAGCATTTTATTGTATGCTTACAATTGATAAATAAACTGTATTGTTGCATTTTAAAAAGACCATTTAAAAATGAATATAAAACAGAGAAAATAATAAAAACAAAAACACATTCATTATCAAAGGTATTTGGAGTAATACATTTAAAACTAGGACTAAGCCATCCATCCATTATTGATACTTATTCCCAGAAGCAGCTAGTGGACTATCCCAGCCCTGGGACCGGTCTACAAGACACCACAGGACTGGGTGTTAGAAACCAGGAACCCTCTCTCTGTGAGGTGCCAGTGGTAACCAGCACATCACCAGGCCCAAGTCACATACAAGACAGTCGTTTTTAGGGAAACTTGAACACATAACTCCAACGAAATATCACCAATGGCAACATAAACAACCATGTGGTTCTGTTGTGGTGCCGGTGCACAGAATCCACAGACAACTGGTGGTCATCCCTGAATGTGTGTTCACAACTAGATTAGATAAAAACTTTTATCCAAAAGTTGCACCAAATAACCAGACTGCTGCTTTTGTTTGTATGTGCTGGTCATCACGACAGGCAGCCATCTTTTCTTTTCAGACAGAAGTTTATAAATGTGCAGTCTTTAACTTGTCCTCTTTTTCCCATGAGGTCTCTTGCTGTTTGAGTTTGTCACTGATGGTGAAGAGCACTTGGGGGTTGTCGGTGGGCTCTGGGTCCGGTAGATGCCACTCGATGAAGCCCACATACAAGAAAGAACCTATCACTCCTCCAACAAGCGGTGCCACAATTGGCACCCAAAACCAGTAATCGTAACACCTGAAGACAAAACACACAGATTAACACACAAAATGAATTGTTTTTCAAAGAATGCATTCCTTTTGTCATCATTTTCATTCCTGATCATATTGAAAATCAAGCTGAGTATAATAAAAACATCTCTTAAACTGCATGTAAAAACTATAGAACGTTTTTTTTTTTTAAATGTTGCTACTGTTTCTTCTGCCAAAAATATTTAAGTAAGAACATTGCACTCTTACACCACACATATATTCACATATTTCGATACATTTTTAATTTAAGCATTGTTATTCAATTCGACCCTGTAAATCCACCTACACATGGATATAATAAACATCCCTGGGTTAATATTCTTCAGTCCCAGATTGTGTACAAATCTATAAATGCTGCATTGAAGAGACAAAATCTTGTAAAATGAATATTTGCTGAAAGGCAGGCACAGAATATGGATCATTTTATGGAAGAGACAGCAAATATTTATCTGGATTTCAGTGACAATCTGAAACAGATAAGGCAGACATGCGTACACGTTTAGAGGGAACATGTGAAGTAAGTGAGCTATGTCCCATTAAAAAATCCTCTAACAAAATTTCGTCAGTAATATCTATTGTTGTCTGTTTTGCATGTGCACCGTAAATGTAAGAACTCACGTGAAAACCTCACTTCCCCAGCCAGCTGTAAATGTGAAGAGACGGGGCCCGAGGTCGCGCGCAGGATTTATGGCGGCGCCGCAGTTAGCTGACATGGACACTGAGATCCCAAGGACGACAGCTGCGACTATAGCAGGAACCAGCTCAGAGGGAGCAGGGGTGTTCCTCTTTTCGTCCAAACCCAGGATGCACAGCATCAGCATGCCCGTACCCACTACCTGAAAGAATGCAGAATTATTCATTCAGTCAAAGTTTTAATGATGGTAAATCTGCCAAAGTCCGTATGTAATGCAAAGTAATCATCACGCTCACTTGATCGAGGAAACTTCTGCCCAAAGTGAGGTATTCTGTGGGATATGTGGCAAATATAGAAGCTGTCTCATTTTGACCAAACACAGTCAACTCTCCGCCACTGTAATCCATTATGGCATCTGCAACAGGAACAGATAGGATCGGACAGACAATCAAAACAAGCTTCATGATAAAATGTGTGGTAGAGATCAGTATTTACACATCTGAAATTGTGTATATTAGAAAACAACTGCACATTAAATAGTTCTGATCTCATAATTCCATATTTTGTGTCCAACCTCAAGACAAAATAAACTAGACTAAATAAAGCTTGAATGATAAAGTAATAAATCCAAATGTAAAACAAACAGTACATTGACACAATGTTAGCACCTTCCATTTGCAAAGTCGGGGCCAACTTTTAATCCTCTGAACTTCTCTTGTTACCATGGGCTTCTTGCCTGTTCCTGCCAGTGTCCCACTGACACATTTTCTCTTAAAATCTGTCAGGAATTCGAACAGGAATTCACAGATTTCCCCTCTCAGATTTCACAGCTTTCACCTCTCTCTCTTTCCCCCTCCAGATAGTCCTGTGGGCTGCTGGATGCATGCTCCTACTCCTACTGCTAAACCCCTAAGACCTCCAACAGCCCACACACAGACGTGTGTGCCCACCCACCCAAGACATAGTAGTTTGAGATGGATATCATGAGGTGGCAAATATATGCTGGCTGTTAGTCTTGTTTTATGCAGGGAAGCATCCATTTCATTTTAATTTCACGGTGATGCATGAATATCAAACTGTGCAAGCATTTTTGAAACTGTAATCACAAGCTTCCCTTATCAGTCAAGCTCAGAGGAAAAGTACAACTGGATGAAATGACTGTGTTTGCCGAGTTTTCATTGTGGTCAGAAAGTCATTGTACAGGAACAGGTGGCAGTAGAATGCCGTCACATGGTGACAATACAGGTGAAGAGAAAATAAATGGGAATCAAAAGGGAAAGAGAGAGGATTTTTGAATCAGCATTACCAAACCACTGTGGTTCAATAAAGCTGATATTGGTTCTGCCATGGTATAACAAATAAGAAGAAATCTAAGGGATTTTTATCCAACCTATTGATGAATATAATGGAACACCAACCGTAGTAGACAAGATAGACCACTGCTGATGCCAGGTATGCCCCCAGTATCTGCATGATGCAGTAAGGCAGCAAATTCCCCCACCTCACCTTCCCCAGAACACAGAAGCTCAGAGTCACAGCTGGGTTCAGATGGGCACCTATGCAAAGATTATGAAGGGAGGACAAGTCACTGCAGTTAAAAGCAAATAGAACACAAGACTGGGGTGTCAGATTATCTCCATGACATAGTACACAATCTCCATGACATACACAACCTGACATGGATCACTTTGAAACGCTGCGGCACTTTGTCATGAAGTACCAAGAATTTCTGTCTTGTCAGTTAACTGATAAGACACAGTTAATAACTGCAGTAAAATTCATAACCCTTCTCCTAATGCCAGCTTATCCTTTTGGCCAAGACAGTGACATGGTTTTGACTCAAAATGTCCCAAAAAAGACATTTTGTAAATGATTATATTAAAGTTTTTATCAAACTCTTTACCAGAGATTCCTTTGGTGAGGTACATAGCTGACATCACTCCCACAGAAAAGGCCAAGTTGGTGGACAGAAACTGGCCTTTGGTTTCTCTGCTGGTCTTGACCTGCGCGGCAGCGGAGCAGCCAAAGAGCTTCATGGCAGTCAGGTGGGACGAGTGGTAAGAAAGTGGTGACAGGTTCGAAGATCTCATTAACTTCTGATACATACTTTTTGTGGCAAAAAATAAGCTCGTAATAAATGTCACACTTGGCAAAAAATAATATTGCACAGTTTGCAATTCCTTTGCCTTTTTCTTCACAATAATTCTATTAACATAGGTCAAACAAAGAACACAATCATGTTTGTACTTCTTAGAATGAATTAATCATATCCCCTCATAAACTTAGACTTTGTAATGAAAATACCTATCTTATCGGTGTGACCATAAACAAAGCACAGAACTAATCTCTGTAGAAAGGAAAGAGTTAAGCTAATGATGTGAAAAAAGGGAAAGGGATTCAGTAAAAATAGGAATCGCATCAAATCCAGAATAAACTAAGACACTGACATCCTCTTTAGTAGTTTTTAACAACTATTTCCCATATTTGTTTTACCTCTCCACTTGCATATAAAATAGCAACTCTGTGTGTTTAAATTTCACTTCATCTTTAAAAGAACATATTAAATCAAGTAAAAACAAAAATCAAAGCGTGACTTACCAGCAAGACGAAAGTTCCCAAGAGCTCGGCCATGCATTCTCGTATCAGGGGGTTCCTCACTTTTGGTACACGTACCTTCAACATGTCTTAAGTTAAATCAAGTCGCTCTTCTCATCAAACACAGGACTTGAACACACACACACTGATGTGAAGGCAGTGGCTGTCGTCTGAGAAAAAAAATGCTTCTGTCCACCGGGGCATCCACAGTGGTCCTCTATATACTCAACTCAAATACTGTGGCGTAACACAGGATTGGCCAATGCAGACAGTATGCTCGCTCATGGCTATTGGAAGCTGCCTATTTGAACAGAGGCAATAAATAACCACATAATGAGGTGACAGCTGTAACAAGGGGCAATAAGCCATGTTTTTTTAAAATAACATGTCAGTTGCCTCCATAAAACAAAATGAGAAACTTTGATGACAGATGAGTACTGAGGCATATGTGTGAGCATTTTTAATGAAATGTTAAATAAATTTGACTTATTAAAAAAATTGTCTTGTTGAAGAAAACTAGTGTTGCACTGTCTATATGGGAAAATGAAACTAATTTTAATAATTTTAAATTAAATCAGAAATAAATGAATAAGGCTGAAATTATTGGAGAGACAGAGGCCTTGGCTTCAATGTACATGTAAGTTTTAGTTGGAAGGGTGGTTTTAAAGACATTAGTTCTTCTCTTAGCCCTACTTAGACACCTGTCCTGAGACCAGGTCCCACACAACCCCATTATTCTTATTAGGGTGTTATTGAGAAAGGCCACAGCTTCGTGTTGCTATGAGAACTGAGCATGCCCCAGGGGAGGAAGAAAATCTCAGAACAAAAACTTACTGTCTCTGGCACAACCGAGTAGCTGAAACAGTTTGTACCAGTCAGACCCTGAACAACAGCTTCCCATCAAACTTCTCTGGTGGCGACTCATCCCTCATCAAGGCTTTAACAGCACATCGATGTAGTTTCTACATGTTTTGGGGCATGGGCACACTGTACTGTTGGCTTTGCATTACAGCTGACTGTAGGACATTTTCATGCCAAGCTGCTTCATTCTGCGGGAAGGTTTTATGCATGTTTGCACTGAAAGCGCCTTGTAGAGTGAGATCATTTTCAACCAGTGTCAGCAAAAATATTCTTCCATTATGTACCCCCTTTATTAGGTTTTGACAAGTTGTTCGTCATTAATCTTTATTATGTTCAATTGCTACTTGTATGACTAAAATAAAACTCCATCAAAGTTGCCCATTGAGCTAATTTAACTGGCTTTACTAATAGATGACAGAGCTGCTTTAAATAACGTCTAATTAAATGCTAAAAAGCCATAAATAATATGTAAAAGTCAGATGAATTGTTATAGCATATTCCTGGGTAAGAAACCCCCGTCATCTCCATGTCCGACCATAACCATCCTGTTGAACTCTGGACTCATGAAGAATTGTGTAACCCAAATAACTGTTGTGTTTAATTTTCAAAGCCATGTCAGCAAAATCAGATAAGATACAGTTAGTTTTTATTTAACTGATACATTATCTCCAATTGTTATTCCACAGTGTAATAGTTTCAAACTCTCTCGCAGTAAAAGTTCAGGCAACACACACTGCGGCCTTTTATTGTACAGTGAATAATACCTATTATCTGCATAAAGCACACAGATCTGTTATGAGGTCACTTTTTAAGATCTATAAGTACTCTTTTTACATGAGGTAGATTCCTGAATGCCAGTTCAATATTTTGTGGCAAAATGTGTTTTGTTACTTGACTGTGTTTTATTTCATAAAAAAGTAGTTTTTCATCCCTAAATCTAAAAACAGATATCAAAATAGAGCAGGTACAGAAAGTATTATTTCAAATTTGACCATCTTTTAAAACTTTTGATCCTCATTGTAATTTTGATTGATGCCTGTAGATAAAGTGCAGAAATAAGAGGCAATCTGGCAATACTAACAGGACGTGGCAGAAAAACTGGGTCAGTCTAACAGTAAACCTTGCTGCCCAACTCTAATTCTACAACTCTAATTGCCAACTGGCTCTAAATCCAGCCCAAACCACTCTCTGAAAGGCTACAGTTGCTTAAGCATCCATTAACAACCAGACGTCTAAGTTTCCGTGGATAAGTCCTGGACCCGTGCTATTGAGGAATGATTGGATCTTGAGTTCCTTCAGGTGTCGTAAGTATGCACCTCCCTGCAGGGCCTTTGTTCCACACATGTTCAGGGATGCCTGAAATGACTGATATTAATGATTATTATATAATTCATTGCTATGGATGTTATCATTTTTCTTAAGTATTAAGTTTCTTTTTTTTTTTTTTTTTACAGTTAGTGGACTTATCTTTGCAATGAAGTAATATCTACCTAATTCAAACTTGTATAGGGATTTTAAAAAAGCTTTTCCACCCAGTGGACTTTTTTCTTGTGCCGATAAACAGCCAGCAAATATAAAAATGATTATTCCACAAGTGTAAGGTTATAGAAAATTTGTCTCTGACTGAAAATACTGGTCCTGAACTTTTTTGGAAGACTATGTTAACAGTTTTTGATTTTCTTTGATTTTTGTTGAAATCACATTGAACCCCATTTGTATGAAGTATTCCATGGGGTTAGTTGGACTTTTGATCAATCCAAACTAGCTACAATGCACTACACAGTTTTTGATCCATTATGCTAACCATCACTAATAGGACATAGGACATAAACCGGAATATCAAAAATAAAGGTGATAAGAAGGGCTGCACTCACAGAAAAAAATGTTTAAAATGACTTAGGAGCAACAACAACCAGGAAGCAAGATGATTAATTCCAAATCACAATGGTTTAGTTTTAAGTGAATTTGTTTACCTTTTTTATGTTTCCACAGTTCTTAGAATAAAATATAACAAGGAATGTAATAGACAAAGATTCTCTGAGTTTTTTATGCTGCTAAGGACGGACCGGAAAACCCGCTGTTTTAATTCAACCTGATCAAACAGCTGCCAAAATGTGTCTCTGAACAATTTAGATAGGGAACACGTCACCAACTCTACTTTTTGGATCTTTCATTACTTCATATTGTAGGAAAGAGTTCTTTCTCCATCTGTCTTCTGGAGAGATATATATGACGCGGCTCTACCTCCCTCTACTGGATGTGGGAACAAATCAAACAAACTTAATCTGTGTCAGTATTTATTAAAAAGCTAAATATCATGTAAAAAAAACTGTTATTCACAGTATATTACAACATACATTTACAGTTACAAGTTACAAGTGCCATATTAAATGCTTTTAACTGCCAAAAATGCATGTTTTAGATGCCGTTGTCTGTGTGAAGCGTACAAGCCACTGGTGAATTTTAGATTTGGCTTACTAAATACCGTCCCAGGTCCTGAGGTAGATGGCATCCTGTGAAAAAGGAGGACGTGGGAAAAAAAACACTTTTGACCTGTCTGTCCTCACAGGAAGTTATTCTCATGTCCTCTCCATTTCTTGGGAGTTTTTTGTCACTGTCAGTAGAGCTCTCTCTAGTCCATTCGGCATTCCCACTTAACATCAAGCTACTCCACAACCTTCACGTCTGCAGATGTTTGATGGGGCGACGTAGTACCACCTCCACAGGCCCGGGCGGAAGATGTTTTATGAAAGTCCAGGCCTCCAGTCGTCTCTTCTGCGTCATGCTTATGCCTTGAATTTCTAGCAACTCATCACCAGGACAAACCTTGTCAACAGGACCGCCTAAATAGAAAAGACAGAAAACCCCAAATTCAACAAATAGGTGTTACGTATTGTAAAAAGTCTCTGAAGACTTTAACTGAATCCTGTTTGAAATAATCTTAAAGTATGTGTATCATTTAAGAATGAATGCCATGGACTGTGTATGCAGTCATGTAAAAATGCAAAGATTTCTATAATGGGCCACAATGACTATCAATAGCTTTTACCGGGTCTAAAAATGAGGCCAAACAACCTCAGATGAAAAGCATATTTACACTGTGATTTTCTAATTGTTAAACTTGAAATGATTAACTATGCATTAAAAAAATAACTTCTGTCAAATCGTGACATGAATAAACAAACTTCAAAACACCATCAGAATGTTGCAAATGAATCTGAGAGCAATGTTTCATTTTCTCAAAAGAACTGAAGGTGTTCACCCTGAAAGATCTTCTGCACAGTGAGAGGTCTGTTTCCCTCGCAGGAGGCCACACCTCCCTGCAGGCTGAAGCCCAGATCTCTGTTTTTCTTCTCCAGCTGAACGCACACACGCTGACCTGTGAGGGGTGGAGATGTGATATCCCACTCTGAGAGGCTGCTCTATGGACCAATGTGTCCTTTTTAGATGTCTCTGTAAAGAATCACCCCTCACCTGTTTCTTGCTGAGTTTGCGTTTGTCCTTCATCATTTTCCTGAACTTCACTCTTTAGGGCTCCTATGACATCCCCCCTCCTCAAAACCACCACTCCCATCTTGCGAGTCTTTGCCCTCCTCAGGACTCTTAGGGCCTCCCAGTGGGCACTCCCACACAGTGCAGTGCCATTAATGGACAAAACTCGGTCTCCTTCCCTCGTGGAACCCTCCTGGGCAGCGACACCTGATGGAAAAACCTTGTGAACCTGAAAGAAAGGCAATGAGAAACAAATACATAAGTCAACTGCGGACGGTTTGATGTCTGTTGTGGCAGAAATGATTCCTCACAGTGATGGGCTTGTTCTGGTCAGCTCCTCCTGCCAGGCTGAAGCCCAGACCCACTCCCTCCTCCTTATGGAGAACCACCACTTGCACATTGCTGTAGTCCTACAAGAGGGACAAATGACATAGAGCGATATGAACTGTATTCATCATTTCATCTCAAAGAACATTTCTTTTTATTTTAAAGGGACATCTGAAAGTTTAGACATTTGAAGAACTTGAACTTTTCATTTCACTGCATTGGGCTCCAGTGAAAATTCACACATTATAAATAAACATAGATACATTTATCATGTATCTATGTGTGATTATCATGTAGTATCTCCATGCATCAATGTACAAATATTCACAGCAGTGTCAAGTCAATGACAGGAAATGAAGAAATTTCTGGACTATTTCTGGATTTCCCGTGCAGCTACAAAACTGGTACTTCATTCCCATCGAAGGGAGTTTTTTTGTGTGCTAAACACAAATCGTGTTTAGACTTTTAGGGACAGAGTGAGTAGTAATGTGCTTGGAGATATATCCTTTTTACTAATGTTTCTGTGTCTATATGCACAAAGAGATAATTGCTTCATCCCTTGCATTAAGTGTTTTTGTATTTGAGAGTCTGGAGATCTATTCATCACAGCTACTTTAAAATAACAAGAAAGTCAGATCAAAGATCACAGCTTAGTATAACATTAAATTAGCTGTATTAATCTTCAACTTTATGGATGCATCTGTCACTCTTATCACATTAACTATCATATTACAATTCATTTACTGTAAGTGAATCATCCTCGTATAAGCTGACTGTGAGCTCACATTTTCTCCCTGAAATAGACCAAAATGATTACGAGTGTCTACAAAAATGACCACAGCAGCGTCAGTAATTCTGTTAAGACCGCATTAATACAAATATCTTCACACATGGTTGGTTCAGTACAGCAGAGCATGTAAAAACGCACAATTTCCACATTTAGCATTTTGTCTTACCTCCAATGCATCATCACCCAGGGTCTTGACGTCCTCCACCAGCCGGTCAAGTTCCTCAGTGGGCAGCAGAGACACACAGGAGAAGCCGGACACATCTGAGCTGAGTGAGACAGAACGCCGACCTGATGGCGGCCATTCGTCAGGGTCGTTGTCCGATTCATAGTCAGCTCCAGTAAAGTTACACAGGTCTGAAAGACTTTAAGGGATACAAAGGGTGTTGTAAGAAAAAACAAACTCTTCAGAGCCTTTTGTGATGACCGTTATCAAACTAGAAAGCTGATTTTCTGAACACGACCCACCTGACACTGTAGCTCCTGCGATCAGACTGACTCATATTGCTGGTAATGGTCACCGAGGACTCCCCGGAATCCGAATCATAGTTTGAATCCTCATCCCTCTGAGTGCTTTCATCATCATCATCCTCGTAATCATATGCATCCATCTTGAAGCTGTCAAACTCTGGAATCAGACCAGCTACCCAAGCCTCTAAGTCTCTAAGTGATTTCTTCCCTTTCTGAGCGTCAAAATTGACATTGTCAGAGAGGCTGCAGAGAGAGGAGGAGACAAGAGGAGGAGGGTCCGGAGCCTCTGTTTTGTCTGCATTGGGGACAAGGGGAGTTGTTTTGTGTCCCGAGATAAGAGTGGTGTTTCCTGGATGTGCGGGTGAAATAAAAGGAGAGTCCTGAGGGCTGTTTGTTGGGGTCTTGTCATCATCACTAGCTGGGGAGTTTCTCTCGTGGCGCTGAGTGGGCTGCAAAGAGGACGGATGTGGGGACGGCACAATGTTAGCCGCCACCTCTCTCCCGCTCAACTCTTTGGGACTTGACCGTTTGGAGAAATCTGTCTCGTCAACATGAATCTTTCTGCTGCATGTTTGAGCTTCTTTGTTTAAAGGGATGTGCAGAGAACTCTTGAGTGTGCGGTATTTCTCAAAATCCTCAGAGAAGTTGTTTTTGTTTGAATCCACTCCTCCTTTCTCTGCCATAACTAATCCCAGTCCAACCTCATCAACAGAAGAAGACCTCTCTTTGCCAAATGTCTTTCCTTTGCCTACCTCCATCTCTTCACCACCTCCCTGTGTCGGCCCCTCCCATTTATGTCTTCGTCCACATATTTCTTTTGCTGACAGGCTCTTCTTCAGGCCATCGTGCTCTCTGGTGAGCTCTCCCGGCACAGAATAGGTGCGTCTGGGTAGGGAAACTTGGCTCCCTGCTCTCTGCGTCAAAGCCTCAAACTGGCTGATCTTATTTCTCACACTGGTTGCAGTGCGGCCCGACAGCTTTTCTGGACATTTCTTATCTTCTCCGTTTTTCTGCGCTATCTTCTGTGGAGATGAATCGAACACGTTTTCATTATTTGAACCGATCTTAAATTCGGTTTGTTGTTTGGCTCTTTCATCCGTCTCTCTCTCCTGTCTTGGAACCCTTTCAGTGCTTTCTCTCAACATTCCTTTCAAAACACCAACATCACCCATTTCCGCTCTCTGGTCAGCCTTAATGTCCTCCTTGCTTCCAGTCACACTTTTTCTGTATCCAAATGAGTCCTTGTGAGTGTCTTCGGGGAAAGTGTTCTGTTTAAAAGATGAAGTTAGCCCTCCAGCTGTCCTGTCAGATCTAATCTGAGCTGCCAAAGTGAACCTACTCCTGGCTCTGTCCAGGGACCTAGTGCCTGATTCTACCATCCCTTTCCCCCAGTCGCCGGCCTCTGTATACCTGCTTTGCAATTGTCGTGCTGGTGGTTCCTCTCCAGATGGGTTTGACCCTGGAGTAAATGCTGCTTCAGAGCCTGCACTGTTTTTGGCAGCCCAGATTTGTGATATTGTGTTTTCCGCTGGACTGCTACAGTTGCCTGATGAGAGTCGCCTGGGGAAGGTTCTTCCTGCTACCTTGTCACTCGCTGACCCATAAAGTTCCTCGATCCGCTCTTTAATACTTCGACCACCACTGGACCCAAATAAGTTCTCTGTGGACTTTGAGGTGGGCAAAGAGTCGGACCTAAACCTGGAAGGCAGAGACCGGCCCCAGTTGCTCCGTTCAAACGTCTGGTTTGTGTGATTCACTGGACTCCTTTCTTGAAAACAACCTTCACCCGCATATCTACGGCCATGTAGAGCAGTAGGGACCCCACCCGTCAAGTCAAACTCAACTCGCGCACTCTTTTCCTCTAAATTTCCAGCATTTTCACTGTGGACAGCACTTCTCTTGAATGACAATGCAGTCATGTCAGCTCTGGTGCTCTGAGTTTGGCTCCTGGCCGCTGAGTTTAAGCTCCTACTTCTACCTGGCAAGTTGCATCTCATCAACTCTGGGATTTCTCCTCCATCCCAAGCAGATCCTGTGATGTTTCTTTCTGCTGTGCCGTTCTGGTTCAGTGTTGTTGGTGGCTGATAGCCTCGTGCATTCCTGTCCTCACTTTGATCTTTGACATAGCTGCTCCTTGTCCGGGCCTGATATCCAGTGACTGGGTCTTCTTCCCTGTATGCGCCATTTGTGCCAACGGGAGTCCCTTGTCTTTCATTTTCTACAACGCTGTCCCCATTCTCCCTTTTCCTTATACCTGATCTGCGAGTGAGACTGTAAGAGGGAGAGTTGGCTGAGCGGACAGTGAAGCGTGTGCCTGTCCTCTGCTTATTGTTCTCACTCGCTGAAGTCGGCAGCGAGGACAAGTCCATCGTCTGAAAGAAAACAAAGTTAATGACCTCCTGTCAAAAGCCAGAACCCAAAAAGAGAGCAGACGAATGAAGTTGATATTTAACCGTCTTTTGGGCTGCCCTCAGGAAGCAGTGCTTAAGAATGCTCACAGTCCTCTTGTTTGATTCTTGCACAGATCCCTCTGTTCAAAATTCAGATAGTCATGATTATCCTTTGCTTTGTGGTGAGGATGTGATGGATCTCCTGGCTCCTCTCCTTGAGTTCTTGTCCCCAGTAGTCTGTAGTTCCTGCTTTTGTTCAAAGAGCAGCTCCCACTGCCTGCCAAGCATAAAAAGCACAAATTTCCATCCTTAGAATGAACCAGGCTGGAATGTTGTGATATGTGGATTGTGGTTTGTCTGGGTACTCAGAATGGTTAAATGGGAACACAGTGCAGAATAAGATGGACATCTGAGCATACCAAAGTTTAGCATCAAGTGGACAGGGAGAAAAAGAGATCTAAAAACTATAACGAAAAAACAAATGAAAATGCTTACTACAAAGCCTGTCAGTTATGTCATTTTGCAACATGTTGCGGCCCTTCTCACATTCCTCCAACTTTGACTCAAAGAACCCATTCACAGATCAACTCTCTGCTTCAAACACATATCTTTATATCTGTTTACACAAGCGAAATACTCAAGACTACCTGTCAGCTAAACCTGGAGGAAAACTGGAAAAACTCACCTGACAGCAATCCACTCAGCAAAAAACAATCCATTTAATCATCACTATGAGCCTCCGTGTGTGCGTCTTAGTTTCATGAAGTCAGACACAATACAACAGCTCAGGGAGAAACCTTGTGTCGGTAAAATCAGGTAAAATGAGCAGAGGAGACAGCCTAAGCTATTTTGATTTCCATACAGTCCGCTGAGAGGAAGATCGCATTACTGATGGACAATGACTTATCTGGGATATCTGACCATGCAGCAGCATAAATCAGGCAGCGCCAGCCAGGGAGACTGTCTTTGACAACGTGTCAATAAAAATGAATTGATCCCTTATTACGTCAAACACTTGAGCTGGCAATTTATTGTACACATATAATAAATTGATTCAAAGTCTAACTTTGTAAAACGTAAACTCTCTGCTGGTGCTTTCCAGTGTAGGTGAGTCTGAGTGTCAGTTTACAGAAACACCTGTTCTACTAGCAAAGGCTCCCATCTGGGTAACCCGGGCAACACTTTAAACTTCCACCGAACAGAAAGAAACAAATGCAGTCACAAGTTAACCCTCTAACCCACTCACACGTTCATAAAACATCCGCCTTACCTTTCAAACGTGTAACTTCTATGTCCTAAGCCATGGTACAGAATGCAGAGAGGGCGCAGTAGTGACATCAGCCCCTGAGTCCTCTCGTCTTTTTCTCTATCCATCAGCTTTGCATGATGGACTGCGTACAGTGACGCAAACCTGCCACACTGGTTTATCCTCCCGCTCTCTCCTTTTCTTCCTCTCTGCCTCTCTTTCGCTCCGTCTTTCTTTCTCCTCCCTCTGCCATTGTTGTTTCCCTCCACTCACAGAGTAGCATTCCTGACTACAGTTCAATGTGTCATCCACCAAACGCCTCGACATGGAACGTAAGCACACACCCCTTGCACACTTATAACTCTTTCAGCCTGCTGTGTGTGACATCAGCATTTTGTGGCTCAAGGGCGAGGAGATACAGCTCAGATGGTTAAATGAAATGATACAAGAATGACTTCTACCAACACAGACTAATAATATCACCCCACCTCAGGCAAACCTGAGTCTAATCATCCGGGCTGAGCAGGTATCAAAATACATAATAACAGAGCACCTTTAATTGGGACCAGAGACAACAAAGGAGCAGGGAGGAATATAGTTTAAAGTGTACTTCTCTGATGTCATATGTTTCACAAAACACTGTCTTTTCTGGACAGGTTTGTTGGGAGGCTTTGGGACAAGTTATTTTTGACAAAGAGAAGAGGAAACAAAGTATCTGAGGTTTCTTGTAAGTTTATCCAGACAAAAGAAACACTGTTTGTGTGAAAAATGGATTCGAGAAACTCGGGGAAAGATTCTGCCTTAGATATGTAGAGTTAGAGGAAATAAAAACAGTACTTACAGTTTTAGGAGACGACCTGAGATGCGTAATCTTGACTGCATGTTATTTGCATGCACCTGCTTCTTCTGTTGCCTTCCGTCAAGACAGAGGAAGCTGTGGTTGCTGCTGCTCTGCATGTGGGATGCCTTACTGTCTGCCTGTGCCCGTTAAACAAAACCCAGTTAGTCATATTGATCCCAGGGCACATTGTCAAATACTGATGGTTCAGTGAATGATTAGCTTTGGAGGCAGAGGGCTGGGAGGTTGCACAGAGCCCATCTGGAGTGAGATAAGCATGTGAGTAGGGGTAAATAGCTGGGGCTTGACTCTGCAGACACCCACCCTTGTTCCTTACAGAAGAATGGCTCTCTGTGTCTCTGCAGATGGATGCAAATAAACCTCTGACTCTCACAGACACACTGGTGCTGTAAATTCATGTTCTTTTGAGACTGTGAGAATTTACGTCATGCATAGTCTGTACGTAATTCAGTAAAACACTGAACTCCGAAGTTAAACAGCAGATATTCAACCATTTCATTTTTCTTAAGAATTTCTATTGTATTAAATCTTTCGTTTTAATACAAAAAAACTTTGCCTGTTTTGTTGCAGTTCGGCGGCAGGTGGCAGGAAAAAGCCGCACGAACCGATGCTGACGTCAGCCCGGGCCGTGCCAGTCACGTGACCAGTACGGAAGTCAACAAAGCAGACAGGAATGCGGCCAACAGGCAAAAACAAGAAGTTTGAAATCTTCTGTGCCGGTTCCAGTGCCGTTTCGTCGTGACCTGAAGGCCGACGCTTAAACTCAACCACATGTCTTTGGAAGGCCGGCCTCAGGACGCGCTGCGGGGCAGGGCTTTTGCCTTTCGACTGTAGGGGACAAAACATTAGATTTAATCAGCTTCAACATGCTGATGTCAGGTTTTCTTAAGAGCGTTAACGTCGTTCTCGTAATGGCTTACGGAAGTCTGGTGAGTATGTTCCGCCTGTTTTTCTAAGGCTTGATCAGAGGGAGACGATTTGAAAGTTTCAGCTGAATATCCACGTGACAACAAATGCATTCAGAGGGTTTTACTCCGGCTCAGGGAGTACACACACCACCTGACGCCAGAAGACAGGCTGGTTTTTTGTGGTCCAGATCAAATCTGACGCTAATAGAGCATTGCACCTGTAATGATAGAAATAGATGCTTTTAGAATGCAGAGTTGATATAACTTTACCACTTACATGAACAAAAGCAGGGGCGACTCCCGGTCAGACCTCCAGGGGGGCTCAGTCCCCCATGAGAGGGGTGGGTGGCCTCCCTAAAAAGCAAACTATTCTTTTCACTGGAGTACGTAAATCTAGTGAATGTATAGTTATATTGTGTGTAACTAATTTTATTCTTCTATTACATTTTAATAAATGTCAACACCAGTTCTCGCTGCTAGTCACCTCAAAAGTTATCCATTAATAGTATTGGACAAAAGTGATGATGATCTAAAGGGATTTCTAAATTCACATTTTGCACATTTGTTTTAAGATGCTCCGTAATGGGTTCAAATGCTCATACCTTTTCTCTTCATAAGCAGCCGATTAAAAAAACAGCTTTATATACGATCATTCGTGAGGTCTGAAGTCCACCCACAGAGGTGGAGTGCCACTGCCCCAGCAAATCAGCTCTGTTTTGGTCTCATGTGGGAGTCCTCTAACAGTTTTCCGCCGATGGTTGAAATGTTGTGGCTCATCTTTGCACATAAAGTGAAATGTAAGTGTCGACTTTCCTTCCAGGTGTTTGTTTTGCTGTTCATCTTTGTCAAGAGACAAATCATGCGGCTTGCCATGAAATCTCGACAAGGTCCACATGTGCCCCTGGGCCACAATGCACCCAAGGTGGGTTCTTGGAAAGTTTTTGACTGTTGTCAAGTTGTAACGTTAGTTGCGTTGTTTTGTGTGTGTCTCTGAGTCTAATGAAGCCTTGTGCATCCACTGCAGGAGCTTAAACAAGAAATTGATGCAAAGCTGTGCCAGGTTCAGAAAATCCACTTTGAGCCTCGTCTCTTGTCTGTTCCTGATGACCGGCTGAACCAGAGAGACCAGTCTGGTTAGAGGAGCTCACTAATACACACACACACACACACACACACACACACACACACTCATAAACTATGTTGTTTTTGCGGCAGCTTAGCGATACCACTGTGTATGTGCCACAGGTTGCTATGACTACCTGTATAGGATGAAAGCGCTGGATGCCATCAGGGACACTGGTAGGACCTTTCTGCCTCATGTCAATCATGGTTTAGGCCACAGCAAATCTTCCCCGCCGTCACATGATCATCATCTCCTCTTCCTGCCATCAGATTTTCCTTTCCGGGAGCTTGGCGGAACGTCCAGTGCTGTGACTGGGAAAAGATTTCGGACCTGGCTCTTACAGCTCCGAAGCTCCCACTGCGTGTTCAGAGACCAGAACTCTGTCATAGACGCAGTGTTAGACGGCTACAATAAAGCCCGTCACGGGGCGGAGGTCAGTTGTATGTGTACAGCAATGACGTCATTCTCTCAGTTGTGATATGATTCCAGTGTAAGTTGTGAGACTAAAATAAGAAGAAAAGTTCGGTTTAATTCCCTAGAAAAAGATGACGCATTGGGTTGTGTTGTGTTGTGGTTTGATTAGAATAACTTTACTTCATCCGATTTTTCCAAACCTGCTTTTTTTTTTTTACATTAATTGCTCACAGATGGGAGGATGCATGCGGTATGTGCCTCCTTGGTCATCAAGGTAGACAGGATGTGTGTGTAGAATACGTTTGGACTGAGCTTAAACTGTCTTAACTGATGTGTCCATTTCTGTCTTTAGGCCTTTGGTGAGGCTGAGTTCTTAAAATACCAGGAAGCTCTCACTGAACTGGCTTCTATGTAAGTAAAAACAATGTTTTCCTTCCGTTGTACTGCTTTTCTTTTGAGCCGATCCCAATTGATTCTGCTGTGGGGAAACCATGTTTCAGCGTGAAGTCCTGCGGCGGCGACAACAGCTCTCTCAGCCACCAATCTGCAGCCAAAGACCTGAGCGGCACGGCGGAGCCCGCGGGCGCTTCCTCCACATCCCCTACCCAAACCACTTACCTCACATCTTCAGTACAGCAGCCCACCAAGAGGCCAAGGAACTTTCTGGAGCTGAAAAACTTCAAAGACAACTACAACACACTGGACGGCACACACTGAATTTAGTTTGATTTTCCTCAAAATCAAAAATCAAGAAAGTAGGGTTGCAAATGATCGGAGCCTGTTTGGACGGTGATGATCAGAGATGTTTCATAGTTGTAGTGGGAGGAAAATAAGAGAAGATGAAAACACTGCCTTCATATCCTAATATGTGCTGCCTGGTTTACATGTCAGACTACTGGTGCAGCGCTCTGCCTCAGTGTAGCTTGTGGTTCTAAACTGTGTTATGACATGAATGAGTTCTATGTTGCCTAAAAACATGACTAAAATGGAGAGTAAGGTTGATTTGACCAAAACAAATTCTCAGCTTTGGGGCTATGCAATGACAAAAAGACAATCAGTATTTATTGCACAAAGTTAAAGCCTATGCAGACGTATTGAAATGAACCAACTGTGTGTTAGAGCTAATGTTTATGTGTTGGTAGCACAAGCTTCTGTTTTGAACCGTTTTAACACTGAAAGAAAAAAGCAGGTTCTGTCAGCCATGTTTTTTTCTTTTTCTTGGATGTGAATTCAACAGCTTGATCTTTCGACGCCTTATGTTACAGAAGCCATACTTGTTTACAGAGACTGTGATGATGAAGTGCACTTTTTTTATTTGATCATTTATATCAGTGCAATTAACAGTGTTTCAGCGCATCAACATATTCTGAATGTGAGGTACGGCCCGTTAATGTCTGAGCAGAGTCTGTTTCTTCCAGTCCTAAGGGTTCGCACAGAGGTGTTTTACTGTTTGTGTATTCTGTGGCGCTTACTGCACGCGTCACCAGAAAACACTGTTACATGAACTTGAGTTAGTGAAAAATGCTTTTATGCACTGTATAATCAGCCCAGCAAACCCAGAGTTTAATAACAGGTGTTCTTATTTTTTATAATTAAAGAATTGTTGGTTCAGAATCATGTTTTATGACTTCTTCACCCCAAACAAATTCATTTTAAACTTCCCATGATTGTTTGTCTGTGGAACTTTTCAGGTGTCTGCAAAATGTTTAATTACGGCTAAAACTATGTAGAGTTTAAAAAGCTTTAAACACAGAAAGTACTTTCAAGTTTAACTTTTGATTCCAGAGCTGAGGCATTAAATGATCGTTCAATGTGAATATTGTCCAGCAGGTGGCGCCACCTTCACTGCAGTAATCAGCACATGTGCATTCAAAAGATTTATTCAGAAAAACACACACGTAGTAGATTAGGATGTACTTCATACAAAAGCTCCTCTATCAGTCAAGAGGCTACTTAACATAAATAAATACAAAGGAGAAAGTTGTTAAAAATCAACACATTCAGTAATGATATTTACACAAAGAAAATGACTGTTCACACAATGACAAGAAAGATGAACTGAGATGCATCCTCATTCCTCTATGCATCCTCACAGTTTGTAAAAGCGCTCTATTGTGAGCAAGGGCTTAAGACTATTATTTCTTTTTCTTTTACAGAAAATCAAAGACCAACATAATTGTGACAGGATATTGTCATTTTGGGCAGGTTTAAATAAAACAAAACACTATACCATTCACACACCAAGTGAACAGAGTCGTAGACGAGTGGCTAATGAGTACAAAGAAACACCACTTAAATAATCTAGTCATTTAGTTTTATGACAGCTCAGTTAGCTACAGTACACAGATGCTACATTACTGTTTATGAACTTCATGACGTCACTTGAACTTATTAGTGAGCAATCAGAACAGGGCACAATAAGCATGACACTTGCAGTCTTACAAGGAAAGCACAAAATGCACATCAGCACGTCTAATGTATCTAAATCCAAGCCGATACGTTGTTTTTTTTATGCGCATGCAGTGTGTGCTGCCAAACAATTCACCGTTTCCTTCATAAATGCGTCGGTGGAACTGTTACAGTCGGCGTGGAGGAAGATTCAGGTCTGATCTGCTGAGTATTCACTGATGTGGTAGCTTGGTGTGCTGCGGTCTGGATTCAGTCTATGCTGCGGCGGCTGGAGCCTCTCACCCCCCTCTCCTTCTCGGGTCACCTCATGACTTGATCTCGATGACTTTGATGAAAGGGAGCGGTTTGTTGGAGGAGTTGGATGGCTTGAGTGGTTTGCTGTTGCAACAAAGGAAGAGAAGTTGGTTGTTTAAAACAGCATGAAGACAGTCAGTTGAAAATTACTCATGGGTTTTTCCCAGAGGATCTAAAAAAAATGCTACATGACATAACTTTTAAAATTTCTGCCACTTAAAAGAATTAAACTAATCGAATTTTTGCAACCCATGCAAAAATAATCAAATAACCGTGCTGGACCTGTTTTTATTTTGCAAAGCTTGCAGGAGAAAAACTTGGATGAAAGTAAAGTAAGATACCTGTAAACAATTTGGGGGTTGCGCTCTGATGAAAGGTAGGAATTTGACCTTTGTCCCCCCAGAAAGTAGTCCATCTGGTCATGCATCTCTCGGTTCTGCACACACAGGAAGGTTTCAGAGGTTATACACACAAAGCCAATCACAGAGGGACAAAAATAATTACAGGAAGAATGCTCATATTGTTCTGGACTCAATGGTTGACGAATGGAAATTCAACTGCTGGCTTTGAGTTTCTGTCCATGTTATCTTTTGAGAGTCTACCTGTGTTACCTGCCAATGCTCCGTGTGTGTGCACTCAGCAGCTAAGTTGTTGCCAAACTACAAAAATAATTCCCCAATTAATTTTTTGACAATCTCTACAACTCAACTTTAACTTTAGTCAATCTCTTTATTGTTTTAATTATCTGTCAATAAGAATGGCATCTCGAAGGATAATCTTTTCCCTTTGAGGATTGATAAAGTTTTTTCAATACCAAAATTATTTAAAATAAATGAATGAGCCATAAACTGACAGGCTCTGGTCCACTTTCATATGCAGACATCAGGCTGAGCTCAACCATTTTTCTTTAATCTTTTCCTTCCCTCTTATCTTTAGTCGCACCTTCCGACTCTTCATCTCAAATTCCTTTGAAATTCCAAACATATTTCCACAGAGTGGTCCTCACCTCGGCCTGCAGAAATGCCACTTTCTCCTCCAGCTCTTTGATCACACGGTCTCGCTCCTGGATCACCATGCGGGAGTTCTGGAGCTGAAGGTGAGCAAACAAACAGTGAGCCAGTCCTGCGCACGTACCGGGCCGAGTGTTTGCGTCATGCGGTTTCACACGTGCTTCTCACCTGCTCGATCATGTGTCGGACCTTCCTCTGTTGGCTTCTCAGCATGTCATCCAGATGGTGGATCTTTTCTTTGAGAATAGCTACCTCCTTCTCCAACTGCTCAGCCCTGAAAATACCCAAACAGGCAGTTGGATTCTCTGATCGCCGGATATTATATGCGTGATGTGGCGTTTTCGTTGGGTTTTTCTTTTTAGGCCTGACCTTTGCTCATCTTTGTTGCCCTCCTCTCTGATCTTTCGCAGCTCCCGCAGTTCATCCTCGCGGTTGCGGATTGCCTCCCTCAGGGTGGAGCTCTCCTGCTCCATCCCTCCCAGCAGCCTCTGGAGCTCCTCGATGCGTTGGTCTTTCTTCTCGCTGGCTTCCTCGGTAACCCTCAGCTTCTCTTCCTGGTCACTCAAACGCTCCCTAAGCTTGCTGCCTTCAGCCTGGAGTAGATGGAATTCAGTTTGTTTAGCACATTGCTTCATTTCAACGGCAGTTCAAATCATAAGGCAAGAAGAATGTCTGCACGTTACCTGCAGTCTCTCCTTCTCCTCCAGATGTTTCTTTTCTGCTTCCTGCAGCTGTGCATACAAACGCTTACTAACTTCTCTCATTTTGGTTCTTTCTGCTTCATCGTCCATGTCCTAGACACACACAGAACAACGTGTAAGAACTTGTTGCAACTTTTGATTACATGCCTTTATGGTGATGTAATAAAAAATGCTTGTTTTCATTTACTCCAAGCTATGTGGGTGTGGCTGTTACATAGAGAGCAGGCGTGTAAGCGTGCGTCACTGGAGCAGTGAGATCATCTCCAGTGTTTCCCACCTAATTCTGAAACACTCACTTAATTCAAGTAAGTTGCAGGGTGAGTCACAGATACTACTATAAATGTCCCAAAACAAACCACATGAAAGATGTCTGATTTTCTGTGTGCAAAATGAGCATGCACACTGCAGCTGATGTCAGCATGCGACTTAGAGACAACAACGAAGTCATTAAGGGATTTTGTGGAATGAAGAGTGTCTCAAAACAACAACATACAGGGAGAGGACAGAATGTGCCGGAAGTGCTCCTTTGAGCATTTTAATACTCCCTGGAAGGGTTATTTACTCTTCATTTTAATCTTCTTTCCCCAAAATGATCTCACTTCTGTTTGCATGTTTAGATGAACTCTTCTTTCTGTCTCTACACTTCTGGGAGGCAGTCATTTAACAGGAGACGTACAAAAACTCAAAACAGCGCACAGAAAAGCTCCAACATGTCCACAGACCTGAGACATTAAAACATACGCTGTACAGCATAAAGCACAGCTTCAATATGGATGGTTTCTGCGGGACTCCGCTCACCTGCATGTCAGACTGGTCTCCGCCTTTGGGGAGAGACGAGGCATTCTTTCGGAAAGGATTGCTGACCTTCCACCCATTTGTGTGTGGCTGGGGAGAGAAAAGGAGGAAGTCAGCATGGAAGGCTAAAGTGATGGAGATGCGAGCGGTGAAGGAAATGCCATTAAGCACACAGGATTTGAGGGCAAGAACGGGGAAGGCACAATAAAACACGCTTACCTTGTTTTTGGCAGCCATTTGCTCCCTCAGAGTCTTCAGGCAATACCTCACCTGTGTGAAATACACATATTTAGTCATCAATTGACATTAATACCGCCAAAATAATCTGAATAAGAAAATTCACAAGTAAAGGATCTAGGCTACAAACCTCACTTACAGATAATACAATTATTAAAGCATTGCCAGCAAAATGTAAATATAAATACTGAAAAAATCCCGGAACATTCTATTATTGATCAATCAAAGTCCCCATCTTACATCAATGTAGAGAAGTTACAACTGTAAAATTATGCTATATGGTATGTAATGAGTTAATTTGAGACAAGGACTTTAAATGTGTGTAAAATCTCCAGGCATAAATGATCAGAAAAGGATTCACGTGATGTAAATCTACAAATGCTTAGATAATCTGACTGCAGTTCCAGTGTGTCCTTTGTTGTTGATAAGAGTTTGATTCTGTCCCGAAACTGACCTCCTGTATCTGCGAAACTTCATCTGACAGCATCTTTAGGCTCTCTTGGTGCTTTTGCTGCTCTTTTCTGCGGGTCTCAAGATACACCTGCAACAAGGTAGGGGATCAATATCAAACACCCAGCAAACCAAAACTGTACGTACCAAAAAGTCAGACCATGACTCTCACCTTGATGATCTCCACCTGCTCCACCGTTGACTTCACGGGTTCGGGGTTCAGCGCGGTCCTGTCGCTGGCTGGCTGCACCAGTGCAAACGCTCGTCCCACTGGCTGCAGATCAGAGAGCGGGGAAGAGAACAACGCAGCTCAGCATAGGCAAACTTCAACTGGGCTGAAGATAATCCAGGAGGAGTCGTTTGTTGTGTTGCGACACAGTTCTCCGAAGAACAGCCAGCAGAACATCAGTTTAATAATCGTTATGCAACATCTGTTTGGAATGTCTGCATGAATGATGCAATTAAACTGTTTAACTGGCCAAACTAAAGGATGAGCATGAGGTTTTGTCATGAGAAAAGCATCCCTGTGCGCATGTGACAGACTACGAGCCTCTATTATCAGGAGGGAGAAATGTTTAAGAGCTATTGGGATGGAGACCGCCCGACCCATAAACATCTGGAACCTCTCTGGAAGGGGTGGACAGACTTGGCAAACAATACACAGAGAGTGGAAAGCAGAAAGTTATGGGTGAACATTATGCACTTCCACAGCTCTGGACATTCTGTGATGTCGACAAAATGTTATTGTCCTTTGACATTTTGTGTGTGAGAACTATCCTAATGAAAAGCTGAAGAGAGCCATGGCGTGTTTACGAGCACCTCCGTGTGTGGGAATACCGCAAGATGCATGAGTGAAAACACGCCTGCTCTTCCTCTGAATCGTTAAGAGGATTAACTGTCTGAGGTGCCACATCCAAATATGAACTAAACATACACACTCATGACAAAACTAACCCTGTTCCCTTGCACGAACTATTGAAATACCCGACTACGAGGTCTAAAACCACACGTGGTGGCAAACGATGCACCACGTCTTTTACAGTCACAACTCAAAACCAGTCTTTTAATACGCTGGGTCAGTTGAATTTCACACTCCTGTTTTACAGCTCAGAGTATAACTGAAGTTACCATGTGCAGAGGGTTCTCACCTTGTCTCTGTGGTGCTCTGTGCTCTGAGATGGTCCACCCTGGTCGTGGAGCGTGAGCCTCAGTCGCCGGCACCCTTCCTGAAAGTCAAATGAAGATGAAGTGAATCCACAAAGAGACCGTTATGTGATGGAGAGGCTGATTGAGGACTATTTTGAGAGGGAAAGGGGAAAAAAGAGGAGGAGAGACTGAGTCATAGTCACGGAGCAACACAAAGTCAGGGGGGGAAAGGGGGTAGTAACCAGTAAAAGAGAGAGAGAGAGAGAGAGTGGAACAAGCGTCAGAAAGAAAGCAAAAGTTTAGAACACTGCACAGAGACAGATTGTTTGATTTAAACTGTGTGCTGTGGACGTCAGAGGGACTTAGGCGGAATCCCTCCAGATGCTCACAGCCAATTGGAATTTAGAGACTTGATTTCTGGGAAAGAGGGCAGAGGGTGTTGTGTTGAGTTAAGACACCATTTCTCCATGGCAACAAATCCCCACAGTAGCCATAAACCGTATTTCTTATTTACAATATAAGAGGGAACACTCATTTTGAAACTTTCCGACGTAAAGACAACTTAAAATCGAGACACCCACACCCACACAATCCACTACGTGTTGTTTAATAAGTTGTGTATTCTGCTTACATGTTCATTTTACACCGAAACCAAACTTTTTAGGGGAAACGGTTTGCAGCCAAACAAAAACACATGGCTTGTTAGTGGCAAAAGATTGGAGCAGGATGTCACTGGGTGTGTGTCTTTCAGCAAATGGAAGCCCCCCTGTGACCATGTCAGGGGTAAGCATGCGGACGTGAGGGAGGAGGTCAGAGACATTGCATAACTCCTTCCAGACAACACAACTTGTTCTCTTTGTCTTTTTACGGGTATTCACTGTAATAGTTTGACTCCGGAAACACGTGGAGGTCAAACAGAAGTATCTAGAAACAAAAACGAAAGCAAGCGCACAATAATTCTTCATGTGATATTTTACCAGGCTGATTCAGAAAAATGAGGGGAGTTAATGCTTGTTTTTCTGCATTCAGATTACAAAGTGTACTGTGGGTATTTTGATGGAGCTTGAGATGAATGTTTGAGTGGGACTGCCTGCTGCTGTTCAGCTTTTTATGTGTTTTTTTTTTCTGGTTTGGTCCCTGCATGCAACACAAAGAGCCCAACTGTAACTTATTCCCTTGCATCTATTGTGAAGTTAAAAAACACAGTTTTAAAGATTAAAAGGAGTCGTCATTGTCGGGTTGTTGTAAGAACAGTTCTGTTTTTAGCCTTAAGAATGAACTTTTCCGTAATTTAAAATCATATCCAGCAAACATGTAATTATGAACAGTCTACCTGCCAGATTGGACCGTTCTGCCTACTGTCAGACTCAAGTTCTTATCTTTTAATAGATGTAGCAAAAAAGACTTTCAACTGCATCGGTGTTTAGGAAATTGGAAAAATCCCAAAATAATAGTTGGTTTTCATGACTGCACTGCATGAGAAACACATGTAGTACATGACTGAACTTCTTCAGCATCTTAGGAAGCTTTCTAGAATAAAAGACAGGGGAAGGGGTTTTGAGTCAAAGACTCACCTGTCTTTGGTTTACGTTTGGTATTTAGATTTTTGGGGGATTTGGATGGAGTGCAGCCACAGGTTCATTTTTTCCTCTGAGATGGAATGTTATTCTACCTCTCTCTACTTCTTTAAACATAAAAATGTAATGAAAAGACTGTAAAAAAAAGAGATAAAGAACAAACGTAGAACAAAGGAGGACACTGTAAAATACACCACCTATATATGCCTGGTGTTGGTTAAAGGTCAGTGGTCAGATTTCCCTCAGTTTCATGGGTCTATTCTAACTCAGTTCATTCTCATTATGAGTGGCTTTTTTGTCACTCGGGGAAACCCTTCTGTTTGGCCCTGGACTTTAACCTGGCACTAGAAATGAACAAGGTTTTGTTACATAACGCTATGGTACAGAGTAGTTATAAAAGGCAAACCATGTGTACAGAGCACACAAGGCCTTTAGATGAGCTGGCTATCAGTTCAGCAACTGCAGTAATAAAACAGACAGAGAGACAGATGGAGCTCAGAAATACAGCAAAGATCAAAGAGAGAAAAAAGAACAGAGAACAATGACAGAAAAAGGCAGAGATCAGACCCTGATGGATTACTACAACAAGGAAACCTCAGGAAAAAGGACAAATTCCTCTCTGGTTAAGCATGTTTCCTTCTCACGTTGCAGACGTCTGAATGCTCTGATGGAGCACACACCGATTAGAGCAGGAAAAGAGAGGAGGGGGCCAGAAAAGGAAAACAGTAGGAGGGTTGTTAAGAAGGAATTCATCATTGTACAACTCGTCCAGCCATTCAGATAAAGACCCTGCTAATATTTGCTCAGTGAGCGATCTACACGGTAGCCTCTCTGTCTGCTTTCCCTTTTTATATCCACCGATACACAAAAATGTCCTCTATCCCAGCTTTAAACACAACCTGCAATTCAAGCCTTCCTGGGAACATGGACAAAAGGAGCCGCTGGATGTGTTCACGGACGGTGACGCATGCACCCACACACACACAGTCAATGGAAGATACACGTACAGTAACCCAAAGTGCACACTGCCTCTGCCTAATGGGAGAAACATGAAACCAATCTCACACACAGAGTCCACGCAGCTGGCTGCTCCACAATGGAGACAAAAGGCGGGCTGAAAAGGGCATGGGGATGCTTTTGTTCTGGCATCAGGAGGCCGGTAAATCATCTGGGTTAAATTGGCAGAGGGATGACTAGCATCTTAGGAATGTTACTTGTAAACAAGCTGAGCTTCTAAATGTGTCCCTTGGAAATCTGTGGTTCTGTAAAAAACAAAATCAAAACAATCTTGCCTGAACCCGTTTGGATTTCTGAGCCAGGGATTAAGTCCATAAATGTTTTATTGTTGTGTTTGCACACATCCTCGTTAAATCAGTTTAGTCCTCCTCGTGTTCACAGTGGCACTGCACAGGTGTCACTTCTGTCTTTTGGCCAAATGCAGTATAAACCTCAGCACCAGAGGCCCGACGCGACAGGTGTGATACCACAGCCCAGCTGCTGGTGCTTCAGGAAGCGTTTCAGATTTATGGATTTACCTGCCCTCAACAAGGCTGGATCCTACAGTACTTGAACACGGAAACAAAAAGATATAAATTCTACATTTCCTTCATTTCAAGAGTCATTATTCACTATCATACATTTTTACTGCAGAAATATTAAATTTCACAGAACTCCAAAGGTCTAAAATGACTTTGACTTGTGAAAATTTCTGATTCCTGTAAATATGAGGAATAGAAAATGTGAACATCGGAATCTAAATAATTGGCAAAAAGGGATGTATTCGTCATGCAAAAACGAGCAGAATGAGCCTATACACAGTGAGAAAATAAGTTGTAAGTTGTTTCAGTCTGCAAAAGCACCACATAGTGAGCAGGAATGTTGTTTTAAGTTTTTTTTAGATACAACTAATACAACATACAACAACTGAAATAATATAAAAATGTTGTCTTGGGCATCTTTTCGAATGAATTATAAATCCTGAAGGGCCCTTCTTTTACATTTGACCTTTGTTGCTGGTAAAAAGGCGGGACTGACTCCATAGTCTCCACACGATAAGGAATGAGGGAAACGTTAAAGAAGAGGGGAGCTGAGTGATATAGAGAGAAGTTCATTGTATGTGATTTAATCATCATGTGAGGCATAAAGTTCACACGGCTGAGCCAGCGTCAGACCTCCACTCAGGACGAAGTCCACCGTCACAGACAGGATCCCCCGATAATCAATCACCATCTCTTAGTTCCCCCCTGCTGCGAGCTCCACCTGAACCAGGTGTGCTCTGGCTTATTCCAGTCATTTCTGAGCACAGATGCACCCACATGTCATGTCGGGCCCATTCCCAGCCTCTGATGTCAGACTCTCCTGATAGATGATGAGGAGTGAGATGAGGAATATGCCAACAAAGAGAGGGAGACTAAATGCCTGGGTAGATAGTTGTGGCATCATTAAAAAAACAAAAAAAAAACAGATGAAGAGCATATTCTCACATCACTTTGGGAGAGTTTCAAGGTTTCTATGACATCATTCCAGATCCAGATCACGAAACAAATGAAATACTGAATGTCTCCCACATTCCTCCTCCTCAGGTATCCTAACAGTTTCCCCTCTCATCACCATTTAGGGTATGTTCGACACTCATTTGCAACAGTGAGAGCCAGAATCCTCAAGCCTGGCTTAAATAAACATATCAGATATGTAAACACTGCAGAGAGGGAACTATTTCCCTGTTGAATTTGACTACGATAAGGACAAAAGTGTCTTCTGTGTGCAATGATGCAAACATTGCGTGTTAAAAGGTAATCTGATAGGTTAATGAAGCCTGAGCACACAGCATTTATTGCTTCACAATGCATTCCCCGGTGCACTTTATCAGCTTGTCAGTGTACACTTTGACCTTTTTGTCAGATGGAAAGTGAGTCTGGACTATTAACACAAATGCAGAAGTTGCTGTTAAACTTCAAATCTTCTGCCTGAAGTCAAATGAGATTTTCATCCACTTTTTCTGCAATACGACCCAGCAGGAAGCGAATGTTGGGCAGGTATGGCGCTCAGCAGGGGAGCACTGACGTGGAAGGGGAAGGTTTAATGTTGCTGCGATACCCCGTAGGCCACGGAGCCGGTTAACAGTCTGCTTTTTCAGGTCGGGTCAATGGTTAACCTAGCTCTGCCACAGACCACGGAGCATGTCCACTGTACTGAGACGGTCACACACCGGGCAGCACATCCCCCCCCCCCCCAAAGGCAAAGAAGCAAATAAGCAAAGCCTTTAAAGGCCCCGAGCTGCCTTCACTGTCTGTCACTACTGCAAGTGTAAGCCCTTCACTGATGTGGCCAGAAGGCACCTGTCACCTCACAGATGTGATCTGGACTAATGCTCAGCTTGTCTTTATGTGTGTGTGTGTGTGTGTGTGTGTGTGTGTGTGTGAGTGTCTGTGTGTGTGTGTTTGGGAGGTGAGGGGAGCTAATACTTTAATTACTTCAAGGCTTGAGGCTTTAGTAAATACACCACTTAGGGATGATGAAGGCATTTGGCCCAAAGATCTGTCACTGAATTGCAAAAAAAAGAAAAGAAAAGAAAAAGGAAGCATTTTGATACAATTACCAAAAAGAAAAGCAGAGAAACGTTTAGGAAACAGATATGAATGGAGAACATTTAAAGAAGTCGAAAAGTGTTGGTGTAATGGCTATTCCAGCTTCAAAAAGCAGTAGAAACGCACATAAATATACACCTGAACATGAAGTCCAGGGGACGTAGAAAAAAAAACAATAAAAAATCATTTGGAGTAACTTACATCTTGGTTTCTGATGTCCTCAAACGTGCACAAGCTCCTTGTCACTCCGTTCATCTTCCTCAGAGAAGAAAGAAATACTCCGCCAACAAATAACTAAATGTGAATGAATGAATTAATAAATAAATAAATAGGAGGTGAGGGAACGGTCTCCCGGTGGCTGCTGCTCGGTGGGAAGGATCCACGCGTCTGCCGCCTCCTCTCCGGGATCTCTGCTAACTTTTCTCTGCGCGTCACGGTGGGAGTGGAGCCAGAGCAGACCGATCCCGCCCCCAGAGCGCACCGAAACAGCCAAGTATGGAGCAGAGGTGAGCCGGGAAGGGCTCTCAGGGAAGGGAAAAGCGGTACAGCGACTTTTGTAACAATAACCTACAGAAACGTCACATCATAGTGAGAACCGGGCAAAAGAGAGGTGCCCATGGGGCATTTAAAGACATGGCCCAGCCATGGAAACGCGCGCATTTTAGTTCACATATGAATTATTCAGTTGCAGGGTTTAACACACGGCTGGGCCTAATTAAAAAAAACATCTCTCATGTTACAAAGCAGCAGGAACTCAAAGATTATTTCCAGTGATTTGTTGTCTAAACTGCAGGATTACTACGTTTTTTCAAATATTGTCAAGAAGATGAATCAGTTCAATCTGTTCAAATGAACAAATCATACGTGTTCATTTTACAGCTGAACAGTTTGTTTTTTCTTTTCATTTGACTAGAGCTGTGAGCACCTAGTTTAACACTAAATATGTCACTGAAACACAGCGTGCTCTGTCCACCACAGTGAACACAGTGCCACTGACATGAACTGGCTCAGACTGTCCCTACAACTTCATTATCAAACATAAACCCATGCATGTTTGAGAGAAATACACAAAGTTCACCAGACAAAAATGGCTACTCATGTAAAATTATATGTGATGAAAAACCATCTCATATTGTCGCCTTCAAGTGACTCATTTTTGCCCGGCTGGCAGTTAAAATTTCAAATAGTTCTTTTACCCACTTTATGAAACAGAAAATATGACACACACTCACATTTTACAAGGAAGCACTACTCCCACTTTATTACCGTATGTCCTCTTGCAAAATCTATTACCCCCCCCCCCCCCAAGAAATTTTGGTTCATTTATAAGGAAAGTCATTACATGATGTACTGTGGCGTGTTTGGGAAATGAACAGTAGCAATGTGAGCTGTGGAATGAGCAAAGTAAGCAAATGTTTCACTGAAATCATAGTTTATCTCTCTGCTGTCATAAGGACTGAGCCACATGTTTCCAGATCTGACCGAGGTCAAACTACTGGAAGTAGTAGAAGAGTAGCAGCACACGCCGGCATGCGGCTGAGAGGCAGCAGCTGGTCCCGATCAGATGGGATAAAGACCTTTGAAGGCGTTACTGGAGGCTGAGGAGCAAACAGAAGCTCAGAGCTGCTCACAAGTTACGACGTTCCTTTAAAACTGGAGCAGAAAAATACAAGCAAAAGGAAAAATACCAGGATCTAACCACACTGGGACATATAATCATTCTCGAAGAAGTGTTGGATGTTTTATTTTTAAACCCTTTAAGGTCGAGGGTCACCAAGAAGTCAAGTGCTTACAGTTCGTGTCACAGTGGGTGTTATTGGTTCGTGGTTATTGAATCATTTGGAGAGAGGCTACTCCGCATGAGCACATCGTAAAAAGTGTAACACACCTTAACCTCGCTTCTGTGCGCTCAGTGGAAGACACAATAATCATGAGTTTACATCAGACACACTGATCCAGAGATTAGCCTGCAGACTCGGCCGTTGCATGTATGTCTGAGGAATGAGTCAGACAGCAGCTGGGAAAATAGTCTGCAGTATTTCCATCAGTTTGGGACGAAAAGAGCTGTTTTTTAACGTGTGAACAGGTGCTTATAGAGTTGTTTCATAGGTCTACAATTATTTCAGGCTCAGAAGAGGCAACCAACTCTTTTGACCAAATCTGATCTGGAGCTGTAAAGTCTGCAGACTATTGTTGCATTTGCTTTAAGTTGGTTTAAACGTGATTTAGTTATTTGTTTTCCGAAATGTTCTCGGCCTTTAGTACAGAAACTAGTGACCTCAGCTGTTTGGTGGAGGATAACGGTCAACACGGTGTAATAAGTGACAAAACATGTGAAGCCTCATACCAAATCACAAAGTCTAACAGCCAGATAGTGAATGTTAAATCTGAAAAATTAAATGATCCTCTTACGGTCTACTGCGAAGAGAAAATCCAGTGCGTGTGGTGACGGGTGCTGGTGGGTTGAAAGCAGGCTCTGGTGGCCCAGAGCCAATGGGCCGCGACTCAGTGAGGAACTAGTCTCAGGAACACTGATAGAAGACTGTTGTCACTTGTTCTTTTTTCTGGAGAGGTGACTCCAATGGGGAAAGCGACATTCTGATGAAGTCTCAGACACTGAGACCATGAATGAATGAGCTCATATGAATGAAAATTTCACAACGTGTCGTTGGAGTGTCGTTATCGCAGAAATTCTGTAATTGTACGAATGTGGTGATCACAGAGATAGGTATTTATAGCAATGACGTACTAGAACGACGACAACCTTATTCTCCACTCCTCAGTTTGCATCATGTGAAACTATTGGCAGCACATTTATTTCAGTAGCTCCAAACCTATGTGCCTTGTATTTCTGTATGGAGGAACCCCTCAAGGTAAACGGAATTGTTTTCACGCCTCCCACCTACAGCGGCCGCCACGTTTGATAGCAACCACGCCACCATTTCAAAATTAAACACACACCCAGCTGTTGGCCAATCGGCTGTCAGGTTTAACAGATGTGAGTGGAAAGCTGTTAAAGGGAAACTCCATCCCACCCATGGAAAGTATGCAGGCTTGTATTGTATGGGCTGGCAAAACAGGTGCTGTGGAGGCTGTGCAGGTTTGGCTGCCGGGGAAGAAGGCGGGAGATCATGGACATCGTTTCTGGTCCTACTACAAACACCGAAGGCGTGACTTTATGAAACCAAATATTTTCCAAGTGATTTAATTTCAAACCCCACTCCCTGGAATGGTGGTGGTGGTCTGTTATAAAGAGCCAGCCTTGGATTTCATCCACTTTTTGTGGACAGACTGTCCTGATATTGAGTGATCAGTGTCATACGTGGGATCCTTTTTTCTTTTAATCAATGTGAGAAGTCTGTCTGAATTTCACAGTCCTCAGCCGGCGCTCCACATTCCTGACGTTCCTAACGCCGTGGTGTTCCAGGCATCAGCAAGCCATCTATCATCTCACATCAGCAAACTGATCCATCTGTGGCCAACATAATCCTGTTTACGCATGATTCCTTCCACAAACATGCATTCAGTTTGCCTGAAATCTATTTGGGGGTTGTTTTGTCTACGCTTAGGTGTTGTGACTCTTCACATGTGAACATGAGCATCAAATTTGGCCTCATGCTCTGTTGGGTTAGTCTGATACAGCTAACTTGCAGTAAAACAGCTCAGTCACTACACAGTGCCACTGAATCTTGCACACTGTTGTTCTGTTGCCATCAGCTCAGCATCTGGCATCAGTTTTCCATAAACAAGGCTCTCTGCATGGTAATACGTAGATCACTGGAGAATTGAGCTGAATTAACAAGTTAGGTTCAAATGTGGGGAAAACACACACAGATGCGTGGAGGCATCCATCAAAACAGGAACTCAGTTCTCTCTGTATCAACTTGCCAGATGGGTCAGTTGTGTCCTGCTTGATGTTTAACCAGCAGCTATGAAAAAAACAGAAAAATAGCAACTGCAACAATAGATAACACTCCAAAACATCAGTGGCACATAGTTGTGGCCTCTTTAGTAAGCAGGTGTTAAACACAGTAAAAATAGAACAGGGGTGTTTTTCTATTATTTATCGTGCAACTTCTTTAGTAAGTCCAGGTTGTTATTGTTTTTACAGTTCTTCTTATCTGATTTGGTCCTAAGAGCCCTTTCAGGCTTCATTAACTGAAGTAAGCGCGTGTCTGCCTTACAAAACAAATACCTCCGATTCCAAAGAAGCCAGAGCTGGTCGGCACACCTTTGGAGGCGTGCCGCACAACACTGGAATAGGATAGAACATACTTTATTCAGCCCCCCCGGTGGAGGAAATTCAAATAAAAATGTTTCAAATGTCACCGGTTTTCATATCTATACCTTACTCCAACATAGAGTTACTGGTATGACTCCAAAGAATCTTTTAAAAATACATCAGCATATCAGCATTGGAGAGATTCCTCTGGAGGACTCGTTTATTTTGTAAGATTTCTTGATAACCTCCAACTGTTCCAGTGAAGTCCAATAATGTTCCTGAGAAAGGCTGGTTGTAAACCTTTACTGTAGCTGGCAGGTAGTTAAAGGGAAGAGAAAAGATAAATATTTTTTCTTTGGGTGTGTTTCCTACAATGTGCAAAAACAAACTACAAAATGGGAGCATACACAAGAGAAGGAGCGTATATCCGTTTAACAAAGCACATTTATTGTTACTACTTTCATACATTGTGGAACAAAAATAAGAATTTTCTTTTCTGAAGTTCAGTCAGAGGCTTTCAGTCATAGATTATCGTACATACCGCAGTTTTTGTGTTGATGCATTTAACGCATCGTATTTAGTTCCATCTTCTAGTTTCAATAGAACAAACTTTACATTGCAGAAAATGTAATTGGATTTTTCACTGATTGTTCAAACTGTAAACAAAGTCAGCTTGATAACATAGGCAAATCTACAATTGTTAAATAAACTTCACAAAGACTTTTTCCAGAAAAAAAAAGAAAAATTCACAAAAAAACAGCCATTGATACAAAGGAATGCATAGAAAATGTGCAGCTTCTACAAATACACTTTCTAACTGAAAGAGGACATGTTGGCTTTTTTTTCCACTGCAAGTGGAAAGTTTTCAGTTTCATAAGGCCTCAAAACAAAAAAATTCTATGAGCTAGCTATCCTCAGTTGCATTAAACCTGTTTTTCTTTAACCAGCTAACTCCCTCAGGTGAAAAAGACAGAAAAAGACTCACTGGGCAAGTCTAAACCACACATTTACCTAAACACATACAAAAATTTTGTAATACATTTGCGTGATTTAATACAATTTCAGAGGCAGTATTTGTGTCTCAGCTTTTGAGATTCACTGTTTCAACATTTCTGTTTATTGCTTTATATTTTAGACTGGATGGAGTAACTATTTGCACAGACTGCACAGCTAACAACATTTAGATTTAATCAAAATAAAAATTCTGTATAGATGCAGGATTAAGGTTGATTAGGCTAATCAAATTTGCCAGTTTGTATGAAATGACATCAGGGACAATTATTTCAACAGCCTTTTTTTTTCTTCTCTAAAACACTGGGGTAAAGAATTCAGTCATGCGACACCAGGAAATAAAGGCAGTATAAATGAGGATGCAGTCAAATCTGAACTTTAGCTTTAAGTGCTTCACTTGGGGAAGTTCTTCAGCAGTGGACTCCCTCACAAAGACCTCTGACTAAAGGAAAGGCCCTGGTGCCTAAAATTGAGTTGAGTGAAGTTGAGCTGTACCGTGCTGTGGAACTAAAGTAGTCACTGCTGAAATGGTCCAATAGTATTGGAGTTGTACCAAAGAAAATTTAGAGCAAAATAATACAAATGATTTTATTGCTAATGGCTGGATTTGAGTACCTTTAGTGGTCCCTTATGTAGACTACTGTTTATGACACAAAACTTTACGAAAGGAAATTTCCCTTAAATGCTTTGAGTCCTTCCATCCATTCAGGTGTGGAAAAAAATCACTCAGTGTGTGCAGTTTACCTCTCAGTTTCCTACAGCCCTCATTGTTTGCAGTGCATACCATTCTGTCCCCTGGCTTTTCTCCCAGTTCACATCCACCTCCCTTTGCTTTTTGTTTGGCAGTTTGTGCTTTCCTGCTCTTATCCTGCTCCTAAGCGCCGGCTTAACAAGAGCTGGTCTGGAGGTTGCTCTCAGTGAGGATGGAGGTGATGGTGGAGGAGTCAAACAGGCTGTCGTCATCATCGGAGCTGAGGGCTGATGAATCCAACACTGGCCGCATGGATGCTTGAGTTTTCCTCCTAGGAAGAAATACACTCATATAATCTGCTCTCTTAAAATGTACTATTGCAGTCGAATTTTATTATCTTTTTTGCCAATTCGGCTTGATGAACACGACCAGGAGTCCCTATAAAAGTTCCAGTAATAGTGCCCCCTCTGGTGTTAATTTAGGGTAATGACACGGTTCTGACTGGAAGAAGTTTGAGTTTGGAATGCAGTTCCCCTTTTGCCCCTGAGCAATGTGCTACTTTCATTTGATAAAATACTGGATTCATATGTTTTTTTTATGTTTTATATAAGAGAACACTGCACCTCGGGGGGGTAGTGGGGATCTCTAGCTGCAGCTTGTCTCTGTGTGTCAGACCTCAAGAATGTGGGTTCACTGATCGTGATGTCATTTACAGGCAATCTCATTCACATTAAAGAGGAGAGAAGCCATCTCAGTGGTACTCACTCACGCTGCTGGGAAGTGTTTTGCATAATGGTTACCGAAAGCTAACCGTGAGTAACAAACTAGAGAAGGAACACTTACTTGAGCTCAGTTTCCAGCGCTGTGACTCTGGCCTGCAGGGCCTCTTTGAGCTCCATCTGCTCCTCCATGTCTCTCTGGGCTTTCCGCCTCAGAGTTTCTATCCTTTCCAGCTCAGTCTCTCCTTCGTCCACCTGCCTCTTCAAAGCCTTCACCCTCAGAGCGAGCTGCGGCACAAGTCAAGACAGAGGAACGATATGATAGTCTATTCCGAGGTTTGAAAAAACACAAAAGAAAAGAGCCAGCTTTATGTTCAGATTCACACCTGGTCTCTCTGTTCAGTGTGTGTGTGTCTCTCCTCATCCAGGGTCATATTGATGTCCTTCAGTTTTCGCTCCAAGCGACGTTGTGATGCAAGGACAGAGTTCTTTTCCCTTTAGGAATAGAAGATATAAGCGTAAGCCAAAGCAAGACACAGCTTTCTCCTTCATCAGTTTAATCCAGTGGGTTTCCTGTGATTCTGCTCATTAAGCATTAGAAAAAATCAGAAGCACTAAAACGTGAAAAAGTGGGAGAATTTGAACTTCTGTTGCATCGCACCTTTCTTCAGTTCGCAGCTGTTCTTCTAGCTCCTGGATCCTGTTTTCGAGCTGCGAAACTCCTGCGGAGGAGCGGGAATTCCCCTCCAGGTCTGCCACACGGCTCCTCAGCTCCTTCAGCTGCAGGGACACAAACAGCCGCTCACAAACACTAATGCTGGAGGGTCGGCCCAGGGAATGCCGGGCTCCCGTTTCAAGATGGATACTAAAGGTGCAAGCTTAAAAGTTAGAAAACGCAGTCTAGCACGTGTGGACATACATGTCTCTCCATGGCATTCTTGTCCAGCTCCAGGTCCTGCTTTGAGGACCTCTCCTGCATGATGTCCGAGCGCAGCTGATCGATCTGGTCTCTGCTCCTGGCCACTCGCTCCGTCAGCATCTCCACCGAGCTTTTCTCCTCCTCCAACTCCAACTCCGTACGCTTCAGCTTATCCTGACAGACGCAAACAGATCGTGTGAAGCTAGCAGCTCATTTTTCCTATTTCTGCTGACACAGATGGAGACTGCGCGTGCTGAGCCAACAAACACCCAAAGAGAGGTGAGGAGATGAGTCTCTACCTCCAAGATGCGAATCTCCCGGGATTTTTCGTTCAGGCTGTTTTTGCTGGCTTCTATCTCCCCCTCTAGGTGGCGCAGTCTGTTAGTGAGAAGCTCCTTATCCAGCTGGTGGTTATCCCTCTCCTCAATTGCAAGCTGAAGCTCCCTCTTCAGTCGGGACATCTGAAGAGATTGACCACCACATTAGAAACAGAAGAGGCAGACTGAATCTGAACCTGATTCATTGATCATATTGGTTACAACTATGATGAACTAATGGCAGGTTTAAAAAAGCAGAGCCAAACACTTAAATAAAGGCACACACTTCTTCCTCAACTCTTCTGAGGTTTAACTGGCTTCTTTCCAGCTCGGAATGAGCGTCGTTTCCATGGCGCTGCGCCTCCTGCATCTCCTTGCGTGCTCGTTCTCTCTGCTCCTCCAGCTGAACCTTGAGAACCTGCGTCTCCTCTTTTAAGGATAAGTTCAGAGAGGTGTGCTGACAGAAGAGGAAAGAATACAACATACAAGTTTTTGAGTGGTGTTTTTCCCGATTGATGAGCGAAAACAAGCTGCGATCATCTGCAAAGCTTATGTCCTTCTTACCTCCTTGTTGAGCTTCTCCAGAGCTCTCTCCTGCTGTCGTTTGTTCTCCTCTAGCTGGCTGATGGTGAGCCTCAGCGTGTCCCTGTCCCTATCTGAATCTTCCAGACGCAGGCTGAGCTCACGATGCTCCTGGCTCAGCCTGGAGGACTTTCTCTTGGCCTCGTCTAGCTCAGATCTCAGGCCTCTCACCTCGGTGTGCAGGGCGAGCTCGGCCTCTGAGCTCTCTGTGGCGCTGCTTTGCAGCTGAGTCTGAATAAAACCACTCATGGTCACATACCTACAACTTTTCAGGTACCAAACACACAGCTCTGGATGGCGTTCGTGCAAATTCATCTTTACCTCTAATCGAGAGAGTTTGTCTTTGAGACGATTGTTGGTGGTCTCTTGATCCTTCTGAGCATCCTGGAGAGAGCTAACGTCCACCTGGGCTCTACTCAGACGAGCCTTGGTGTCGTCCAGCTCCTCTTCAGCCAGAGAGAGTTTCTCTTTGAGCTGGGTTGCTTCGCTTTGTGCCTCACCAAGCTTCAGCTCCAGCTCTGAGACAATGGCTGGGCTTGGAAGCTAATGGAAGGAGGGATACAACCGAGAGGACTTTAGCAGACATTTTTATCCGAAGCGACTTACAATTCAGATACATTACAGTTAATATAAAAGCTAACAATAAGCTTCAAGCTGATCTCATTATGTTAATAACACAAACAGACCCGTTTGCTTTTCTCTTGTGCTTTTGCAAAGTCGTCTTTGGCCCTCTGCAGCTGCTCTTTCAGCCTGTTGATCTCATACTGCAGTTCGGCCTCCTGATTCTGGTGGGATTTTTTAATAGAGATCACCTCCATGACCTTCTTGTCTAATTCTGTCCTCCGTTTCTCCAGCTCAGACCTGGTTTTCTGCAAATCAGCACTGGTTCTTTGGAGCTCCTGGACAGACGGTTCAGTATTTTGTGGTTACTTTGCTGCACAGATCATTCATGTGTGTTTAAGCCCTGTTAAAAGTGCATATGCGACACCTGGTTTATAGTCTGTGTGTGGCCGGGGTCAGGTGTTTGTTCTTTCACTGTGTGCATTTTTTCCTTCAGTTCCTTCAGCTCATCCTCAAATTCCTCTTTCTCGAGACGGATTTGCAGCAGCCTGAGGATAACACGCAATCACATAAATTACACAATACAGTAGCCGGTCTGAGCGCTGCCTCATTATCGAATCAACAACCAGCTGGATTGAGTGGCTAAATCAACAATTTGCACAGTTAGTAAGCAGTAAATGATTTTTTTTTTCAATAATCCAGCACCTAAATGCATCACATCACAGACAGATAAAAACCACAGTCAAACAAGGCTACATGATACTTTAGTTAAACGCAGACAGAAGCTTAAGGCTGTCCACCCCCATTCCTCTGTGTCTTGATATCAGAGTGGCAATTTTACTGTATCTACTGGGCTATGATCTTTCCTTGGTGTTAAACTTTGCACAAACACTGGAGGAAACGGTACTTTAAACGAGTCAAGAATTCAGTGGATGGAGCGTGAATGGCCTTGACGCTACAGTGAGACAGGTGTTAGGACAGTTCACGACATCAACGGCTACTCTACACACAAATCTGTTAAATGAGTGACCCTCACTGTGTTTCGGGGCTGCTGGGTGGATCTCTGACAGAAAAAGGGAGAGGGAGACAGTGACCAGGCAGAATGAGAGAAAAATACAAACTGATTAGTAGTAAAGTAGGTGCTTGGAGGAAACCCTGAAAAGACCAAAGAAATCCAAGTGAAGGTGAGAGGGCAAACCCAGGTGAGCAAACGCTCCGTTTTTAACAGACTCACTCTTGTTTGGTGGCTCGGAGCTCGTCTCTGGTGGAGTGAAACTGCTCCATCCAGTGGGTGCTCTCATCTCTACAGTCCTCCAGCTGCTGCTGTAAGGAGCGGACCGAAGCGTTGACGCGCAGCCGCTCCGCCTCGATTCCTGCATGAGACTTAAAGAGGGAAGAAGAAGAACCGTCACCATGATGCACTCTAATCTCTAAGAGGACCGTGAAGAGGTAAATCTTCTTTCAGTATCAACATTACTAAATGTCGGTATCAGATGTGGTTGGTTTGGATATCGGCTGCAATGAGAATATTTTAATTATGGCATGTGTTATTGCTTTATGTCCAGCTTTTAAAAATAAATACATGAATAAATAAATAAATAAATAAATAAATAAATAAATAAATAAATAAATAAATAAATAAATAAATAAATCATACAGACAACAAGCAACGTGTGATTTTCACTATATAAAAAAAGTTTATAAAAAAACACCCGCAAACACTTCCTTATGGTCCTGAACTGTGTCATGGTCATGAGGCTGTAAAGTGAGTCAAGTAGTGTCAGACATTGTTATTACGATGTGTGTGCAGAGATTACTCTAAATTCAGAGGTGTCAGAGATAATGGCACCGGTCATTCCTGACTCATTCTAATGCAGCTCAGGATGGCAAGCAGTCTTTGGCTATCTTCCCGTTTTACGCATGATAAGAAAGAAGAATATGGACCTTATCCTGCCTTGCAGTTAAAAGAATGCATCTTCAGATAAAAACATGTGATACCACACTGTGCCATAGGCAGTTTGAAAAATATCTAAACCGAATGGGGGGGTCAGTGTTTGAAAAACTGGTAATGCCTGAAAACCCTCAAATGCCTCTTTTGAACTGGCTCTTTCTCCACAGCTTGAAAACATTTGCACATCAGCTAGCAGAGAGGTCCAGCTGACTGAACGCTGCCCACCTGAGACACCTGCTCCATGCTGCTGCGGAGCTTCTCCATGTCGCTGCTATACTGTTGTCGGAGCGCTTCAATCTCTTTGTCATGCGTGGCCACTTCGTCTTTGAGAGCCCCCTTAAGAGCCGTCAGTTCCCTTTCTCGCTGCCTCAGTGTCTCCTCCAGCTTCTGCTTCAACTGGCACACCTCCATCAGCTGAGCCTGACAGGACAACAGGTCCTGCAGAAGGTGGAAATACGAAGTGTTCACACTTTCGTGGTTCACTTATCACAGCCGACACAACTTACCATCACCGGTTTCTAACCACATGTCAAACAGAAACAAGATCTACCTCCCATAAATTGAGCCTATACATGTGTGGGTGTGATTCTGTGCCTGTTGTGTTACCGTCTTGCCACCGTTCTCTTTTCTGAGCTCATCTTGAAGCTCTGCCAGCTGGTCCTCCATGTTTCTGACCCGTGTCTCTGCGTTTTCTCTGTCCATACGCAGCTGAGTCAGCCTGTTGCAGAGAGAGGACAAACTTGTGCTCACGAGTGGTTCATAACGTCTCAGGAAAACTGACCCTCATGTTTGTCTTGTGAATGTGCTACATTAGAGATTTGTATCATGTAAGTGTCGGGCCTTTACTCAGATGACTGTAAAGAGCCCTCCTGCTTTTCAAAGTTTGTGTGCATTTGGATCCTCACTCTGATTGCGTTTCATTTAATTCCTTCTTCTTCCGGTCCAGCATCTCCTGGAGCTGGAGATTTTCATCCAGACAGGATTCCAGCTCAGCTTTCAGGGCAGGATCTGAATTGCTAAGTGAATTCTACACAGAAGCAGGCACAATGAATAAATGAGAGTGGTGAAACACAAGACATCAGGTGGCTGTGAAGGCATAAACAGTTGGTTAAAGGGAATGCTGTAGCAGGCCCACATTTGTCCATGGATCAATTTGCAAAACAGCTGAACAGCTGAGTTATTAAGAGCTACTAAAGATTAAGACTTGCCAAGCTTCCTTAAACCAGCATATAATGAGTCATTATAGATGTTAGATTAATGTGTGTGTGCATGTACCTCTTACGGGGACAGAGGGCTTTAAGGATTAATCTGCGGATTAATCTCGAGCACACTCCAAGGAGCCCCCTCAGCCCTCCCGGACACATTAGTTAAAAAGGCATCAATGCCCTGAGAACAGTTTCCTTCTCTCGGCCAAAATAAAAATAGCTGGAGAGGCTATTTTCTGTTTCAGGGAGACTAGGAAAAGTGTTCACATGCAGCGCTGGATGTGATCCATGTAAATAGAGCCGAGGTACTTTTAGAGAGGGAGCAGGTCACTCTCTGGACGTCAACTGGCAGCCATTTTCAATTACATTGGTGATTTGAGAGACTCAGGAACTGCAGTAACCACATAGTTCCGCGTGCACTGTCCAGGTCTTATCGTGTTTTTCCAGGACAAGAGGTTTTACGTCGCAACGGCAGAGTTATACAGTCTTTTTTTTTTCTGAATGGACAAATATTTTCCTCTGAGTGAAGGTCATAAGATAGCGCTGCCTCCTGGCATTTTTCTCTCTGCTCCACTTACCCTCCTTTCTTCCCGCAGGGCAGCTTGTAGTTCAGCCACTTTTGTCTCAAGCTCTCTTTTTTCTCTCATCCAGTCCAGGGGGCTTTCTTTAGGCTGCCAACAAAAAGAGTGTAAGGTGAGACATATGTATAATCTCTCTGTCAAATACAAGGTAAGAAAGAAAAACAACTAACTTTCATGCTCTGAATCCTCTGAAAAATAGTCTTCACTTTGTGCCAAATGACGGCATCACTCTCACTGGACCTGAGAGAAATAAAAAAAATAAAAAAACTTCTTTCATGAGCCTTTTTACAACTATTTGAGGAAATCCTAACTGTGATGAGGCGGCAAAGGAGACAGAGGTCCGTACCCTTGTCTCAGGATGCTGAAAACTGTCCTCATGACCTGCTCCTCCTCACTGCTCACCTCTGAACTCTGAACCTGGTCCAGCAAAAGGTCAGGGGTCACCTTGAGACATAGATCAGAAAACTACTCTGGCAATGTTGCATGCTTCTTGGTGGTTAGAGCTCACTGAGAATCAGTTGTACTGTCCAAGCAGACAAAAGGGGGGACAAAAAGAAGCCCTCTTACCTGGGGGTCTGTCCGGCCTGAATGTGGATGTTCCCCTGGGCTCCACTGATTGGCTGAGTATCCGGGAACTTTGGTGGCAGGGCCCTGACCGTGCTCAAAGCTAGTGTGGGCCGAGGATGACATTGTAGTGAAGGGTTTGGGGTGGAGGTGAGGAGATGTAGCTCGGAGATGCTGCTGTGCAGGAGGGGGTCCTCTCTGCTGGTCGCCATCAAATCTGTTTTTCAGCCTGTTGACATTAGTCTGTCTCTGATTGGAGTGAACCTCGTTTGTCTGCCGAAATCTGTCAGGGTGTGGCTGACCGTCCCTCACTGGCCCCTGTGACCTTGTGAACCCTGCCTGATCCTTACCCATGACTCTCCACACTTCCTCTCTGTCTCCCCGAACTCCAATTCCTCCATCAAGATTCCCATAGCTACCAGACTTTCCATCTCCAGGTGGTCTAGACAGCTGGAAATCCTCTCCGTCCCGGTCTAGCAAGGAGCTGTGGGACTGAGCCCGGCGTAATGCCCCGCCCTGGCCTTCTCTTTCTCCTACATCCTCCCCCTCTCTTCCATTTTCTCCCATCCCTCTCCTCCTGGGGAGGCTGCGGTAGCCAGAGCCGTACTCAGTCTTGAGCTGGACCCCGTACGAGTCTCCCTTCTCTCCATCCTTCAGGACCACATACGGCTGCCCGGCGATGCCCTGCACTCTGACCGCCACGCCATATTTGGAGCCGGTCTGGCTCTTGGTCTTTGGCTGGGGCAACGGCTGCTCCCCGACACTGTCCTGGAGGTCATTGATGAAGCGGATCTGGACACCGTGGTCCACTGGGGTCTTCCGGCCAGACGACTGCGTATTCATGCTGGGAAACAGCAGAGAGAAGGCCAAAAAGGGAGAAAAGGAGCAAAGAAAGATTGATGTCAGCTCATAGGAAAGCATGGGCACACCTCCCTAAAATATGCATCACTTTGTAATTGGACTGTTAATATCAGCCTAAGAAATCTCATCTAATATGAACATGACATAGAACATTCTTAAACACAAAGCGAGTAGCATTTAAAAAAAACCTTAACTACATAAACTACAGCAACTCAGAGTCACAGTTCTGCATGCATGAACTTTGTTCTCAGCACACTCTATTAGTCATTAACCTGAGAGCACACACCTATGTAGGGCTCGCCCTCTGTGACTAGCTCCTGAACTTTTTTTCTAGAGTTTCTGTGCCAACACTAGAGCTGATTTCGGAAGGCTTTTCCAGCATGAACACAGAAAGGTGAAAGACAAGCAGTGGCACAGCGGCCCTCAGTGTTTAACAGTATTTCACACTCAAGTCTCCGTTTTTCTTTTGTTTATCACAGTTCTCTAACCTCTAAATTGAGCTCCCGCTGCCATCATCCAAGGCACAGAAAAATTAGTTTAAAAAAGTAGTAGTCCAGGTCTTTCCTTAGATCACGACCACACCCTACACTGGGTGACATTATAAGACTCTCTCATTACAGCGCTATGGGTCACCGAATCGGCTATAAAACCATTGCAACACTCCCTCCTGACCTCTTCGCTCCACGTCCTTCTGCAGCTCTCTGAGGTGAGACAGAGAGTGGGCTGGGAAACAGAAAGGGAGGGTGAAGTGAGAGAAAGAAAACACTCCACTTTTCTCTTCTTATCAGCGCTTTGTGGCGATAAAACACAAAGTCAAGCTGTTCCCACAATCAACCCTCTCTCCCATAAACTGAGGACTGACTACAGGAGTAAATCAAAAGCAGGGTTATGCATTTGATGCACAGCCCTGTTTTGCCCAGACAAATGCATCCATATATTATTCAGTGAATTAAAGTCTTTTTTCCCTTTTTTTTTTTTAATCCACAAGACTTTTGGAGCTGTACAAGCAGCAAGAAAAGTATAAACTTTGGTCAGTAAAGTGAATTAAGAAAAAACACATTCCTCGTTTTTACGAGTTTTTTCACAATCCACTCTAAAAGGACAGCAACGAATGGATCGAATGAATTACGTCATTAAAGTAGTGGTGGATGACCTCTGTAGCTACCCGTGGTGCACAGACGCTGTCCAAAGACAGACCCACTCTCCAGACGTGTGCTGTTATCCGCTTTTCCCACCGTGTCCACCGCAGTGGAAGCACCGTGTCACATCAAATGTGTGAAGTGGTGCATGAAGTCTGCATCCTACAGTCTTTACACCAAGCTCAAGCAAACATGTCGTGCACTACCGAGTGCTGCGTGGACGCGCCATAAGTGAAACGCATGAAATGATCCACACACAAACATTAAGCTTCTCTTAAGCGGGCGGATCTGCGCTCAGTCAGGAACGACTTACAGAAACTGCTGTTCAGCCCCGAGTCCAAGTTCATCTGCATGTTTTTATCAGTCTGATTTTTCATTTGTGTAGGAGGAAGAGCTCCCCGCCAGCTCGAGGGACAGGGGGTGATCCTATTGTCCAGATGATGTGGGGCAGAAAACAAAGGCAGCGATTCTGAGAATGCAAATTCCACCCCCCTCTCATACTCTTCCCCTTCCAACCTGATTCTGAAAAGTTCATTAATTTCGAAATTTCTGTCTGTGGACCTCCCTGTGACACTGTTCCCTTAGGCTGGACTTTTTCTATCGTGTCTTTGAAATAAAGCCATGGTGTATAAACCAAACCGGTTTTTTACCCAGCTTTATGTTCACATTCTGCAGAAATAATTAAAATCTGTGGATTGACTAACTAAAGAGTTATCCTGCCTTCATTCAATCTCTAAATGTGAAATTACTGTTAGTAGGAATGAATAATCTGACGTTTTATTTCAAATATTGCAGGAGGCACGTCAACAATAAAGCATAGACAGCATAACACATCCCAGCTACATAGGAAGACGACTGAATAAAAAAGGAAACGCTTTTGGTAACCTGAATTTCTTATTTAACAACTAAACAAAGCACTGCTCACAGGATATATCTAAATACATAAAAAAGGGATGAAAAAGAACAACAACAGTGCCAAAAAATGTCAATTTAGAACCTGTCTTTTATGTGTTATGAAATAAACATGATATCAGCCTTGTCTAATGGCTTCTATCCAAACAATCTTTAAATGTCCATTCGCCAAAGAGAGCTCATGTCGGCTGACTGCTAATAAGCACATAAGAGACCAGGCCGGCTCGCCTGCCCTGCATTAAGTGGTTCTCTGGGCGGCCATTTCCCTGCAGTTGTGCTGACGGGACCTCCGCCTCCGGCCTCAAATTGAATTCTCACACAGTTAATTGATTAGGAGCTGCCTTGCTGTTATGATCTGAGATGGAATGGAAAATAGCATTAGGGCCATCACAGCGAGTGAGGGGAGAATCACGCCAAGTGTGTCCGATGGCCTTCGTGTGGTGTTTTCTTTAGAATGGACAAAACTACTGAACCAACAGCAGGCTCACGAGTAAAGATTATTGGATGGATCCCGAACGCGTGAATTATCATGTAATCACGTATGGGAAGAGGTTAACATGAATATAAAAAAAATAAAAATAAAACAAAGCTCTGTTTTTTTTATTTATTAGATTGCTGAAATGGTCAAGCTATTTTTGGCAAAACTCTGAAATTTGACGTGATGACAGAGAAAGAAAGCAGCCGTGCCCTTTGCTTTACAAATGACTCGTCAGTGACTGATCAATAAAACTGTTAGAAGCTCAGCCCGCTTGTCCTTTCGTAGAATTGTTAAGTTTCACAGGCATGACTTTGAAAGTACAAACGTGTGGGTGTCAGATCGGAGATGAAACCCCTTCCCTGCTCATTGCAGACAGCCATCCACTTGGTTCTCAAAGGGCTCTCCCTCTCGATTACATTCTTGACATAAAATCCAGACCCTTGTCCTCACTGAGCATGCCAATGATCCCTTTTCACACCCACACAAATGGCCGATTATTCCTCTTTTCAAGTCTAAAGGAGTTCATTGGCATGACAAAGCCAGACTTCAGTGTTACTAAATAGTATACAAATTACACCATATTAGGAACTCATAATCATGCCCCTCCCTCCCTTCACATTCCTGACACTTGTTCCTCTGTTTTCCTCACCTACTCAGGCAGGAAGATAAAGACAGGCAGTTTCTTTTTTTTCCTTTTTTTTGGGGTCAGACTTGGCATGACACTTGACTGGATCAGGTTTAACGTGTAAACAGGCCCATTGTGGAGCGTACCAACATATCAACCTGAGCATGAGAGTGTGTCAGGGGCTCGGCAGGTTCGTGTGCTGTTATTAGGAGAAATCCATGACCCAATACAAGAGGCCGTGCCCACTGAAACACTGTAATCTGCCGGTGCTTGGGTCATCAGTTTCATCTGAGCTGCCCGGAGCTCCTCTCTTCCAGAGAAGTGCCGGCCAACTGTCAGGGTAGGCAAAGTTGTCACTTTTCCTCTGGTTATGCCATTGTTTTGTTACATTTACATACTGCCTCAGGGCACAGACACGGTGGAAAAAAAATGTAACCCGGGTAACAGTTTTCACAAAAACACATCACCTGCCAGCACAGGTGTGCTTAAACACACACAGCTACTGCCTCATAAAGCCACATTAAATTAAATATGCTGATTATTTCTTTTTGGAATATATTGAAATAGCTTTCTATCTACTTCAGGAGATACACAGCCATAGTTTTTATCTTGAAAACAAAGATTTATCGCAGTTATTTGCCACCACAGATCTGACCGGTGCTCTCCTGAACAGTGAGGTTAGCTGGTCTTGGTCTCCTGATTCCCGTGTCAGGGTTAGCTGACCAGCTACAGAGGTGAATAACTAAAACACACCGTGACACACCACTGTTAAAACTCTGGACTTATTCGCGTACTTAAAGCAGGAAATTAGAGCCACACAGTGACAGAAAAACCCTCACGAAGCGTTTAACTGTCTCAGAAAAGCGGTGTCCGTCTGGTTTAGCCGTCTGGCTATGAGGAGGTCCGGACTGAAAAGTTACCTCTTCTCCTGAACTTATCCGTGCGTTTGCTCTTCAGACAATTCCCGTCCTGCACTCCGATGACCATTCAGATATTTTCACAGACATCCATCAAAGTCAACGCAGACAGGGGGTGGACCCTTAAAACCGACACAACTTAGAGGAGAAACAGTTTCATTACGCCGTTGGGAATGCAACCTGTTACCTTTTGTTGGGATGTAACAGTCCCGCCCACCCCCGCCAGAGGGAGCTCTGTGATTGGACAGAGACTCTGACGTGGGCGGGACAGTAGATATAAGATGCGGTTGGTATTGGTGAATTCTGTACGTCAGTCATTTTACATTGTTGGGTCTCTTCTGTGACAACTTGTTCAGAAATGCCAGCGTGAACATCTTGAAATGAAAAAAAACAAACAAGAAAATTTCTAAAACATAGACAAACAGGAACTTTCGGACCCAGAGGTGGATTAAGGTGTACAGAGAACCTAAAGAAGTTTCTTTAGCTTCTTCCATATACCACTAGATGGAGCAAATTCTATTTGTACAAGGTCCAACAGTCCACAGTTATCAGTGCATGACCTCCACTGACATTTAAAAAGTAGAAACAGGCTACTTTGAGACTGATATGTGTCCAGCCTTTATTAATTCATGGAAGGTATCTGCCCCTCCATGTTTCGTGGATCTATAAATCAGAATAGCGAGAAATGTACAGAAATAAAGAACGATGATTTTGTTATTATCTGTATTCAATTTTGTTCAACTCATATTTCCTGATTTAAGATACATGGTTGCTCCTGCAGGAAAAAAGCCTAAGAAACAAAACGAAAATCACCCAACCGGATTTTGAAATGGGAAATAGATTCTCAAAAATAGTTAAGAAAACTACAAGATCGGTTTTCTGAAATAGAGAGTTTTAGAGGCAAGTGCTATTCCCGTGTTTACTTTATGACAAGATCATCTTTATTTAACAGTGCTGTAAAAATCTCAATATACAGTGCGTCAAAAATTATTTCCTTAACTTCTTAGGAATATTAGGCTTTTTACATATTTACATACATATATTTTTTACATATGTCTCAACTGCCCATGTAACAGAGTTCTGGTGTCTTATTCCACTTCCGCCTTTATGACGTCAGGTAAAGCTGTGAAAAACTCCAGCTTGTTACAATGACCACCTTTTCCGTATCGTGTTGCTTTCGTGAGTCTCACTTGTCCCGCATCCCTATTAGAATAAAAAACTCTCCTCCGCCCACCATCCACGCAGCTCCTCCCCAGACTCCAGCCACATCTGCTCACCAACTTTCCTTTGCATCTCATCACTTTGCGTTGCACAGACTGAACGCACCATCTCACGGTCTGGGAATGGGAACTTTACTCGGTTCAAAGAAAAACTTTCAGTTTTTTCGAGTTTTCGCTCTGCAGAAATTGCTTTTCAAACTGCAGGGATAGTTGTAGCTGCACGTGCAGGGTGAAAGCAACACAGCCTCTGAACAGAGATCACCAAGACGCACCAGGAGTCATCTGATCGTTAGATAGTTTCAGAGCAGAGGAATTGCGCAGGGTCAAATAGACAGCGCTACAGAGTAGTTTCTCTTAGCTGAAAGTGCGAAGAAAAAGAAACACTGACGGACAGCTGAGAAAAATAAGTTTGCGTAAAGTTGGAGCTGCTGCGCACGGTTAAACTGAAGTTTCAGCAGGCGACCACAGCAAGGCATTCGTTAAGTCTACACATTTATCAACTTGTATCGTAGAGAAGCGCTAAATCATTGAAAGTCATGGCAAAATGGTTCAGAGATTTCCCCATCAATCTAAAGAACGGAGCAGAAAGGGCCCGCTCGGCCTCCGAATCAGGACCACAAACCAGACCCAAGCCTTGTTTTTCTAGAGATAGTTTGAAAGGTAATCAGCGTAAAGATGGAGGAGTAGGGGGCTTGTTGGCAGGGAGAAACAGAAAAAATTCGGCTTCAGAGCTGGGTCGTAACAACTCTGGTTACGGTGGAACAGTCTGGGACAGTCTCACGAATGGAAAAGGTCGCAAAAACTCCAAAGTCGAGGCAGGGACATCCGAGGAGAACCGCCAGGTGAAGACCTCCAGCCTGGCGCAAGCGTACATCAGCAGGATGATCAAAGTGGACAAACAGGATAAAACCCCCAAACTCAACGGGATAAGCGAACAGAAGCTGGCCGAGACTGAGAAGGGACGTTCAGACATTAAAACTACGGTGAGTAATTTAACCTGTTAATATTTAACCTGCTTCTATTGTAAAAATCAGAATTGATCAAACATAAAGTAAATCTCGGATATTAAAAGTCAGGATAATGGAAAGAGCATAAAAGGGACCACATTATAGGCATGAAGTCAGTCCTTTTTTGTTTTTTTACTTCCTCCCTTGGTCCATAAGCCTGTATTCAGTTTCCATCCCTCTGAAAAGAATACAATGCAGTTTCACTACATTGTGTCGGATCAAACAGACAAACACAATGCGTTGACCTCTTTGCACAAGTATTTCCGCTTGTCCCTTCACTCCTTGTCACTCAGTCGTGGACGCACACACACACACACAAACACACACATACACACTGAGATACCTCTCTTTCTGCACTGTTTTCTGTTTATAATGTACCATCTGAAAAAGTAACAACTCATTTCCCCCCCCCCTTCTAACAGCTCATTATCCTGGAGGACTACGCAGATCCGTTTGATGCAGAGAAAACCAAGGGGCAGAGAGAAGCTGAGAGGTCAGGGGTGAATGATGGCTACATGGAGCCATACGATGCCCAGGTCATCATCACAGGTGAGGGCAAACTCAGCCACTGTCTAACGGATTGCAGCTACATTGGAAAAAGTGCCAGATGGCACCCTGGTTGTGTGAATCTCAAACCTGAACTTTTTTTTTCTATCAGAAGTTATTTTGGAAAAACTTTGTGCTCAAATATAGAGAGTGAATACAGGAGAACTAATAATATATATTAAAAAAAATTCACATTTCCCGACAATTTTTTTCGACACACACACTATCCCACATTCTCTGTGATTTTGATGGGATTTAAATCCTAACTATACCCCCAGTCTCTCCACTGACTTCCCTCCTGACTGGCGGTTGCCATAGTAACAGTGTTGTGCAGGGACAATGGGTGCAGCTTCCTCTTCCAGCTTCCTGTCTCCTGCCTCTGTTTCCTTTGCCCCATTCTCTTGATAGGACGTTGGCCCCAGAGCCACCTCCTCACCCCCCAGCTTCAGCCACCCTTCCACACACAGACACACACACATACATACACACACACACACACACACACACACGGACACGCATTAATGCACACACAAAAGCACCTAAAAACTTTATGGTCCCCTATGTGTGACAACAATCAGATTCTAGCAACACCAACTCCTCGGCCATAAAACCTGCAGACCCCCCCCCCCCCCCTATAGATCCTACCCAATCACTTCCCAGCAGTCAGGAAGTGGTCTGGTAAGTCAGCCAATCAGCTGCTATGCTGACCTTTTCTTCCTGTAAATCCATTGTTTGGTCACACAATAGTGCAGACACACAGGCTACCTGGCAGGGGACAAAGTAACACAAGTAAAATTCCCCCAAACTTTAGAAAAAAAAGAAACGGTGCAGCATCTGATTTTTGCACTCAAATCAAAAACACATAGATAGAAGCATGTCTCTCTGCTGATGAAGAGCCCTCACAAAGGCTTTAACTTATTATTCTGTGATAACATGAGAAATATCTGTGTGTGTAACCATTTTCTAAGTTTACAGTACAGAGAAGCATCAATCTGCTTTTTAATTTTTATATCAATGGATGATGAGAACTCCCTAGCACGTAAAATAATGTAGAACACAATATGTTATTTAGTTATTTCTGCAATAACACAAATATGAATGGTCAGAAATTTTGGGTTTAAACTTGCAAAAACAGGCGTTTTAGATCAAATGGTGATTCTAAACTGAGTGTGTATGTTCCTCCAGTCCACAGTCCTGTCCAGGTGTACCAGGTTTATGTCGGTTTACACAATGGATTTAGAGTTGGTTGAACTCTGGGAACACTGTATGTCTTTTCTAATGATTTTTTCTCTCAGTGCTGTTTACTGACTTCTCCTTCTGCTGCAGAGGTTCGCAGACGAGGTTCCAAAGACCTCCTGAAAGTGTGTGTTCTCGTGGACCGAGGTCAAAAAGAGGGGAAAGGAGAGGAGGGAACAGCTTCCCCACCGAACATCTACGACACACCCTATGAAGGCGGACTGGAGGGCGACAGTGAGGGGGTGTGGATCCCTGTCACACGACCGGAGTCTGATGTCCGTCCGGCTGGGGAGTACGAGCTGCCCTGGGAGTGGAGAAAGGAGGACATTGTTAGAGCATTGTCAGGTAGAGAAAAGAACCCGAGGGATGATAGGAAGGGTGGAGATGCTGGGTGTAGAGGAAGGATGCCAATGGGTTTTATTTGCACAGCACAAACAGAGCACAACAATTTTGTGTTTGTTTTAGAGAGGAAAGAATTAATTCGAGATGTGTTTACTTTAATGGCTCCGACATGCTTTGTTAGGGTTTTATTGTAAAAGGTTGATATTGTCTGCTCTATTTCCTTTAGCTCAGTTTGAGGCGGTGGATTGTTCCCCGACCAAAGAGAGTGCTTCAACCTCTGGCCGCCAACAGCAGCAGCAACAACAAACCCTGAGACAGAGGAACTGGAGCCATAAGACTCTTGTCTCAACTTCTCCATCAACTTCCTCCTCTCAGTCTTTCCCATCTTCTCCCATTCTTAAACTTTCGCCTCTTGCTTCACCATCTTCTTCTTTCCCAACTCTTAAGCTCTCCTCACTCTCCCCCTCATCCAGCCCAACCAAACTTTCCCCTCCATCTCCTACTTCCACCAGCGCCCCCCTGGATGTGGAGACAGCCAGAGTGGACTCCAGTCTGCCGCTGGAGAAGCAGAGGTGAGGATTTTCTGTATGTGGAGAAAAATACAACAGATATGATACATGTTGGACTGAGAGAGACAGCTTTTAACATCAAAGTAAAAAAACAGATGGCAGCTATTTCAAGATACTTCAATAATTGATATAAACTGCTGGTAAAGGTTAGTAACATAAAAGGCCTTAAATGATGCTGAACACATCACAGGCGAAGTTTGAGTTTGGCCTTGAACGGTGTAAGTGTATGAAAGGAGTTAAACAAATTAGACGAGGGTTGAAACATTTGGTTGCCTTGTCTGCTGTCAGGTTATTGGTGGGTTGACAAAAGTCTTAAACACTAAATAGATATGCTTTAATGATATGATATTCAATGCATATCGCTGACACTCTCTTTGTGTGTGACCTTGTATTCGTTTTGACAAAATGAGTTGGTATTTTTTGGTGTTAATCCCAACTCTGCCTTCATGAAAAACAGCGCCCTCTTGAGTAATGGCTGAAAACGACATATGTAAGAAATCTTCTTAAATATTTTGCAGCAAAGGGCAGAAAGTTCAGATAATACTGAAAGCCTTCGATGTAGTAAACCTCTTTATTTGATTATATATTACCCTGTTGAGATCTTTGGGTGAGTGTGAATAGTCGTTACATGGAGCATTAACCAGCAGCGCCCTCATGTAACAATGCTAAATGTAAATGGTGTTTGCAGCGTGTAACCTTTAGGTGAGACTTGATGAAGCAGAAAGAAGAAACTCATTTTACTTGCAAAGCGTGCAAAGTCTCCTCCCTCTCATTAGACATGGCTTTTGCTTTCATGTGGGACATAGCCAGTTTCCATTTTTGTCCCTCATGTTGCAGCAGAATGTCATTGTGATAAAGTCTGCATACAGCGGCTGTAGCCTGCAGCCTCCGTCAGGGACACCTAGTGTCTGAGCAGTCTGCAGAACCACTTATGCTGTCACACGTGTACAATTGACAGTATTTCTTCTTTCCATCTGTAATCTATATTTCTTTATCTGACTTACAATTAATTGTCAGTCTTGTTCAATGTGTTCATTCTGTTTTTCACACATCTGAAAAACCATACTCAGTTGACATGCCATACTCACATACACACACATACGTATATATGTATATAAAGCTTGATCTGCGGTCTCTCTGTGTGTCCCCCTCCTCCTCTCCCTCTCCCCCCCTCATCTCTCAGCTGGTACCATGGCAGTGTCAGTCGGCAGCAGGCTGAGGCTCAGCTGCAGCGCTGCAGGGAAGCCAGCTTCTTAGTGAGAGACAGCGAATCAGGAACCAGCAAATACTCCATCGCTCTGAAGTGAGTGCATACAGTACATGTGTGTGTGCTGCATGCCATGAATACAGTAGATACACACTCATTTCATTCACATTTAGTTCCTTTTTTCCAGAGCAGCAATCATCTTTGGATGATTGAAATTGCTGTACAGAAATATAAAATCCTGCTACAAATAAAAACCGGCATGGTATTAATGCTTTAGCCTAAATAAAACAGTTAACACGTTATCTGTTTTGTTAAGGCTGAAATATGATACTTTCACATATGATGTGATTCCGCTTTGATTTAACAATCGCTGCCATCCTGAGCCCCTACAGTGTTAACACGTGAGAATGTGTAGAGACATCCAACAAGCTTGGGAGGAACATGTTCTCTAGGATAAAGTCTGAAATCATGTGATGCCATTGTGTGTGTATTTGTGTGTGCGTGTGTGTGTGTGTGTGTACTCATACGCCTGAGTGCACATTTACTGTATGCTGCTCATTCATTTGAGAGTCCACATCATTAACCCCATTTACACATCCACTGAACTCAGAAAATGCACAACCTCATTTAGAGAGAGATACTGTTTCCACTTCTCAGCAGCCGCGGTTTCATCATATTCTGTTTGAGAGTTTCACTTTTGATGGCAATGGGCTCATTTATTTTTCATTAAATGTTTTTCTCTTTGCCTCGTTCCCTTAGGACCAGTCAAAGCTGTGTGCACATCATTGTGGCCCAGACTAAAAGCAGTAAGGGTTTGGGCTACACACTGGATCAGAGCAGCTGTGTCTTTTCCAGTATCCCTGAGCTGGTTTACCACTACTGCTCACACAGACTGCCTTTTACAGGAGCAGAGCACATGACCCTGCAGCATCCAGTGTCCAAGCCACACTAAACATGTGTAAAGAACAAACAACGCACAACACACACAAATAACTTAGGGCACCGTCACGGCTTGTAAAGACACAAACGCGCACATACACTTTTACAAACCAGGTTATAGACGTGTGCACACACACCCAGAGATGTGCTGCTTTATACTGTATTGTGTATCACTTTTGAAGGGTTTATTTTCAAATCGACAATATGCCACCTAGTGGCCAATATTACTCATTACAATGCATTAACCAAATTATAGAGACTTCTGTCGATCAAATCAGCTAAAACACACACACATAATCCCTATTGAATGACATATGACAGGAGAACCAACCCTTTCTGGTACATTTTCTTCATTAATCTACCAATGACTTGTACAGACAAAATCTAGCTCTAAACATAGTAGGTTAACAGTGGTTTTTGGAGCAAATTTGATCTCTTAAGTCAAGTTTATATGATGCTTATAATTTTTCCTATCAGGCACGGTGATCAGCCTGTTGACATCCGTAATTCTCTTTACACAGCTGGACACAGTCTGTAAAGCTGTTTCAGTGTGTGTAACAGTGTAAAGAATAATGGGAATGAAGCCTCTTAATGCTTTAGTTTAATTACGGGGCCTTTATTATGGTTGTCCTGAAGTCAGAAGAATAAATCCAACTAAGTGTAATGATAACAAAGCAGTTGTAGCTCCTTGTGTGCTCTACACTAGGCGACTTGGTGTTTCATAAAACCACTAAAATATTAGGAAAACATAGTAGTGTTTTCTGTTTCTTTGTTGACCTTGGAAAAAACACTGCGTTTCTGTTTTGTTCTTTTGCATTTGGTTTTGCTGTTATGTGTTATCTCATATGGTATTCTTCACCTAAGGATCACATTATTTTCTAAGCTTTATTTTATAGGGAATAAACAAACATCCATTACCCTTCAGAAACGTATCTCTGCATAAAGCTACCTGTATGAAACAATGTTAATACATGTTGTCACATTTTTTACGTCAGTCTCACAATGATGTGGGCTGTATATTATTTTTGTAAAACCTTTATTCATTAAATAAAGAATCATTTTAACAGCAGAGATCTTGTGTCTTTAATGGACTGGCTGGCAAAAAAGTAAAGGTTAATAATATGAGCCACTGAAGCAAAGACGGGAAGCTAACCAAAGTAAATCTGTTAGCTTTTCTTTTGTGGCGGTGTAATTGCTGACCTGTGTGTGAAATCAATTACGGACACCAACACACATTTTTCTAGTAAACAAATACTGACAAACCTGCATGCTCGCTCTCTGTATGTGCACAGAAGTAGCACACACAAAAAGCTCTCCCTCTCACAACCCCAAGCTTGCTGTGTTTAAATCCTCACAAACACACACGAGGCTACTAACACAACATCAAGACGCTTTAACCTCACAATGACGCATGGGAAACGTGCACTTGTGGTAAGATATGTTAAACCAGTTAACACCAGCGTGTTGGTTTGCAAGAGCATCTCTAAAGATGCGTGCGCATGACTGTGTGTGCCGACCCTTGTGTGCGTACATGCTGTTCTGTTCTCAGTGTGTACGACAGAGGCACCGAGAAAGAGTCAGATTTTTCTGTTCAGGGATTACCAGGTTGCCATGGTGATTAGTTAGAGTGAGGTAGGGCCATATCTACAGGGATTGATGTGAAGGAGGACAGAGAAAGAGATAGAGGGAAAGAGAGACAGGCTGCAGTATACAACGCTATGAGTAATTGTTGCCATAGTAGCAATGAAGTTCCCACATGGAAAAGACAGCCTGGTTTGTGAATGGACAGCTGGGACAGTGTTGAGAAAAAGTAGGCTTAAATGGAACACACAAATTACCGCCCAGTATTTGCAAATCAAACCAACACGTCACACTGACTCTGCCATCCACTAAGGGCAAGGTTACACAACGTCCAGCACCACTCACTTTCACCCCTCTTTGTGTCAAGTGTTTCTGTTTACCCTCTATGTTCTCTCAATTAAATAGAAAAAATTGGTCAAACAAGGGGCCTTCTGATTTTTACAGTTTATGTCAGGTTATTTTTGTTTTGGGTGACATTGCATTTAATCTTAAACATCCAATTGAATTCTTCAGGTGTGTAATATCATTCTTATTTGGTACAACTAGAAAATGTTATTTTAGCTTAGATATCTCAAGCTTTGCTATGTGTAATTGCCTCCTTTAATTAACAATAGCATGTGAAAAGATTAGTATAATGACTGATTTCCAGTTCTAGTTCAGTACTTTATTGATTGTGGTCAAAAATATTAAATAAGAAAATGTCTTGAGAAAATAATTGAGACAGTAATATTGAGACAAACAACATATAACATTATAGGAAAAAAATAAGGTACATCACAGATGTTGCATCCGGTCTCATTAAATTAATGTACTTGCAGATATATGACAAAATAAGCTTTGTAATGAATGAGAAACCAACATTAAGTACTTCCTTTCAACCAAAGTTGTTTTTGGCTCTCTCTCTGTATATATGACCTGTTATTAAACTTTTTTAACCTGCTGTCTTTTTGGACAGCAGGTTAAAAAGGACACAAGAGATCTGAGGGATTTTATGCCCGAAAATGCCGTGGATCGCCACTGCAATGAAAATAAGTGCACTGAAGCTGTTTCGTCTATAAACATGGTGTCCCAGCACCTTATTAAGATAATGTTTTTTGTCTTTAAAAGTCTATCACATAAGATTTAGGAACTTCTAGTTTGCAACTAACTAAATACAGGCTCACCCCTTTCCATGTGTGCAAAAACATTTTGTCATTAAAAACAGGCTTTCTATATCGCCTGTGTTTGATTTGTTCCCTCTGGGTTACCATAGAAACACAGTAAGACAAGATGTTGGGGAAGTATTTATTTAAAAAAAAAAAGATCACATAAAAAGAAGCTGTTTTGCAATTAAACCATCCGCCCATGAAGTTGTTAACCAGATTTCAATCCGTCTGCAATCTATATATCAAAGCGGTTTCATGTTTCAGCTACAAAGTGACACATTAATGTTTTTTTCCTTATCTTTAAACCCATTAGCAGTAAGAATTGCAAGGAAAATCTCATGAGTTGTCTGACTTGGAGACATCTGCCAAAACCCTCATAATTATGACAAAAACGATCAACAAGCCCTATTGGCAACTTCACAACTATGTTGCGTGAGATTTTTTTGAGCAATCTTTATGACAACCAGACAGTCACACAATCAAAGAAAAGGGATACAAACTGTGAAGAAAATCAACTTTATTATCAGTTGCACACACTGACAATCGTCACTTCTTTTCTACTTAATTTGTCCTGCCCTGGTATTCACCTGAGAGTCACAGATCAGATTTGTTAGTTTTCCAGATAGAGCAGAGCGAGAGGAAGAAACTTCAGCCCCAAATATGCAGAATGACAGCCGGAGAGGAATGTATGGAGCAGAGAAGAGAGAGGGAGAAGGAGCGTGGGGTGTGTTAGGAGCAGACAAGCACTTGTGGGGGTCCCAGCTTTTAAATAATTCAGAGAGAGACTCACAGTACTCAGTACAGAGGAGGAGCACTGTCAGGTCAGCTCATTCACTGCAGAGAAGTGCTAGGGAGGAAGAAAGGAGAGGACCGTACAGAGTAAGGAAGCTGTATAAAGATAGAATGTGAAGGGAAGACGTAACTGGTAGAGAGCCTGAGTGTGCATGTGTGTGCGTGTGCATCGGTGTGTTGCATAGCTTCACATGTGCACACTCCTTTGTGTGTGTCAGGGATGAAAATAGACTAAATGAAGGAGAAACAGGTCGCTTCCTCCTGGAGCTTTTCTTAGTCACCAAGGCAACCGCCTCCTCCCTCCATCCCTGCACTGGTGTTTACTTTGTTTATTTGTCCGCTATCCTCACCTCCCTCCCTCCCTCCCTCCCTCCCTCCCCCCCTCCCACGGTCGGTTGACTGCCTTTGTCTCTTTACTCGCCCCCTCTTTTCTGGGTCTCCTTTACTCCCGGTAATTTCACGTGTTTCCCTCTAAATACAACATGTCTTCTATCATCTGGCACATGTGAGTCTTGGCTCTACCTGCTGGTCTGTTCCATGCCTGCCCCCCCCCCCTAATTCCCTCTTCTCTCACCTCCAGTCCAGCAGGTTTGAGCGGATCCAAGGTCAGGTCGGTGACCGCAGCTGAGATTAAACATAAATGGATATTGATATGTAAGAACCACACAGGGAAAGATTGCACATGACTTTTAAGTCAAATCTCACTTCTAGATGGATTGCTCACAGA